CACTTCCGAAACGACGACGAACGGTAACCAAACAACGACCCCTTACACCCCTTCCCCTATCTCTCTTCCCTCAACCCTTCACTCTCCCCATTCCCTTTTTCACTTCTTTACCTTTCTTCCCTTCTTCCCTTCCCTCATTGTCAGCCCTTTCGACCGCCCTTGTCTCCTTTCTGCAACGTAATCGATTCGAAGCGTGTTGGCTGATGCTTTGTTTGCTGACCTTCTCTTCTTCTTCACCCATCCCAACCCTCTACTCCACAGCCACGGAACAAAAAGCAGGAACACACGCCTCCCACGACTTTTCCTCATCTCTGCCCCTTTCCACAAGTCTAACATTCAAAACAACAACACCCTGGTCGAACAACCAAAAAGCTGACAAAAAGATAAGTGCCAGTTTATTGATTTTTTTTAAGGGAGAAAAGAGGAGTGGAAAAGGCAGAAGAGGTCATAGACGAGGATATAAGACGGAGGGAGAGGAAGGTGCTCAACTGACACATTTGCGCTTGCAAGGTATGGTCCCTTCTCGGAACTTGCAAGGCCTGAGGCCTTCAGAGATAAACAAGTGCACATGCCTTGTTTACATTGAGACACTGCATGCTCTTTATTGCCGGCAGAAAAGGGGCGTATTTACGCGCCTGCGAATTGTCGCGAGCGAAAGACATTTCAACATGTCTAAGGCATCGGGCCGACCGAGTGCCAGTCTTCTGGACATATTTGGCCCTAATGTTGTTGCTGAGTATTCGTCGGAGTAGCATATAAGAAGTAGTATAAAGAGATGTAGTCTCACTACCCTCTGAAGGATGGGCGGTAGGCTCTGGGTTGGGGCCTCTATTTTGCGAGTTTACGGAGGCCAACCGGAGACAGATGTTGTTATTGCTCGCTTTTTTTTTCTTTCTTTCTTATTATGTTATATGGTCACTTTTTTTTTCACTTTTCTTTCCAATGGCACCTTAATATCGTTAGTATTTCTGGCTCTCATGTTAACTTTTTTCCCCACTCTTTCTCTCTCATATGTCCCTAGGATGTTAATCAGGATGCGGACCAGATTCGACAAGAATGGCGTGTTCGAGACGGACAAGACTGGAAACGAGGGGAACAAAAATCGACAAGGAGTGGTTGTGATCGTGGTGATGGCCACGGACGTGGATAGCATCGGTTTCATAGCACACAGAGTATTATTGGACATTAAACAATGACTGACAAGCAAACAATGACTGACAAGCAAACAATGACTGACCAGCAACAATGACTGACAAGCAAACAATGACTGACCAGCAAACAATGACTGACAAGCATGCAAACAGACATTTTTGGTTCTGAACAAGACATGTGTTTGAATTAAGAGACTTTCCACGAGCGCGTTTTCGTTTTGATCGCGGTACGCGTCAGTGGTAATTATTTATGATCGTGTGTCAAATGAGCATATCTCCTTTTTATTCCTACCTGTACTTTTTCTATCTGCGACCCTCCTACCCCAATAGCCTCCACTCTCGCCTCTCACCTCTCACGACCACTTGCAGATGGCCTTTGCAACCACACCACTCATGCACCAGAATCGATCCGACAAAGACAAGTTTAGTCCCTATTGCCTTTTTTCTTTAGGAGTCAAGGGAGTGTGAGGTCAGGTGGGATGTAGGCGAAGAGGTGAAAGACCAAGAGCACGATCGATGATAAGAACAAAGAAAGAGTATGATGTTCAACAGGCGTACTGGATTTGCCAACCTTCCTAGGGGTTCTGTGATGTTGGACGATACATCAAGAAAGAAAATGGAGGTCGACGCACTCATCATCCTCATGACGATCGCAATCGCAACCGTTCTTGCCGTTGTCTAACTGAACAAGTCCGAAGTCGACATCCTCCTCCTCCTCCTCGACCAACAGGCCTCAGTTACTTCCCTCGGAGGTGAGGGCGAGTCGGTCATTCACCGTGCCAAATCTGTGCCTGTTGGGTCCTCGTTGGCGAAGGTCCCTCTTGAGAGAATCGGGACTCTGCACGATGTCTGGCAGAACGGTCTTACTGCCAGCTCAACCGGCCGTTGCCTCATGTACATGCTCCAGAAGCAGGTTTCTTATGTTGGCCTAAGTACTATTTTTTTCCCCAACAGATGTCTCCTCTGCGCACAGTGATAGCTATATATTCAGCTTGCAAGAGACTTACTTCACGCCTTTTTTTTTCTGGATTACAGTATTGTTATAGCCTATGAGACTATACCGGCCAGCAACGTACAAAAACGAGGTTTGTCTCCCATTTCGTCTTATTCACTATCTCTCTCTCTCTGTCAGTATGTGTGTGTGTGCTGTTGTTGTTTGTCCTCTAATGTGGACCGATTGAATAACAAGCACACTGACCTCGTCTCATCCTCTCGTCTCATCCTCTCGTCTCATCCTCTCGTCATCGACTCTCCAATCTCTCATTCCTTATAACGTATGCCCGCCTTTTCCTTGTTATTACTTCTTCAACCCTTCCCATTTTTTTCACCTTGTTCTTTGTTTTGTCTTTTCTAGTTCTTCCTCTCTTACTCGTTATAATAAGACCAGTCCACTGCCGCTTTCGCAGCTCCTTCTCAACTACTACCGCTCTGCCCTTATTACATATGATCTCGCCCACATTCACTCAGCATAATCAACAACGTCCTTTGTACACACAATCAGCAAATGGACAAAACAAGCAAAAAAAACAAGCGACTAAACGATAACTGACAAACAACACCCTTTATTCCGAAAAAAAAGGATATGCATACCACCATCACTGCAATCTCGTCACCGCCACCTCGCTCCTGCTCACTCTCGGTGCTTGAACAACAAGACCCTTTATATATTTCCTCTTATACTTTCATACGCTCCTCCTCTTCTTCCTTCAACTCTTTTCTTTATTTTCTTCTTCATCTTCTTTCTTCTTCATTTTCTTCATCATCTTCATCACATTTGTTTCCACTCAGCCCTCCCATCCCCTCACCAGCAACAGTCGTAACAAGCGCAAAAATCCATTCCACTTCAGCCTCTCCCCGAACTGTAAACACCCACACCAGCATCACCACCGCGCATCTTCCACCCTGTCAACACCACCGCCACAACAAGAGCAACACCCGCCAATGCTCACATCACTACACCTCTTACCAAATCCTTACGCTACATACGATTTCATCTCTGGTCCACACTAAGTCCCAGTCGGGTCAATTCAATTCTGCAACCATGTAAGGGGGTTCCAAAGTTAGCCTTTGAGACAGCCTATCGACTTTTGGGCTCTCCTCGCGCGGTGGCTATGACAGTTGTAGCAATGTCGTCCTCTTCGTTCAAGACCACCAATGTCGGCAACCCGATCGACGGCCCGATCTTCGCTCAATCCAGGAGGTGGTTCTATCTCCGCTCTTCATTCTCTCCGTCTCCTTCCCTTCTTCTCCTTCCCTTCTCCTTCCTTTCTCCTTCCCTTCTCTTTCCCCTTCTCCCTCTTCCTTCCCATCGCCTCACCCTTGCACTCGTTACAACAACAACAACAACAACAACCAACACGACAGGAAGTTTTATTTAAGCGACTGCAAGGGCACCTGCGTGCTCTATTACTACTTTTTCTTCCATTGCTCTCAATTACTCTTCCTGTATAAATTCCACCACGTTTTCAAACACCATCCTCACTCACCCACAAACGTTACGTCCATATGTGTTCTGTTGTTGATTGCCGTCCGCTGTTCTGGGGTGATGTGGCCCTATCAACAAAAACAAGTGCAACAAGGAGGGGGTAAATATTTATCTAGAGCAAATTTGACCGTGCTCTTTAACTTGCCACCAAATGAGAAGTAACCTTGCATTGTTTCCTGCATTATTACCTTGCGCGGCGCCGCTTCCTGCTCGGTATCTCTCAACATTCTCACTCCAAACAACGTCAACCGCCCTGCGAGTATGAATCTCTATGAAGAAAAAAAGGAATGAAAACCCCCATGCGGTATTAGTCTCGGCTTTCAACTCGGTACCAGTTCCCGTGTTCATTGCAGCTATAAATGCACGCGTATATATGAATATACTTGGCTTTACCATTTTTCGAGTGCATTGGTACCAGTCATTGCGCTCCATGACATGTGGGGTGCAGGTGGAGGTGGAGGCGGACAACGTGGTCGGCTTTTTGCCCTATTTGGATAATCAAACAAGCAGCAAACAATAAGCGTCGTCAGAGAAAACCCCACACCTCTCCGACTTTCGCTGTGAAAACTCTTTTCTCTTTCCTCTTCCTCACGCCTATTCCTATGGGGTATCACTCTGGTATATAGCTGGAAGGTGGATGGATTACTGGGCGCTCCACTCCATCTCGAATGAATATGAGCTCGTCCTGAACGTCTACCAAATCACAGAAGAAAAAAAATGATTGGAACCAAAATGTCAGCAGTTATCCTCGATCGTCTCTCGATTGCGTCTTGCACACTTCATTAGCTTCATGGCGTGTTAGCAACTACTTCAAGGTCCTTACTGATGTACATGTGTACACGACAGATAAAGTTCTCTGTCAACCAGACGTTGCACACGTTCGGGTCCCGCCCGACAGAGTTCATGCCTTGGTACAGGTAAAATACCCGTTCTGGCTGGTTGAGGAAGCGGGAAATCTTCAACTTGGCAACCGCCTTCTCGCCGCCGTCCGTATCCATGTGTAGGTATCGGTGAGTGAGGGTGTGAGAGTGGGTATGTGAGAGTGGGTGAGAGCGGGCGTATGAAAGTGTGTGAGAGTGAGTGGGCGAGAACGAGTGGAGAATGATGCTAAAGTGAAAGGACAAGAAGGATAAGGGAACAAAAGTTGTTGCAAAAAGAGTGTTTTCTTTTATCACCGGTGTTTTATTTTATCACCAGCGATAACAACAACAACATACATCAACAGACTCATCAACAGCGACACACAATACCTATCCCTTTCTCATTTCATTGAATCACCACTCCTACCAACCATGACTGCGACTACAACACAAAAACAAAAAATACATATATGAAAAAACGAGACACGCATGTCAACCCAAGCCATGAACGAAGTAACCCAACCCCTGGCGCCGACACCAGGTCCTCCATAAGGGTGGAGGAAGACCCAGTTAGCGCCTTTCCATCTCTTGGGAACTCACCCTCACTCCCTTCGAACCCGAGGTTTCAAAACTCCCACATTAACGCCTTTTTTTTCCTTGGATCATTGCATTCTTGTTATAGTCTACGCCACGTTCATCACAAGCTGAAAAGTCTTCAAAGTGGTGCGCAAACCACTTGATCAACTTCAAGGCCATGTCCAGAGCACTTTCAATTCGGTCACATTTGGAGCGATACCTCGTCAAGACACTTGGTCTGAATAGGCCAAGTCAACTGCCATCATGCTTGGGGGTAGATGGATCAAGGGTCAGCGATCCCAACGAAGCAACGATCAAGATCCACAAGTGCCTCGCGTCCGGATACTTTGCGCAGGCAGCAAAGACTGCTTCGGACGGTACACATTGAATTAGCGCATTGGAGGCTAGGCCGAAGGTGGCGATAGCTTTATCATACACTCCGACGAAGCTGTGGATGCACCCGGTGTCGATCTTGTTCAAGCAGACGCCGCAATGGGTGATCTTCCACGAGGTGGTTGAGACAGGCAAGGGCAAGGCGTATATGCGCGAGGTGACTGCAATAGAACCCGAGTGGCTCGGAGAACTCGCGCGTCATTTTTATGTCCTCAACAAGCAGCTCTAGAGTGCCTAGCCTCCCTTGTACAATATGATTTTTTTTAAGGTAAAGATGGCCGTCCGTGACCACACATCATTAAAAATGGAGCTGTCGAAGTGTTCCTCGTACCTGCACATAGTCTACCTCACTCAATAAAGTATGAGGATTGTACAGCCCATCCTCACCGGGTCAAGGACGACGCGTGTGAGTCCAAACGACGTTGTTGTTCCTTGTAATGCAGTGCGGGCGAAATAAAAGAAAAGCAGGAAATAGAGTTGGGTCACGTGGAACAAGCTCCGCATCCTTGGCCTGGCTCGGGAGGTTTTCCTTTCCTGACCACCTTTCTCGGGATTCAGAAAGTCCCTCACCTCCTCACTCCCCTCAACAATCTCTTTCCCCATCGAAACGCACACACAGCCCGCACTTCTCACGCTCAAACTCACTCATTCACTTACTCTGACGTATTAATATCTCTCACGACACTCTCAACATCGGCATCGTTTATCCACACAACTCTCTTCTTACACAATGGCCTCTCTACTTGCATGGACACGGATCGTCTCTCGACTCAACTCCTCTGTCTCAAAGCCCCTTCACAACATCGCCTGCGCAGCGACTATCTCCCAAAGCTGCAGCCCAGCACAACGTACATTGGCCACCCTCTCAAGGGCAAGTTTCCACAAGCAGGCCGTACTGTCACCTACTCACACCATCCTCCGAGTATCATACCAACAGCGTCTCAACAGCACAAGTGCTGCCGCCGCCCCTGCTCCTGCCGCCGACACGACTACACCCTCCACAACTACACCCGAGCTCAAAATCCATAACCCTCAGTATGACGAAGCAGGAAAGGAGTTGACTGTCATCATTACAGACAACGCTGTCAAGGTACTGGACAAACCATGCATGGATAATGCGAATCCAAAAAAAAAAAAAAAAAAAAAATTGTATTTGCTGCATGGTACCAACTAATTGTCTCGGCTTTGTATTGTTTAACTGATAGCAACTGAAGCGGATTGCCATCAATGAAAAGAACCCCTTGCAGGCACTGAGGATCACAGTCGACTCTGGCGGATGTCACGGATACCAGTACCTCTTGGACCTAACGGATACTGTCAACGAGGATGATGTGTAAGGATTACCGATATGACCCTTTTTGAGCTTGGATTCCTGCTTGCAGTATTGGATGTGCCTCTTGTTCAAAACGACAGAGACTAAGTTTCGTCTGACTACTTTTTTTGCATGAAAATAGTGTATTTGAGAAGGACGGAGCGCGCGTTGTTCTTGATACGATTACATTACCCATGGTGAGCGGGTCAAGAATTGACTACATTGAGGAGTTGATCGGATCAGCTTTCAAGGTTCTTGCCAACCCCCACGCAGCACACTCTTGCGGATGTGATACTTCATTTGAGATCAAGATCTAAAAGCTTGTCGTACAACCGAACAAACTTGTGCATTTATTTGATCCAACCTTGGGGCGCAATTGTACTGGTACTTCATACACTTCGAACTAGACATTTCATTTTGCATAACAACCTTACACCTCCCACACCCTCCCAGCATTTCAACAGAATAAAAAGGGCATCGAATAGTTCGTGTGCTGTGCCTGAATGATATCATTGAGGGGTCCTAGTGCGCTGCGGAGTGGCTTACTGTCAACAGATTTTTAGCAGTCCATTTCTCGCCTTTCTTAGCTGATCCCTTGTCTGACCATGGGTGCCACCTTCATTCACCTTCCACCATTCACGACTTACGGGCCACCTCGGACTAGGAACAGGACAGAGACGAATCACCCACCAACAAAAACACATTCACTCGGCATCGAGAAGTAACTAGAGCCGTGGAATACTACTAATGACAGGAACTGTAGGAATATCTCGGCTAACCATGCCACGGGTCAGGCCTATTGCTTCGCCGACTTTCACAACATACCCAACCGTCCTCCTCCTCCGCCAATATCTCCCCTGCAGATGTCTACATCAACACACCCTGCGCACATTATCTCCAGCAGCCTTCAACTCCAAACTTGGCACCCGGTCTGTCAAGACCTCATCAGTCAGCCACAAACGGAGCTTCAATGACAAAAAGCCTGGACCTAGTTCCAAATCTGGTGGTAGTGGCGGCGGGTATAACAGGGGAGGCAGGGCTCCATACGATCGAATTTCGAATGCTTCTAGCGGTCGCATGTCTGGCAATACCGGATCTGGCGACATTTCGGGATATCGGTCGAGGCGACCTGCCTATGTCAAGGCGCATTCAGTATCGGGTTCGCAGATGGTCCAGGCGATCGAGTCAAGCCGACAGGGAGCAGGACTATCAAAGTCGGAGGATGGCGACAGAGGAACGATTGATCCATTTGGAAATACAGCGGCAGACCCATTCGCCAACAAGCTGGAGGCTGCCATTGAGGCTAGTTTGAGAACCACGGGTCAGTCACAATGGAGCAGTAGGGCGGACTCTCGGCATGACCGCGCCAACACATACCCCGCTGCGGAGACTCAGATTCCGGATATTCAGGCGCAGTACCTTGTCGGATACGCTCGTTGGGAATCTGTCAAAGCCAAGGACGTAGAAATCAAGAGTAAGTTTCCGCTACGACTGCATATCAGGAATGTTCACTTTGAATATGAATCAGCTAACAACAAACGCTCCTTCATTTGAGTAGATGTTACGCCAGAAACGAGACCCAAGGTGGCAGTGTTGGAGCATGGCTTGGACCGAGTTCTTTTCAAGTAAGTGTCGAGGCACAGGAACCGCGTTCACAGCATACAACGATCCAACCTTATGTTTGTGAGCCCAACTAACAAGTCACCTTTTTTTTTCCACTTCACACAGCCCAGGTGTTCATTGGCTGCAGGATCCACGGTCGTCCGTGTTCAACTTTGACCCCTATCTGCGATCAATCTGCCAGCCCAAGGACTTCGATTACGACGCATTGCCTGCCTACAAAACATCGTCGATGGATCCAGCACTGCTCAACATTTTGCGGAGTCGTCACGGAAAGTACATGGGATCGACCTCATCCATGACCTCTATCCTGTCCCAATACTACTTTTTGATCTCTGGATGGAAGCCGCTCAAAACAACGCATCTTTCAGAGGCATTTACATCTCAAGTAAGTCGATAGAATGATGGATCATAGATTTCATTGTGCGTTGAACGTTAAGTAACCAGAGCTTTGGCTAATCAAGAACACCTTCTCTCCGATAGCCCAAGGGGTTCACAAGGCTGAGCAGGGCACCGACTACCATCGAGTTGGTGCACAAGGGCGATGGATACTATGCAATTGACGCCGATAAGACTTTTGATTCATCGACAGTCTTGATGCAACTTGTAAGCGGGTTTGATTATGATCCATCGACAAATGCCCGTCGCTCATTGATTGCAAGATTGGCCCCACTAACATACGTTGTTTATCGCTCTATGGCACAAAAGGGAAAGTCCATGGAAAAGATGTTGACTAGCACGCCACAAGAATTTTCAAGGTTTACAAAGGCGAATTCTTGGATGGTCACACCAGAGGAGAGAGATCAACTCGAGGCGTTCAACTACATCTCTGTCGACAACTTCCTGCTCCGTTCACAGCTGGACTGTGAAGATCCACGGCTTCCGGGCAAAACGTTCGATCTCAAGACCCGTGCCGCAGTGGCAATCCGCCTGGATGTCCACAACTATGAACTCAACCAAGGATACCAGCTTCGCAAGGCGCACGGGTATCTGGAGAGTTTTGAGCGCGAATACTACGACATGATGCGATCGGCGTTCTTGAAGTACAGTCTCCAGGTCAGGATCGGGCAGATGGACGGGATCTTTGTCGCCTTCCACAATACGGCCAGGATCTTTGGATTCCAGTACATTTCTCTGGATGAGATGGACTCGCGGTTGTTTGGATCGAGCGTGATGGGCGATGAATGTTTCAAGAACCAGCTTCGGTTATTTAATCGCACCCTGGATGAGATTACCGCCAAATACCCCAATCAGGACCTGAGGATCACTGTTGACACGGATGAGACCGTCCAGAGTATGAATGTTTGGGTCGAGACTTTGCCTTTGGGAGCCAAGACATCGGCGCAGGGTAGGAACGTGATGGTGGAATTTGACGAAGCGGGAGCACCAGAGATGCAACCCAACGCAGAGCTCAGTCTGTGGCAGATTGTCTGCTACTCCAACGTCAACAACTCGACCGTCATCGGACCTTTTGATCTGAACGAACGAGGCACCGACAGGTGGGAGCTGCGGTATAAGATTGCGGAGCTGAAGAAGCCGCATATGATGAGCGAGTACCGCCGGATGAAGGCGATTCAAGCCGAGATCATGCTTGATGATGCTGCGAGGGAGGCGCTTGCTGAGAAGGCGTTTGAGGCAGGAGAGGAGGATTCGGAACTCAAGCTTGAGTCGCTTGCCCGTGCGGCTTCTAGGCGCGATATCATGAGGGACCAGTTCCGCAGGATTAGTGAGCAAGGACGACTCAAGGAAGAGGATGAGGAGCGGAGGCAGGCTGACAAGGAGTTTTTGATCTGGGAGCCCAAGGGATATATCAAGATTTCTGACGCCATTACTGCACCTGTAGTCAAACCTAAACCTGCGCCTGCAGAAGCACCTAAGGATGCTAAAGCCGTAGCCAAGACCGATAAGAAGGCCAAGCCCGACAAGAAGGCCAAGGGTGCTCAACCTGCCGCCAAGATCGACAAGGACAACCAAGGTGACTCTATCACGGCATCCATGGCTCGCAAGTTGAAGGAGATTATCCCCAAGGCTGTTGCCTCACCTTCCGCTGCTGGTGCCACAGCCAAACCCTCCGCCGTCTCTAAACCAGTCAAAACTGACGCAACCGGCGACCCCAAGAGTACCTCCCCCGAATCAGAGGTGCCTACAGCCGAGAAGGTTCTTGCGGTCTACTACCGCCGCTTTTCCAACGGCCACATGACCAAGATCCCCCGCGAGGATCTCTCGTTCATTCGCGATTCCTACCAGAAGTCTGCATCGCTCTCACCCGAGGATTCGTTGCGTCTGAAACATCTCTCTGGTTTCCACGACGACCTGATCAAGAGTTTGACGCCATTTGAGGACATTCGGTTCAAGTTGATGGAGATCCCCGTCCGTGGAGTCGATTATGCAGCCCTGGACAAACCAACCCTGCACCGGATCGCGGGGTATATGGGTATCACACCATCTGCTGACCAGAGCGATCGCGCATTGGGCCGGATCTTGCACGCAGAAACGGGTCGGTTCCGGTACAAGTTGCATTTGGACTTTTACCACAACTGGATCCACAAGGTCTTGGCGCTGAAGGACGATGCTGCCCCCCTGGCTGCCTTCAAGGAGTTTGTGGCGGTCGAGGATGAGGCAACGCTGAAGAGAGTTGCGAACGGACTGATGGTCTCGGAGAAGATGATATCTTCGCAGGAGAAGTTTAATAGCTTGAACCGGGGCGATGCGATCAAGAAGGCGGTGTTGTCACAGATTTATTACGCCGAGAAGTCGTTTAGCGATAATGAGCTCAAGGAGATGGGGTATTTGCCGAGGATCTTTGATCCAGCCTTGTATGCGACGACCAAGCAGCTCTTGAACGATGGAGACAAGAACGAGGACAGAGCCGATATTGTCGAGTCCGAGTCGAAGTCCGAGTCGAAGTCTGAGTCGAAACCGGAACTGGAGTTGGAGCTTTTGAGCGACAGTGCTGTGAGCAGTAATAGCAGCGCTGTGGTCGATGAGTAGAAGGAGAAGGAACGCGAATAATTCATGGACACAGCATATTTTTTTTTCCCATTTCAGCATAAACCGCATTTTTGTATTTTTATTTTATTTTATTTTTGACAACTTTCATGAGGGCGAGGACGACGATTCGAACTGCGATCGTGAACTGGTACACCTCACGAACATAGTATATATTTTTTGGCCGACACAACGTTTTGCGGACGGATTGTGCTGCATCATTGGGCGAACCTCAAGTGCTACAAGTTGTGGAGCATCCCATGTCATGTTGAGGATACCATTCTGGTACTTGGAGCTCTCGGATATACAATATCATTCCTTGAGTGGGATGCTGGTCAAACACACCGCGGAAGATGTAAATGAAACTGGCATTTCAGGAATGACAGACTTGAAACACCGGCCCGCCAGGTTAGGTCGTGTTGGGTGTACCTTTTTTTTCTTCTAAACCTACACCGGGAGATCGTTGAACAAGCATCCTGTCTTTTGCTTCTTTGCTGCATGCATAAAGAGCGCGTCTGTGTAATGAATCTCGTGAAAGCGAAGCGAGCTCTCCTGCCACTAGTATTGTTTTCTTTTCACTCCTCTTCTGCCCCTCCTCTTGGCACTCGCCTCTACCGTTTGGACCTCACTCGCTGCTTCAGCAACACTTGATATGATAAACACTTTCCTTTCATTCCCTCCTTCCTTCTTTTCCCTTTCAACAGAAAAAGGAAGAGAGCGTGTGATATATGTGTTTACGTCGTCCTCTCCCACACTTCCTTTCTTCCTTCTTCGTGTTTCTTTGTCGGAGTGCACGTCTGCGTTGTTTGTCTGATATCCACCGTTTCTCCTCTATCTCCCTTACAGACATTTCGCTCTCCACGCACTCCGACTTCCTTTCTCTTTTGAGTGGTCGTGTATGGGGTGCGCGTTAGCCTTGCTTTCTTTTTGTTCCTTCCTCGTCTTTTTCTCTGGGGACGAGCGTTTGCGTTCGCACGCTGCTTTTGTTGTTCGTTCTTTCCTCATCTTTACACACACTGCGCTTCCACATGATCAAGAAGGTAAATCAACTCGACGATCGCGTGCGGCGGCATAATTCATTCTGCGACGTGATGCGTCAAAGAACCAACTGCTCTACAGCAATAACGATCGAAAAAGTCCGTGAGATTTTGAGCTTGTACTTTATTTTTTTTTTGTGCTGTGGTAGCGCGAGAAATCCGAACCCTCCCGCTTTATCCCTTCATGTTATCGACGGCAGTGGTAGCCTCTGTTGCGATCGCATGCATGATCTCCTTCTTGTTCATGTCCTTGAGTTTGTACTGTAATGAGGCCTCATATGCGAACGAGATGATGGTATCGTTGATAAAGATGAACTCATCCGCGAGCGCCCGGATACAGTTGCCGACACGAGCAATCGACTCTCTGTCCCTAGGTGTAATATCCTCCTGAAAGTATCCCGCATCAAAAAAAAAAAAAAATCGAAAAATGGTTAACTACACGCGTTTTTTTTTTTTTGCATAATTAATTGTCACAACAGACAATCCGCCTGTTCAAAATCAAAGTCCGCTAATAAGACGCCTCACCTTGTTCTTGTTGGAATACACGAGCTCGGTATCAATCTCATCCAAGTTCTGGGGGACGTGAGCACTGACCCAGATGTACCCGTTAAGACCCAAGATCACATCAACTCCACAGGCCAACGAATGGAAATGCGATTTGCAGCGCTGAACCAACGCTGGAGGCACAGAGATAAAAGTTCCGTTCCTGAGCTTGCCGTACTTCAAACTACGGGTGTGGAGAGAATAGGCACCATCTCCAAAGAACGCCTGAACCTCTGCCACAACCAAGTCGCCCTCCATGAAGAAACTGCGCATCTGCAACTCGTCAGACTCTTGTTTTCTCCTCTACAAAAACGATTCGTCAGTAAAAATGGAGGTTGTTGCTGTTAGTTTAAGCACATAGTCCAGATCTATAATCCAGAGAATGACTGTATCCCCGGCTCAACGGACAACCGACAAAGAAAAATCCATGTTATTGTACCTGAACTCCTCCGGGCAAGTTGATAGAACTCAACATTAAGATCGCATCCTGACGTGCGCTCACATCGACCTTCCACCGCTTCTGTGCAACCTCTGTAATCCTGCCCACCACAACATCTCCAATCTCTCCAGTGTATCTAAAGCAGGCAAAAGTAAACGAGGCAGTGCGTTAGTCCAAAATGTCCTTTCCTGCAAGACATCAAATACACTGTTCCCTCGCAATGAAGCAGGTATGGGCCGAAAATGTACCTTGTGTGCAATGGTCTGACAGAGATCAATTTGTTGACGCGATCCACCACTCCAGCAACACTTGAGACCACCTTCTCGTTCTCGATATATGTTCCGTGACCCCTACGAGTATTAGTATTACAAGTACACAAGTAATACGGTTAGCCATCCAGTCTTCACATAGATGAAGCAAATCAACGCTCACTTTTCTTTGCTCAGAGTGGTCTAGAAGTCTTGTGTACCTCATGAAGGCTGTATCGTTGGTGATGACCTCTCCTGGCGTGACGACGTGGAGTGTGGAGGCCTTGACACCAGATCCGTTGGCACCATCCTCATGGTCGCCGTCGAGCTCCATATCCTCCAATCCGTGCTGTTTACTCTGCCTATGGGCCTTGCTGCCCGAGATAGCTGTCCTGGGTGCGGGCGAGTGGAATGAAACGTTCATCGTAGATGACTTTTGTGTGTTGGCAATGAATAGGTTATTTGTGGCGTTGAATAGAAGAGGCGTTTCTTTTCGGCTCCTTTTGTATCCTGGAGACGGGGGCCGTAGAGTGTCGAAGGTGAGTTGGGTTGAGAGGAGAGGGAATGGTCAACAACAGGAAGAAAAAAAAAGAAAAATAGAGGCCGCATGCACTCTCTCAAAAATGTCAACAAACCCTACGAATGACAGTCACTTCAGTCAATTTCAAGCGCGTCTTCTCTATTCATGAACTATCGTCGTGTCCGAAGTCCAAACATTGCTTGCAAGGCAACAGACAACATAACGTGGTAAACGGCCATTGAAGACAAACGAGTTTTATTATGTTACAGAATTTTGTTGTTGTGTATGTGTGTATGTGTGTATGTGTGTATGTGTATGTATGTGTATGTACGAGAGTGAGAGAGAAGAGAGATTGAGGGATATCGTGCTACTTTTGACAAAATGATATCTACAGTAATTTAGGCACCGATGACGAACGAGGCACCCTTGGTGATGTTGGTCTTGAGCTCGGGGTAAGCAGCATCCAACAAGGTTTGCTCATAGGTAGAGACCTGGGGAAGGGGCAAAATGTGCTTGACACCTTCCTTGCCAAACTCAACATCCAAGGCAAAGTAGTCCAAACCGTGCTCGGCCTTGAAGGCGGCGGTGCTCTCCTTATCAGCATCGAGGTTGACATACGAAGACTCGACCAATCCAGTCTTGCCGGCAACAGTGGCCTCGAGAAGAGTAAGAGCGAAACGGGCTCCGGCATAGGCCATCGACAAGGTAGCAGATCCAGCGCCGTCCTTGGCCTTCACGACCTCATCTCCTCCGTACTGGATGCGGTAGGTCAAGGCATCCAATTGCTCCTTGGTGAGACCCTCGACAAAGCCGGGGATCTTGGAGAGAATAGGGACAATGGTGATACCAGAGTGTCCACCAACAACAGTGATACGGGTGGACTTGGGGTCAACAGAGGGGTTGACCTCAGAGACGAATCTGGAAGAGCGGACGACATCCAAGGTGCTGATACCAAAGACCCTATTTCATTTTTAGAGTTGAGTCAACAGGTAGTGGTTAGCCATAAAAGCCCTTTTGGCGTGTGTATGGTCATTGTGAACTGACTGGCATAGGTAGCTTGATGCTCAGCAAGAGGGCGAAAGTGGGGGGGAGGATGAAAAGGTGGGGTTTGTTTGTTTGTTTTTAGGCATCCCTGGATCCATTGGGAGCATTGAACAACAAAATACGACTGGGGTAAGGCGGAGAATGTGGAGTCATTCTGGGCAAAGTTGGATCCCCCCATATCCAACCAAACAAAGAGAAAAGAGAACGGACCATACATATCCCACACCCAAAAATAAGTAAAATTGCTCTACTTTCAAAGTGCGGGGTATGACTCAAGAGAACATTCGATTGGGCCCAATTGTTCAGAAAGAGACTGGTAATGTCGAGAGGAGTATGGGTAATACAAAGGTGCTTACTTCTTGGGGTTGAAGACGCCATGCTTCTTGAGGACCTCAGCGACGATGGGGACGGTCGAGTTAACAGGGTTGGAAATGACGAGGACGAATGCACCAGGGCAGTTCTTGGCAATACCCTCGGCCAAGCCGGCGATAATGCCAGCGTTGATCTACATTCGCAAGTATCGCGTTGGTTGTTTGTTCAATCGAGTCCTGTTAGTTCTGCACTCTTCCCTTGCTAGTGCTTCCGTAGCAACCATCAAACAACAAGCAAAATAAAGTCTTTTTCATATCCATGTGTAGGTGTGTACCTTGAAGAGATCGTCACGGGTCATGCCAGGCTTGCGGGGGACACCAGCGGGGATGACGACGGTGTGGGCATCCTTCAAGGCAGCATCCATGTCGTCCTTGCCATGTCCGGTGACTCTGGACTTTGTGTTGATGTGCGAGAGATCGGCGGCGACTCCGGGGGCGTTGACGACATCGTAGAGTGCCAAGTCGGTGATCAAGTCAGACTGCTTCAAGAGCAAAGAGAGGGGCTGTCCGATTCCTCCGGCAGCGCCGCAAACGACGACTATTTGTTGTTATGAAGGAATTTCGGACAAGAGGCGTGGGTTAGTATCTGAATACTTGTACGTTGGCTGTCGCTATCGTAGAACGAGGTGGAGAGTTGTCCTTGACGTACCTTTGACCATGTTGTTTTCAGGAGCTGGAGACTGGAGCAAATAGTAGTGGAACGAGAAGCGGTGTTAACTTTCGGAGTTTTTTTTCTTTCTTTTTGTATTTCGTACTTTGGTGGTCGCGTTTGAAATGGGTAGAAGGAAAAGATGAATGAGCGGCGAACGAGGTCAAGAAGGAAAGAAGATGAGAACGAGGAATGGGCTTGCGAAAGAGAAGTGGAGAGGAGGGAAGGAAGGGAAGAAAGGAAAAGTGAAAAGTAAAAAGGAGAAAAGGTGTGTATTTGATAAAGAAAAACAAAAAGAGAGGAGGGCGAAAAGCATTGCGCACGTCTCGTCCTTCTTTGCTTTGTGCACAGTCTTTCATTTTTGATACCCCTTTTAAGAGACTCAAATCTCCATCCTTTTCGCCAGCCCTGAGGCGGAAATGATGCAATGTAACTTACCATGTTGATGTTTGTGTATGTGGTATGAAGGTGGTCGGTTGGGTGAGCTGGTTGTTGGGTGCTTGAGAGAAGAAAAGGATGAGTGTGGAAAGAAGAAGTGGAATAGTGGACAAAAGGTGTTCCTTTATATATGCATGGTTCCAGACAGGTTTAACTCCATCATTGTCGAGAATAGCACTCACACAAATACGCATATACTCAATTCAAAGCTCCCTCCCTTCCCTTTGGCTTCCTTACTTCCTTCGGAGCAATTGGTCATTGAGGCGTTATTTTTTCCTTCTTTCTCGTGTTCGTTGTTGGGTTGTTCGCGTGTGAGTATATTGCAACTGTAAAGAGCGTGTGAATGAATAGCATACAGCTATTCTTTCTTTACTTTTCCCTATTGACAGCCAGCTGCCGCGTAATACCAAACGCCTAAACACCTGTGTCTGGTCCTTCCGATTCCTCTACCTTTTCTCCCACGTAAACAACAAAGTCATTCAAAATAGACTCTGCAAGGGCACCAAGGGATAGAGAGAGGAGAAAGAAGGGATGAATCCGTGTCCTGCCCGTGTCAATCCTACACCTCCAATGCACCCTATTTGTCCATTGTCATCATGAACTGATGACCCATTCGGAAATGAACGGACAAAACACCAATTTCTCGGTCGCGTAATCTTCCGTGGAGAGGAGCCAGCCAAGGAGGAAGGGCACTAATGCGAATGTGAACTCACTGCACCGCAACCATCGCCGTCATCTTTTATCTTGTCGTGAACAATGCTAGCCCTTTTCAATGCTTGTCACCTGGGGCATTGAGTTCCTTCTCCCTCTCCTTCACTTAATCGACATAGGAGTGGTGGTCGTACACACGGAGAATGTCCGAATTGAGCGGAGAATAGATGTGAATGCGGTCACCATTAGGGAAAAGAAATCCTTCTCACCGGAACCACAAATAAGAAGCCTTTTTTCATTTCTGCAAAACAGAAATACTCCATTTACCTCAATTTGGACACCCGTTGGTTGATCTTTTTTCATTTTCCTGGTCTCTTCTGCGCCCAACGCAATCCAACTCATATTCCCACAGTTGTTTCCAGCGTCCCTAAATGACACAATCCTCTCATGTCATAACCACACCTACACAAGTCATTCCCCTCTAATGTCAACCCCTCCATTCTTGCACCATTAGATTTCTTCAACAGGGAACAAGGGGATACACGATGACCAAGGCTGAATTCGGAAATCATATGCTATCCTTCCTGACTATCAAAGAGCGAGGGAGAAGAATGAGAAAACTAAAACATGCGCACGACGATGACATTGGTCTCAAATTTACGGGCATTGCAGGCATGTATTGTGTTTCTGTTTGTTGAATGGAAACAAGGAAAAGGAAAAGAAAGAATAAATGTAACCAGCCCTTGACCACCCCGATCCTTCTCCGTCAAAAAAAAGATAAAAAATAAAAAAAGTTGAATTGGGACACGGGCAAAGTACGAAGCGATATGCTCGCCGCTTACCAAGTGTGACTGTTGGAATGATACCTTGACATCACCAAGCGCCCGATTCCGATTTGAGATCCCTTGCCAGATGCGCCACCAAAAGTGTCCCTGTGAAAAGGAAGCTCTGGTCCCAACCACCTCGTCCGCTAAAATGCACATTTTGCTAACGAGAACCTGGGACACAATCTCACCTTTTACTAAGGAAACCCTTTTTTGTAAAGCGCTTCCTTTTTTTGGACGAAGGGAGCTTCCTTAGTAAAAGGTGAGATTGTGTCCCAGGTTCTCGTTAGCAAAATGTGCATTTTAGCGGACGAGGTGGTTGGGTTCAGAGCTTCTTTGAAAGGCAGACTGATATTTCAGAATGGTAGCTTGCCCATCAGTAGGTCCGATTGCGACAATGACGCGTCGAAAGGAGATCACCAAAGCCAAGAAAGTGAAAAACTGATCAAATCACCATTCTTGTCTCCTGTTCATCGTCACGTTCCCAGTTCTCACCCTCGCTCTCATTTTGCCACAACCCTCATCCTTTCTCAACACTCGCTCTTCTCTCCCAACAACAACATCAACTTCATCAACCACTAGCAACAACATCGCCATGACAATCCAAGGAGTCTACCTTGAGCCCATCCGCAAGGAAACCATCGAATTCCAAATGTTTGAGGAACGCTTCGACAGGTTGGTCGCCCTCTACGAGATCATCTACGCCGAGGTTGTCAGCGGATACCTGGGCAACGAGGATGAATGGGACGGAACCACCTATTACCATGGCACCTCGCACTGCGGATGCACCGACCTCATGATCGCCAATTCTGAAGACGACCGAATCCCTGTCTATGCCTGGTGTAAAAATTCCCGCTGTTGTACTAAGGGCATCATCAGCAGCGGCTTCCTCAAGGCCAAGAGTCCACAAGGTAAAGAAATGCTCTTTTGGACTCTACTCAAAATTGCTTTGTTACTCCTGTTTGATCAGACTTTGGTTCTCACACTGTACTTCGCTGGGGATTGTTGAGTACAGGCCACTTTTTCTCACTTGATGAGGAGACCGCTCGAGAAATGGCAATCGGCAAGTCTTTTGGGACAGCCCCGGAATCACCCCTCCTGAGTATCTTTGTTTGTGTCGCCAGGAACCCTCAAAACGAAGTTATCTATCCTTTCGAGGACTACCATTCTGTCCAAAACGACAACGTAAGTTGGTACATTTCGCGTTTGCTCCTACACACCGCAATACCATGCTCAATCATTCTGAAAAACTCACCATCGTGTTTCTTGCCTCTCGGTATTCCTTCCGATAATAGGACATTTTGCCTGTCTACATCGCCATCGTACACAAGTAGACGTGAGGCAAGTTGCTCCTTGTCCTCTACACCAGGATGATCAAAGGACGCCTCCTCGGTGCAATCTTTTCTTGCCTTATGCTCATCACGCTTTCACATCTCCACCATCACTGTTCATTTCGGCCAAGCGTTTTTTTTCTTTTTGCACAAGATTAGTGATGTCAAGTTGTTCAATAAAACACCACCGCATTGTCACCATAAGCAATGCTGTGGGTATTAGTTTCCACAATGATGTCTAGGAGTGCTGTGAGCGCAGCTCCCAATGTGAGATCACCAGCGGGCTGGGGAAAGAGAGCGAGAACAACATATCATTCACATCTCGTTTTCTTCCTCTTCCCCTCTCTTTCTTTTCCTTCCCTCTCTCTTTTCCTTCTCCCCACCCCCAACCACCCCTCTAAAAACCAATCCATAACCACCATGAGCCTAAAAGGTCAACACCTCGAGCCCCTGGCGCCGACCTCTCCAGAGTTTCTACAGTACCAAGCAGTCTTTGGTGCCCACAGGCTATTGAAGCTCTACAAGATAATCTACGAGACGACGGGTACTCACAGCTTCGACAAATTCGACTCCTACCCGTCGATCTTCTTTCACGGCACCGGCCATTGCGGATGTGTCTCCAGGCGAAGTATCGATACAGATTTGACCACCATCAATGCCAGCAGCTGGTGCGGCGATGCCAGCAACTGGTGCGGCGGGGCCTGCGCGACTCAAGGGATCTTGAACCATGGTCACCTGCTGATCTACAGCAAAAGAGGTAATAGTCGCATTGTCACTTCCAACTGAGAGTTTCTCGACTGGAGCCTCAAACTAAATTCTTTGCAGCTCATCGAGATTGTTCGACTTGCCAATGAATCAATGAACTCTTAGGTCATTTTTTCTCTCCAAACTGGACTACGGCACGCGGCAATGCTTTGAGAAAATGCGGGTTTGCAACGTCGTCCATCTTCCTCGTCAAGGCTCGATTCGACAACAAGCAAAACGCTAACTTCTCCTCTGTCCGGAACGACACGGTATGTTAAACGAAAATCTTGATACTGGTGTGCCCGCATCTACTCCTTGCGATCTTTCTTCCTCTGAAATGTATGTGCGTAAACTCATCTTCTTTGTGGTTATTGGTAATTTGATAGGACATCCTACCTTGCTTCTTGGCTGTCCTTCGCAACCCCTAAACAATTTGACTTGGGCGCCTATGGGTAAAATGACGCTATCGTATGCCTTTATGCTAGCTTCCTCCCTTCACTTTGTCTCGTTTTGTCAAATAAAAAAAAGCACAGATCCACGCTGCGGCTGGCGTCCTTACATTTGAAGAAATGGCGAGGAATAGGAGAAGTGATAACCCCGTTATGGATGCCTGATCCCATCGAGAGGCTAACTGAGAGTTCGCGTTAATCAAAACATGACTGTTCTGCGCCTCCAACAAGGTTGGGAAGGAAGGAAGCAGCATCGTTCGCATTTTCCCTTCCTTCTTTTCCCTGATCTCGTGATCTTGAACTCGTAGATATCATTTCTTTTCCTCGAACTAAGGCAACGGCGCTGGGATATGCCCTCAGAAAGTCAGGGCAGCAGGCTTACTTGCCCATGTTTTTGGCCAAGTCTCGACGCCATCGCTTCCAGATCGACGACATCTGCTCCGTCCCGAATGGGAAGGTAGGATTGCGAAACCTCAAAGTTGTGCGTGCTCATTTTCAATGCGATTCTCTTTCGGGATGAAATATATACAAGCCTAACCTCCTTGTTGTTGGTGCTCCTCAGATAGGCCATCCTTCCCTGCTACCTAGTCATCCTTCGCAAGCCTTAGCGACACCCGTCTTAGAGACAGGGTGTCCACTTACGCCATGCAGCTTCCCCCCTACCTCCTACCACGATATGTTATGCTCTCCATAATTTTCACCACCACTTCTCGATTCCATACCCCTCTCTGTTTATATGAAAAAAAGAGTGCTGAACATTGTCATCAATGCCATCTTGTCGGCCAATAAACAAGTGAGATAATGTTGCAGATGCATTTTGTATTTGACCGAGTAGTACGAGTTACAGCTCCTTCAAGAGGTTCTCGGCGAGGGTGACAGACAATCCAGTGTTGTTGGGCTATATCACAAAAAAAAAAAGGCGGGTGTTAGCAGGCCACTCAGTTCAATAAATGACCATATTGCCTTCATGGTCGCATGTACTTGTCTCTCACCTCGACAAAGGCCTTGGTGATCTTGCCGTTCTATGATGCCGAGGTTGAAAAGAAAGGGAACAAAGGGTCATTAGTCTGATTGGATGGTCCTGGCAGGGTGTCATTCCTCTAATTGGCATCAACGTACCTCCAAAACCAAAGCGAAGCGCTTAGAACGGTGTCCACCAAGAGCAGCTGACATCCAACGATGAACAAATTATTGGTTAGAAATGCAAGGCCCCACATTTTACAATCTCTCTTCACAAAAGAACAAACAGTCAAACAAGGACGTGTAAGGTTTGATCCGCAACATACCGGAGGCGTCAAAGTCCAATCCGAGGTCCTTGACGAACTTGCCCTGAGGGTCAGCAAGCATGGTGACCTTGTCGCCAACGTTCAAGTCCTTGCCCCAGGCATCCATGACAAAGGCATCGTTGACAGAGACGCATCCGATCAGCTCGACGCCCTTGTTCTTCAATTCATCGTAATGCTTGAGGTAGCCAGGGACGTGGGTCTATGTCAAGGTCAAAGAGTGATGGATCCGTATTAGATCGATTGTCCCTGTTCCTTGATATGCGCTGTCCGCTTGCTCGTCGTGCAGCATCTCATGTCCAATCGGGTCCTGTCGCTTTCGGTGTTTACCTTGGAGCAGCCTAAAGTTCGGAGAAGAGTAGGAGTCAATAAAAACATCACAGATCAATTGTCCCATGTTTCCACCTGGCTGACCCAAAATAACAAGAAAAAAATTCAACACGAACCAGGGGTGAAGGCGCCAGGGACACCGATGAGGACGGCCTTCTTGGCAGATCCAAAGAGCTCGGCGGGGTTGACGGTATCAGCAGGGCTAGAGCGTTGAAGGACTGAAGCAGAGTTGAACGACTTGGAGACCAAGTTGGATGACTAGGTAAAGATAAAAAAATGACACGTAATTTTTATCGTGGGAAAGTGTCAGCGGTGTGTGTGAAGGAAAGAGCAAACGTGTTCAGGAAAGAATGGGTTGCTGCTTTGGTTGAAATGTGGAATGACATACGAAGAGGACACGAGAGGCACGGAGCATGGTTGAATATGATGTGAGGAAGCGAAAAGATGGAACGGGGTGATGGGGTGATGGGGTTGGGGAGAGAGATCAAAGGGCCAACAACCTTGCAGGAAAGGAAACGCGTCTGAGGAGAAAACCCTTAATTGATCAACGAAAGAAATGGCGGGATGTCGAGTCAGAGCAAAAGGATACAAGGGGGTCGTCCCCTTGGTCCACAGCTGTTGTTGTTCTTGCGTTGACGAAGGATGCTTCATCTTTATTCCCCCATGTGGATGTTTCGTGCATGTGGACCCTTATCGGGCTGTTGTTGACTGACTGACAAGGCGTAACTTCACGCCATGAAGCACAGGTGGGTAAGTGGGGGGTGTCATTTTTGTGTTCGTGAGAAGTTGGCGAGCAAGGGCCATGCGACAAGATATGTGTGTGAGCACACCTTGACATGAATGAACGATTGACAGAACGTTTCAAGGATCAGGAGGAGGGGAGGGAAACAAAAAGAAACAGGGGGTCAAAAAAAAAGAAAAAAAAAAGAGAAGAAAAGTTCTTGGTGGAGGAGAGAAACCTGGCAAATTGAGCTACCATCGACGTGGTGATAAGCGAATGGCGGTTGATCAGCCAGAAGCCAAGGGTCTCCACCCTGGATCTCTCTTCCACGAAGACGTGCCAATCCCGTGCAAGATCAGATCCTCCAAGTTCCAACAGCCACTTCAGGCAATTTTTTCTTTTCGTTCCCTTGTTGCTCTCACTCCCTCTGTTCTTCCTGTTGTTGTCAAAAGGTCCAGCGGGAATACTTTTGTTTTCTTCAGACATCTCTTTTTTCTTTTCCTCCTCCTTCTCCTTTCTCATCCTTTTTTTTTTCTTTTTTCATCATCCTCTTCTTCACCTGACAACAATACCTCCACTCTCACCCACCGTTGCCAAGTGACAATATAGTCGCCGTCTGTTCGTCCAACAAACCTACTCAAGAGAAAATAATGTCCGCGGGAACTACCTCCTCGCTGAGTCCACAGAGCCACCTTTCCCGTCCGAGGACAAGAAGCATCAACACAGACCACTCCAAGCAGCTCTTCACCGCACCTGCTTCGTCTTCGACTTTGTCTACAGGAGGATCCCACCAGGATCCGTCGTCATCCTCCACCTTGGCTCAATCCGGTGCTGCTCCAGTAACGACCCCTCCTTCAACAACAAGATCTGGTCGTCCACTCTCGTTCTCTCGTCCCAGTCAAATTTCAAAGTCAAGATCGCTGTCTCCACCACGATCCTCTGAGCCTCTTCTATCGGGAGTGACAGCTACAGGACCTTCAATTGGAGCCTCAGGATCAGGATCACTCGCTGACACCCGGCCCCACTTTCCTCTCTTACCCTCATCGATGCCAGTCCACAATTCGTCGCCACCCCACTCCCGCCAGCACTCACAAACGACGCTTCTCGGTTCCAGCAGCTCCAGCACACCAGCAACAACAGACTCGTCCTTCCACCACCACAACCAACATATTCTCCACCCGCACCCTTCAGGAATGCATCTCTCACTCGATCCCTCCACCTCCTCATCGGCTCATCGCCACGAGAGTGCTCGCTTGGTTTCAAACAGCACACCCCCTCTCCATCTCCAGCGCTCGATTAGTCTTGGCTCAAGCGCTAAAATCGACCACAATAGCGCTACTTCTAACCACCCAAGCGACCTCTACACCTCGTCTTCCTCGAGTGCCGTCAGCCAGAGAAGCCATTCTAATATTAACCTCGCTAACAGCAACAGCAGCATCAGCACCCTTATTTCCAACAGTCCTCTGCAACACCGACCCCACACTCCGCTAAAGTCGTCGTTCCCCATTCCAATTACCTCGGATAATCCTTCAGATCATTCCGTGCCAGTATCCGCCTCAACTTCAGCCAGCATGCACATCGGAGGAGGCGGTGGTGGCGGAGGGGGAGGGCTAGGAGGTGGGATTGGCATGGGAAGCAATTCGTCGTCGGAACACTCCTACGAAACCACAACGCCGTTGCACTTCAAGTCGCTCTCTACCAAGACTGGACGTTCGCATTATGCCGACAATGAGAAGCAGCTTGGATCACTACCGACGATTCATCATCAGGGACGAGGCGGCAGACGTAAGTTTCATGGTTATGTGTGTTCGCTTGTTTGTTTGTGTTTGTGTTCGTGTCTCGTTTGTCGTTGTGGGGCCATTTCTATTTTCAATCCGACACCCTTTTCTGAGAGGGACTGAATGAGGGGTTGCAGGTGTTTAGGGGGGACATTTCTATGCTGTTTTTTTTAATCCATTTTCAAAGGCAATGGAAAGAAAAGGCCGTTCCTGTTGTTGTATCTGTGCTCGCGATGGTGATCAAAGGACACCAAAGAGAAAGAGGTGACGGACGCACCGCCTTTGCACTAGTCGCGGGATGATAAGGCTATGCGACAAAAATACTGCCTGACAAAGGGGATGCAACCTTCGACAACAAAACAACAACAACACAACACAACAAAAGATAAACCTGATAACCACCAAACGCTAAATCGGGAGCACTATTCTCCCAGATTGAGAGGACAACAAGGATATCAACAAGTTCTTAATTCTACTCTACTGGTGTCCCCGCCTGAAAGCAACGGCATTCGATTGAGACCGTGGGGCCCCTTCATAGTACAGATCAAACGGCACCAACACAGTACATCAAGTGGAACTAACATCAGTATCGAACCACTTTTTTCTACATTATCTAGAAGAGAGTCCCACTTTTCTTGGCGTTTCAATGAAGCACTTGTCTCTGGTGGTGCTTCTGCTGCAAAACAGTGTTCTCGTACTTATGATGCGCTACTCACGCGTCTCTGTCGGTCCTGATCAGCCCATGTACCTGGCGTCAACAGCCGTCTTTCTTGCCGAGATCATCAAGCTCTGCACCTGCACAGGAATCTTGGCTTACAGGACCCAGTCGATCTCCAGGACAATCCACATCCTTCGCAACGACGTCCTAGGCCAACCACGGGAGCTTCTCAGGTTGCTGATCCCCTCAGGACTGTACGCCCTCCAAAACAACCTACTCTATATCGCACTCTCCAACCTCGAAGCCGCCACATTCCAAGTCACCTACCAGCTCAAGATCCTTTCAACCGCTATCTTTTCGGTTGTCATGCTCAACAGACGGCTCACCAAACAAAAGTGGCTCTCGCTCTGCCTTTTGATGCTGGGCGTCACTCTGGTCCAATTGCAGAACGTCGGCACGCCCAAGAGCCCTGTGGTGCTGGACACCTCAAAGAGTGACGAGGGCGATTCGAACTATTTGGATTCATCTGGAATGGGCGACGAGCTCGATTCATCACCCCCCGAGGACGACTCGTTGGTCAGCCAGAACCCCATCATCGGACTGTTTGCCGTGCTGACATCCTGCGTTTCGTCTGGATTTGCTGGCTGTTACTTTGAGAAGATCCTCAAAGGCACCGAGTCGGACATGTGGGTGCGTAACCTTCAGCTGGGTGTTTCGGGATCCCTCTTCAGCTTCCTCGCCATGTTCTACGACCGACAAAAGATCTACGATGGCGGCATGTTCCAAGGATATTCTTTTATCACCTGGTACGTCATCACCAACCAGGCGCTCGGTGGACTGTTGGTCGCTATTGTGGTCAAGTACGCCGACAACATCCTGAAGGGCTTCGCGACGTCACTGTCGATCATCATTTCAGGAATGATCTCAGTCTTCTTTTTCGACTTTGAGCCTTCGATTCAGTTTCAGATGGGAACTCTTGTGGTGATCCTGGCCACCTTCCTCTATGGCCGACCTGACGCTGCGATTCCAAGATTTATTCGACCGCAGAAAAAGTAAGCTGCAAAGCAATCTTTTACTTTCCCTCTTCCTCGTTTTCCCCTCCGTGCCGTTTCGTTGGTCCGCCCTTTAGCCGTGCATTATTGAGTTCCTGATCACTCACACTCAACTATACCATTGTTCTTCTTGTCGCTTCTCTGCTTTCGTTTGTTGGTTTGGCTGGATCCATCATAGGCGACAGAGCATGCCACCACCCTTGAAGTCTGCATCATAACCTTGCAATCCCAGGAGGAGGAGAGTCAGGAACAGGACATTCTCTATTTCTTTCGTCCCACGGCCTCTTGGCGCACAAGACATTGTAGTTTTTTTTTTCTTGTCCCCCAACCTAGAAACACTTTTTTTATTATTGTCTGCCACTTTTTCATTTTGTCTGCACCTTTGTACATTACTTCACCTGTGAATAAATCTGGTGGCGCAATCTTTAATTGACAACATCTTTAATTGACTGTCCAATTGGATTCGATCCCTCGATCACTCTTTTTACTTACATTTCTTTCTCCCTCTTCTTTCACGTTTCACCCACTTTTCTTCTCTCCACACTTCATACAAACTCATACCTCAAAAACACATTCATTCAACTTACAACACCGACACACTTGTGATGGTAAATCCACTACGAAAGAGAACGCCGGCCGACCTCAAGGACCAGACTACCAACACTGATGGTCATGCCAACGCCAGCGCCAACGACCATGGTGCTACTGCCATCAATGGCAAGGACAACAACAACAACAACAACGACAGCGACGAGAGTCAAGAGAGTATTGCCAGCCTGAAGAGCGCCAACACCAACGTGCCTCCACCGATGTACAAGGCCATCCGCTTCTTCTTCCAGATCTGCCTCCACTCCTTCTATGGCACCGTCGAGGTCGAGGGCACCGAGAACATTGCCCCCGACAACTACCCCGCGATACTCGGTATGTTTAGCACTCTCGCTCTACCTTCCCTACTTGGACGTTTAACCGAATGTAGCATCATCGATGAAATCATTCAGAGGAGGGAAAAAATTGTTAGTGTGAAAACTATCCCGTCACAACGCATTAACTCTGTTAGTGCTTGACTTTTAACTTTCATGGCTAATGGATAATGGATAGTGGCGAACCATAGCAACAGTCTGACAGACGCAATTGCCATCCTCTCGACAGTACCACCCAAGAGCAGGAGCATGATCCGGTTGACCGCCAAGGACACCTTCTGGCACAAGCCTGGAGTCTTCAAGTAAGTGCTAGGTTGACTTGGCGGCTGTTCCTCGGGCTTTCCTTTGATTATCGCCTTGGCAATGTTTCGCTGTGTTATTTTCGTCCCTCCCTCCGTTCTTTGTCCACCCCCTTGTTTTTCCCGTTGTAACGTTGTTGTACATACCACTCGTATTGCTGTTCGCTCGCTGATCAGTCGGTTGTCCAGAGCTAACTGTTATTCTTTTACTCTCCTCCTCTTCAATTGCTCTCTTTTATGAACCCATCATAGCTATGTCATTAAGAACGCTGGAACTATCCCCATCAAACGACGAAAGGACTATGATAACCAAAAAGTGGACAATGCGAATACGATGAGTGCTTTGATCGATAGTCTGGGAACCGGAAGCTGTGTGTGGTAAGTTGTCTCCCTCCTCCTATTTTTTGCAAATGTTGTTGTGGTGTTGTTCTTGACCCTTCGTCCCTCTTGTGGATTGTTGCACTTTTTCTGGCACATGCAAGACAAACACAAGAATCGAGGTTGCATGTCGCGATTTCGTGTGAAAACCAAGAGGCAGAAAAGAGAGTTTTCCAGGGACTATGGATGAGTATACACATCATGCAACCCCCCAAAAAAAAAAAAAAAAAAAAAACATTTTTACGCGATTTGTTTCTTCTGGCTTGTGAGCATGAAGAATTGCAGCGAGTTGCAGGGGGGAAAGTAACAAGGGCTAGCTCACTCACCCCTTTCTGTCTGTTTTGCCGTTTATGTCCAATTAATAGCATGTTCCCTGAAGGCATCTCTCGTTACCATCCTCAGCTTGCACCCTTCAAGGCTGGAGTGGCCATGATTGCCAGCGATGTAAGTGAAAAAAGTCCGATATTTGCCTAGAACCGTGATTTGTCATTCCGAATGCCCTATTTTCGACCGCGCTATGCTCTTTGTACATTGCTCAGGGTATATTTCTATTCCCTAGCTTTTACTCACGTCCATGGAGCACACAATGGCTAACCCTGTTCCCTTATCTCATGTCCTGGCTTCCCTCCTGCTTTTCGTTTCTCTGGATGAATCTATATACAGACTCTCGCCCAGTTTAGGGACCAGCCAGACTTTTCGTTGACATTGATGACGACGTCGATCAACTACTTGCACCGCGAAAAGTTCCGCTCAGATGTGCTTGTGACATTCCACCCTCCAATTGTGCTGACACCTCAACAGGATCCCATGCTGTTCTCGACCGTCAAGGAGGAGCGGACAGAGGCGATCACGAAACTGACAGAGTTGCTCGAGTCCACCGTCAGATCGAACTTGTTGGATGCTGACGACTGGCAGACTGTACGCGTGGGTCATGTGGCTCGTAAGCTGTACGCTGGCGATTTAGGCACGCGGATCTCACTTGGACAGTATGTCCGTTTGACCCAGAAATTTGTCTCTGCCTTTGGACAGCACAAGCAGGAGTCTTTGAAGGGAAAGCTGGATGAGGAGCAGAGGAAGCAGGAGAACAGTGGCAGTGATGGAGAGAACAGCGATTCTTCGGAGATGCAGCGGCCCGTCAGGTTGAATGCCGATACAGCTCGCAAGATGGATGAGCTTGCCACCGATCTTGCCGTAAGTTGACCTTGGGCCTGTCCATTTTTTTCACAGTGTCAACTCTTGTGCTGCAGATATTGGTATTCCTAACATATGTGTGACATGTTGGCTTTCGGCGGGTAATAGGAATACCAAGATCAGCTGGACTTTTACCACCTCAAGGATTATCGCATTAAGCAGGGCAAGCCTCCAGTCAAGGTGCTTCTGGGCAAGCTGTTCCAGCGGTTCTTGTTGGCTTGCTTGTTGTCAACTATCTGCATCCCTGGACTCATCCTCTGGGGGCCCGTATTTATTGCCGTCAAGTATGTTCACGATTATTTTGACATATTTTGTTGTAAAGACTTTGAGCAATTCATTGTTAGTAGGACGGACAACTAATTCTTGTTTTCCACTTGTTTGTAAAATTAGGTACCAGGAGAGACGGATTCGTAGGAAGGGACCTTTGGAGGACAACTTGGATGAGATTGCTCAGTACAAGTTGATGATTTCGGCATTCTTCTTGCCTATTATCTGGGGATTCTGGGTCCTGATGACCTTCCCCATTGCTCTTTTTACCGGCCCTGGCATTGTTGTCCTCATGTGGCTGTAAGTATCTTGGGGGCGTTTATGGATTATCCTCAATCGAATGGTTTTCACTTGAGCACCTTTACTCATCATACATGTTCACTCCTTTGACAATCCCCTTCTCTAGTACGATCAGATGGTTGGAGGATTTGATCCATAACGCCAAGTCAATGCTGTCATTGCTGCGATTGGTGTTCATGACTGAGGATACGATGTACTCGCTTCGGGATTATCGTCAGGAACTTGCAGGCCGTGTCCATGATTTTGCAGTTCAGTTCTTGAAATTGCCCGAGGACCCTGAGGAGCTGGTCAAGGAGAACAAGACCAAAAAGGCTGACAGTGGGTGGATGGGCATGCTTTCGGGAAGTTACTTTTCGATCAAGCGCCGGAGAAGAAAGGACTGGAATGAGGTTATGCGTCTCCATGATGTCTCTCGCTACGATTAGTTTTCTCTCACATAAAGGATGATTATTTTTGCCACCAATTTCTGGGATCAATCGGAGTGGCTTACTTGTGCCTGAAAGTTCTTTGATAGTGAACCAATTACCAGCTGTTGGTTCGTTCAAAGTCTGGCACCTTCTTCTCATATTTTGAATCTCCTCCTCCTTTCCCATCTTCTTTTCTCATCACCTTCCTCTCGTCACCTCCAACAACTTCCCCTCTCCGCCTGCCTAAATCAAACTCCTCGACAAGATCACCACTAGAATGAGCAACCACCCCGAAGGCCTGGACATCTACGTCTCGGTCGGTCCACCAACCGGGATCCTCCATGTCAAGGACGTTGACGGCGACGACTCGACAAGCCTTGTGCCCATCTCTGGAATGCAGGACATCTCAACTTTTGGAATTGCTGGGCGTATCTGGGACAGGTAACCCTCCCTTTTTACTTTCTTTTTTTTTTCTCGTCGTTTGTTTTCACATTATAGAAGGCTGGTACCTGTATGTTTATTTTATCGCTATTTTTTTTATGGTTTTCGGTTTGTTATGTATGTAGTTCGTACACGTTGGATGCGTATATGAGACGGCCGACGGACCAGTATACTTTTACACCCGCGTGTCCCATCCCCGCTGAATACTTCCTGCCCACCAAGACCACAACCCCAACCACCGCCACTTCCACCACTACAACCTCAGAGCTGGTATCAGCAGCAGCAACAACAAAGGAAAAGAAGAAACCGATCAGGATCTTGGAGATTGGCGCGGGGACAGGATACGTCGGGATCGCGCTCGCGAAACGCCTGGATTCAGATTGTACCGTCATCCTGACGGACCTGGAAGAGGTTGTGCCCCTGCTTCAAAAGAATGTCAATGAGCAGCGTCTCCCCCGTCGTCATCGTCCCCCTACTACCTCTGCCTCCGCCGTAACGACCATCGCCACAGCCTCAGAAACAGAGCGGCCCGCAGTCAAGGAGCCATCATGCGCATGGATAGAAGTGGAACCCCTAGAATGGGGAAACACTTCTCACGCCCTCGCCATCTTGGACCACCCTACTCCCATCGACTACATTGTCGCCAGCGACCTCGTCTATTTCCCTGAACTCTACCCACCCCTGTTACAAACTCTGAAAGAAATCACGCGGGTGGGGGAGACAAAGATTCTGTTTGGGTACAAGGAGCGGGCGATTTGGAAGGAGAGTCCGTTTTGGGAGGAGTTTGGACGGTTCTTTGAGATGGAGGCTGTCAGGATTGAGCAGCATCCTGTCAAGAAGGAGGGTGAGGTGGGAGGGGAGGAAGAAGACGAGGAGGAGGAAGGTGGCGTGAAGTTGTTTGGATGCGAAGGCGAGGATAGGTTGTATGTGTTTGTGGCGACCAAGCGGCCAGAGGACCAGATCTTGAAGGGCGCCGATGATACCTTGACCACCTTGATGATGATGCAGATCGGTCTCTAGTACAATACATATTTACCAATCACAAAAAAAAACAAGAAAAAAAAAAAACTATACGAGAGCATTTTTTTCATGCTCTCAGACGAAGCAAACATCCTCAAGTATCGCAGTGTTTATTTTGGTTTTAAAAAAAAGGTATCCAATAATATCATGCTTTCACTTGTGCTTCTTCTTGAGGGACGAGGCCGCAGAGGCAGGAGGCGCATTGGGACGTGGGGGTAACGGGATAGGTTTATGGGGTAGCGGGATCGGCGTCCGGCTGAAGCTCTTGGATTTCGTTGAGAGGAGTGTGCTCGCCGAGGATCCGGTCAAGGGCGATTGTTTAGCTGCTCCTGTTGCTGTCGCTGTTGCTGTTGCTAGGCTCGATAGCGAAGGCGAGGACTTCGTCACTGGCGAGGAGTTGGCACTCGGAGTTGTAGAGTCTGGTTGTGCTGCCGTTGTAGTTCCTGTTGCAGCTGGCGAAGTAGTAGAAGTGGACTCGGAAGTAGGCGGTGGAGGTGGGGGTGATGATGGTGGAGGTGGAGGAGGAGGCGGGACAGGATCCGACGAGGCAACAGGCGACTCGGGTGGTGGTGGCGGTGGAGGAGTGGCTGGATTAGTTTCAGGTTTAAAAGTCGTCTCATCAACCAAAGTCTTCACAGAAGCAGGCGAAGACGCCTCTTTCTTCACTTCTGGTTCTGCCACCTCTGCTGGTGCGGACAGCTTTGACGGCGAAGCGGAGGCGACGATCGCTGATGACGCTATTGGGGATGCCATAGTTGAACGCTCTGTCGTCAGGTCGGGTGAAGTTGCTGCCATCGAGAGCTCAGACACAGATCCAGCGGTTGAGAGCGACCCAGTTGACGACAGTGATCCTGTAGACGAGTTCGAGTCGGAAGGTTTGAGTGCGTGATCCGTTTTGGTTACTCCTGCATGGTTCTCTGACTTGGGCGAGTTTTTAGACAAAGTAGTATCTGGCGACACCAGTGAGGTAGCAGATTTGGGGGTCGTGGCGGTCGGGGTACCATGACGCGAAGGCGATCCCGCAATTGTTGACTGAGACGTGGAAATCACTGGTTTTGGAGGGACTGTTGGGCTGGAAGCAGACGAGGGTGAAGTCGAACCTGCAGTCTTGGAAATTGACGTGAGAGACTGAGACCTAGATCCTGCCAGACTTCCTCGAGGAGGTGGAGGGAGAGGATGCTGCAGATGAGGAGGGGGTGGAAGTGGGTGGTGAATGTGCGAGTGACCTGAACGCGAGTCGTGACGATCCAGCGTGGGTCGCTCCCGTGTGACACTATTTTGGCGAGAAGTCGTATTAGGGGTTGTTGGTGATCCAACAGAGGGAATGGTGGGCAGACTAGGCGAAGAGGCAGAGGCAGCAGTGCTTGTGCTGACTGCAGCTACAGTGGTGGTTGTTGAGGACGAATTGCGAGAATGGCTGGTTCTCCTGTGAAGTGAGAGGGAAGCTGGTTTGGGTGGCAGTGGGACAATGTTGGGTCGAGGTGGCAGCGGCAAGGGTTGATGCCCTGTCCTTTTCGACTGTGATGAATGGTGCTCTGGATTCCTGCGCTCTGCCGTCTCGGACTCTCGTCGACGATGTGATCCGGTTCCTGAAGGCGCAGGGGAATTGGTCTGTGATGAGGGTGCTGATGACGACACTGAACTTGACTGCGATGCCAGAGGATTGGTGCTTGCTGCTGGTGATTTGAGGTTCGCGTCGGTTGTCGAGTCTTCCTTATCGCCCTTGGATGACACTGGTCCTGCAGGATCTGAGTTGTCCTTTGCCGATTCGTTTGCTACAGACGACCCTTCCTTTTGATCGATCACCATAGACATCGAATCTTCATCAATGCCATTCTGCTTTACTGCGGCGAGATCCTTCTCTCTCTTGTCGCCTTCGATGTCAGGCTTGGGGTCGACATCCATAGCGGCATCAGATTCAACCCCAGACATCGCACCGATACTTTCGAGAGAGTCATTGCCATTGAGCGTCGAACGTTCCTGTTCCTGTGATTTCAAGTCGCCTTCAGTACTGTATCTGGTATCCCTTGGAGTCTTCTTGACCAGCTTCGGCGCCCGGTTTCCTGCCTTGACTCCAAAATGTGCATCCGGCTCGCCCTCAGAACTCGAAGGAGGGCTTGACAGAGAAGAGTTAGAATCCACACTCTGTCGCCGGTTGCGCTTCTTGGGAATAATTTTTCGGCTCGACCCTTCCCTGCTCCCGCTCCCCGCACTCGATTTCCTTGGAAGATCCGCAGAAACATCGGGTGATGCCGCCGTAGAACTCGCTTCGCGTTTGACAGCAGGTGCGGTAGTATCCTGGATTGGCTTGGGGTCCTTTGGTTTTGACTGGGGTCGTGGCGGGAGTTCCAACGACAGTTCTTTTTTGACAACAGTGAGTTGTTTACTGTGCTTTTCGGTCGATCCGTGAGTATCGCTCCTCCTGGAAGACGGATGCAACGCCTCAGATTTCGAAGAAGTGTCGACTGCTGTTGAATCCTTTGACTTCCGTGAGCTCTTGTGATCTTTTCCTTTGTCCTGCTCCGCAGACGCCTCTTTTTCTAAACGTCAATTGGAATGAGAATGATTGTATTAATAACGTTGTCAATTCGGTAACGGGAGTGACATATATCCATTGGCCTTAATATGACTGAACTTGATACCTGGTGGCGTTTGCTCCTTGACGATAGTCATGAGTGTTCCCTCGATCTTGTTTAGGTACTGGGCGGGCTGCAATAAGGAATCGACAAACTGTTGGACATCCTTGTATTCTGCGGACCTATTTTGTGTCAATTGGTAGTGCATGCAAGGCGTTAATAAATCTATTGATGGTCTCTGCTTCGCCAATTATTGGTGGGAGGAATTGAAGCGAAAACAGTGAGGAATAAGCTGAGGAGGACGTGTGGGTGCGGATGTGCTGTTTACTTTGTGATGCGCTCAACCATGAGTTGATGGAATTCGGGCTTCTCGCGCTGGAGTAGAGTTGGGTCGTCGTCAATGCATTTCTGGAGTATGTCGGTGAGTTGTGAAGCGAACTGTTGGCCTACAGACTGAAATAGACGTCGAAGAAGTGTGCAGAGTGGTGTGAGTGAGTGAGCGAGTCAGTGAGTCAGTGAGGAATGAGAGAAAGATGAAAGAGCAGGGCAGTTGAGTATGACGTACGCTGTTCTGGAAGTCGGTGAGAAGGCTTTTACGAGTCGAGTCAAAGTGGCCACGACGCTTGAAGAGGGCGGCCAGTTCCTCGGGTGTGATGGAGGCCATGGGTGTACTCTTAGCTGGTATGGTCGTTACGCAGTGGTCGTTATTAGTTCGATGCTGCTGCTGTGTCCTTGACGCGCAAAAAAAACAGGGTAGTCGTTATTTCTTTGCTGATGCGTTTTGTTGGGGCGTTGCCGGTGTTCGTTAAAGGAGAGTAGTATGTATGCGGTTGAGAGTGAATAAAAGTGTAATAAGCCAGAATTGTATAAGGGTGCTGCAGCGTGCTGAGTGAGGGTTTGGTTGTGGATGAGCGAAAGAGAGATGGAGGTTGGAGGGGCAGAGAAGGTAGGGGGAATACAAAAAAAACAACAGTACTTTCGGGACAGGAGAGGGGGGTGAAAAAAAAGGCGGCAGGAAGCCTCTTACGTTCTCTAATTGACCATCACTCGTCGCAATCTCTAATTGACTGAGGGCCTAGATGCCTAAAACGAACAGACAAATGACAGTCTTCGTCAACGAAGGTGGCTGCTTCTCCTCAAAGACACAGTGGAAAAAAAAGCGACAAAGCACAAAGAGATCTCTCTCAAGATCAACTTGTACTTTCTTTCCTTCTCTTCTCTTTGTCCTTCTTAATACCAAACCGACCAACCAACCAACACTACCCAACAACAGACCATGCCACCACGCGACAGACAGAACGACGCGATCTCGCTCTACGTCAGCGGATTCAAGGAAACCACTCGGTAATAATACTCTTGCAACAGGAGACAGAATGAGTGCCACCACTGGGACTCTGACAGTATATGACGTTTTTGTCTGATTCACAACCAAGGTTCTCGCATCTTAACCGTCCTCTGTCTTCTCGTTCACTTGCTATAACCTTCTAGCCCAAGTGACTTGGCGACTCTCTTTGAGTCCCATGGACGCATTGCCGATGGTAAGTCGCACCTCCATTGTTTCCTATCGCGTTGTGTCGACGTCCAGCACTGAGTGCGTATTAACTTTACGTGAAAAACTAACAATGATTACACTACCACCATAATGATATCACTTCTTCACTTTTCTCTAGTCTACATCCCCAAAGGTAAAGCAGAGCCTTTCTTTTCAGCAGTACATGGAATTGCAACAATAACATATGGGTTGGGAACTCTGTTTGCGTCGTTTTTTCGGCTTGTTCAAATATGCAAACGACATGTGGGGCGGCCAGACAACACAAGAGGGAAAAAAGGAGTCATCGAGGAGAGTTGGACATTTTCCCAATGCCAAATTGCTCACACACGCTACTCCCTTTTTTTATCTGTACCCTTGCGCCTGGCTATTTTAGATTACTACTCTGGACTCCCCCGAGGATTCGCCTACATCCAGTACGGTTTGTTCCTTCATTTCAACCGAATTTTCCGTAACGAGAGAAGCATTGTACAGGACAAAATACGTAAAGAGGGATGAAGTACCCGGCAGGCAGACATACAAAGCACATGGACATTTCATACAGCGGAAGACTCTACATGGATATAACGTGGACGCGATAAAGCAAAAAAAAAAGAGGGACGGGTGGAAAAAGACGACGTAGTTTCCAACACTAGATGATGATGTGTTGCCAACCGCTGCTCTTCTCCATTCCTTTATTCAACAAAAACAAATATCCGGTCTTTATTGTCTTTTTTCAACAAGACTCCACAAGTCAAGACAAGATTGGCATTCAGGGTGACGGCAAGATTATATCACAAGAACGTTCAACAAGGGGAAAGAACGACCTCGACAAGAATACATGCAAGGCAGAGACACGGTGATCGACAAGACCGCCCCCCGTCCATTGTGCTTTTGGCAGTCCGTTGGCAGTCCGTACAGCCATACACCTCCGCCCTTTTCCTGGATGGACACGAACCTCAAGCGGAGATGGATCCTCCTCCGCCACTATCCCCTGGGACCCTTACATTTGCACAAGAGATGGCGAATCGCTCAAGACACTTGTTTTCAAGACCTAACACTCCGTCCCTTACACTCTTATTTCACCGTGCCGTACATCTGCCCTTTGGATCCTGGTTTCCGCCTCTGTTCTCAGGTACCATGATGAAGAGGATGCCCGCCGCGTCTTTGAGTCTGGCGAGCAGTTCGTCCTCGATGGACGCAAGCTCGCACTCCAGTACGCCCAGGGTCGCCGCAAGAGTAAGTTGAATCATGATGACAGTTTCGGCGTATTTAGCGATTAGTCACAATGCTTTTTATAACCGATGTCTAACCTCAATCTTCTTTTTTGTCATTATGAACTTTTTAGGCCCTAACCAGATGAGAGGGTGCGTAGAATAGGTTTTCTTGGATTGTTTCACGAACTGGATTGTTATGTATGTTCTGGAATTGAGAACGACGATTTAACATGTCATTCACGTGTATTTATAGAAACGGTGGACGAGGTAGCGGAGGAGGTGGAGGAGATCGTCGCCGCTCCCGATCTGCTGACCGCCACTACCGCCCAAGGTACAACTCCTTGACACTTTGTTTGCATACGTATTCCTGAGCATGGATTCTTCGGGACAACGGAGTCTGACCTGCATTATTTTTTTTGTGTTGAACTAATAGTTCCCGCCGTCACTCGCGCTCAAGATCGCCCTCCAGAGATCGCCGTGATCGCCGGCATGACAGCCGCAGCCCCAGACGTCGTCGTTCGCACAGCCGATCCCGCTCAAGATCCCCCCGATCCCGATCCCGCTCTCGCTCTCGTTCTTCTCGCCGCCGCTCGCCTTCTCCTCGGGGACGTGGCAACCGTCGATCGCCCTCGCCCAGACGCCGTTCGCCTTCCCCTCGCCGCCGCTCTCCTTCGCCTAGACGTCGCTCTCCCTCTCCTCGTGATCGCTCTCCCCCAAGGGGCGGAAGCCCTGGAGGCCGCCGACCTTCGTTGAAGAACGAAGGCCCATTTGATGGCAACAATGGCGCTCATCCCGAGCACAACCGCATGGACATTGATGTCAAGAACGACTACTAGGTCTCGCTCTTGTCCTCTGTCCTCTTACTGTTAGCCAATGTTGTTTTGCTTTTCTCCTGTTTTCTTTTCATTTCGTTTTCTATTGCTTTATCCTTTTTTTTCTTTTTTTCCATTCGAGTCACAGATTGTTGCCGTGGAGTACGAACTCTATGTTGTTTTTCTCCTATTGTATCGGAATAAAGAATCGCTTTCCTGACGAGTCGTGATGACTTTTGTTGTTTCGATTGTGTACAATGGTGTGGATGTGGATTTGGTTGTGAAGTGCGAGGATTGATATGAACGCGCTATTCAAATTGATCAAGCGTGTCGAGCCTTTTTTTGGGAGGAGAGAGACGCGTGTTGTGCTGATGGCAATTCAAGCGATCTTTTTTTCATGTACCTAGCACAGCCATCAATAGACAGCACTTTTCAACAAGAGACAGAAGAGTGCTTTTCTCTCTACTCCTCTCACGCATACGCTTAAGCGCTTACAGAAACACAGAGACACCAACAAGCACAAAAAATAGTCGAACAACCATCGAACAGAATAGAGAGGCTATCGCAATAATCTATGGCGCAATAGGTGCAATCTAAAGAATATTTCAGCATGAGCAAATCGCCAAGGACGGGAGAAAAACATATAGTCCTGAGGCGAGAGAAAGAGCAACGTATGAAAGGCAGTATTGACCGCTCGACTATCTTTTTGGTCTTGAAAGCGATGTATAAAAGTCATTCTGGGCTCGCTATCTGACCCGAGGATGATCCACAAGAAATAGTGAAGGTATCCAGAAGTTGTAGTGAGTGGTTCGACTTTGTTGACCATGTCGTATCCTACAATATGCACTTTTTTTTTTTGAACAACCGCCATAAACTACGACGAGGGAGTGGCATAGTTTGCATGAGCAGTTGATATTTAGTTCAAATCGGCGACCACGTCGTCGTTTTTTCCCTTTTTGAACAAGCGATGGCTTGGCTCACAGCCACATTCGGTAGCGGTAATACAAAAAAACGAAATGAAGTGAGGCGCTGTTTATTGCACACAATGCATCATCGCTATTGACTATTGTGTTCAAGTGAATGCTACAGAAAAAAGACCTCCTTTCAGCTATTGCGGAAGTGGTTTTCTTTCAGAATTAGAAAAAAAACGGCGGAACATGAGGATGGGACCCACGAATCGCCGCTTTTTTTGTTTCTCTGTTATCGATGTCAAAGAAAACAGTTGTTGTATGTTGAAAAGTCGCGATTGTCAAAAGAGAAGACTCCTTGAGAAGTCCCGCGTCTATTGACGACATAAACAAGATAATAGGTAAGGCTGGACGGATTATTTGAATGGAAAATGGGTCCAAAGAACCTCGAACTCTTAAACGCTCGCATCCTCCAAGTCGTTGTCAAAACAGTACAAGAAGAAATATGGACGTGGTCATCAAAGAAAAAAAATGAAGTGAAAAGATCATTATAATGGCAATAAGTCAGAGAGGTATGGGGTTTCTCTGGCGACGCTTATTGTTTGCTGTATGTTTGTTTTATTCAAAATAGGGCGAAAAGCCGACCACGTTCTGTATTAGCCGGGTCATAAAGCTCAATACCTGGTACCCTTGCACCCCAGATATGGTAAAAACAAGTATATTCATTACACGTGTGTTTATAGCTGCAATGATCACGTTTACTGACCGATTTGAAAGCCGAGAATGATACTGCATGGGGTTTTTTCATGCCCTTTTTTCCTCATAAAAATACAAACTCGCAGGGCTATTGATGTTGTCTGACGTGAGAAGATAGACCGAAGCTGAACAGGAAGCGGCACCGCGCAAGGTAATGATGCAGGAAACAATGTAAGGTTACTTCTCGTGTATCCTCGTCCGGTAAAAATGGGAAAATGTCGGCGCTGGATTGGTTGGGAACGAAAGGTCCCTTCTCTACTCTTCATGGATGATCGTTGAAGGAATGCAAAGAGAAAAGAACGTATGAAAACATCCGTCAGATAGAAAAATAATATCAACGATCAAAGGGGTCATGGATCAAGGAGAAAAAAAGAGGAGTCGTGTGGATTGCCTGAAAGGAATGTATCTTAATGTTGGTGTATGTTTTGACACGAAAGGGTACACACCAACAACAGCAAAAATTTCTCTCACGACTTGCTGTCAACTCAATGCTTACAAGTGCATGTGTGTGTGGCTGTGTGCTGCCCAGCGCATCCTGTCCTTGTTGATAAAAGATATCTCGCCTCGCGTCCAGCCAAATTCCAAATGGGCGACGCAGCATCACCAAGAATCACAAGCTCGCACATTAAATGTGACTGAGAAAAAGGCTAGAAAACAGTACCGTTAGTAAAGACTGCACCAAGAAAGAGACGAGACCGTGACATCCTTCGCGTCCTTCATGATGCAATAGAAAGTTAATTTGCCTCCGTAGCATGCAAACCTACATCATATTCACCACGTCCCACAAGAACCTCCTTTTTTATTTTTTGCCGCCCACCAACCTTGTGAGCCTCACCTTGCGATGAACACATGCACACTTTGTGCGCTGTGCTTCAACTAGCCTTACCATCCTTTTGAGAATGTACTGTACTTTGTACCCCGTACCTCTCTATCTGATTGCCCTATCGTAATATCGAGATAGCCGTGTGCCCATTTGATAATCAAGGTCTAAGGTATAGGAACGTGAGTTGCACCTGATAGCTCTGTGGTGAGCAATGCATGGACCTCTTCCTTTCGTCCTTGAAGAATAATTATTGACTGAGGGCAGTCCTCATTCGCAATGGTTGTATCGTCCCGACACAAATAAGCTACCCTATGCAATAAGAGCACGTCCCCATGAGAAACGCGATCCCAAGGAGACCACAATTTGACATGTAGTTCAACGAATCCCAACGCGTGGCAAGATGTCAAGAAGGAGCATTTGCATGAAAGAAAAGCACGTTTATCTCTTGTTGAATTCCTGCGTCCGGTCTGACGACTTTTGCCACCTGATCTTGTTATGGCTATGTAACGCATAACAGGGGAAGGTTCGCTTTTGATTCTATCTTTCCCACACTGTGCTCCCGAATCACCCCATCCTTTTGCCCTCTCCTCTCAATTTTTTTATGCAACAATCGTGAAGTAAAGTGCATTGTGCCCAGTCTTGGTACTTTCTCCACTCATGTCACGGAACGTGGCTGTAATGCTCCCACACTCCCCAGTTTTGCTTGTTCTGCCATGGAAAACGAAAAGTCGCCGGGAAAGAAGTAGAACAGTCAAATAAAAAGCGGGAGTGAGATGGGAATCTCTTGCTTGAATGAAATCGTTTCTTTGTGATGATGTCGTATTGGGGTTGGATGTTTTTGTTGCTTTTGTCCGTGTCTGTTTTGGGGGAGGGAAGGATAGTTTTGCATGAACAAACGAAACGGTGCCTTGTTGTGTGTTGCCTCTCCCCCTATTTCATGCCCGCCAGTTCCAGGCGGAATAATAAACAAACAAAAAGCAATAAGCAAACACAACAACAACTAGGCGCCAATCTGAGCTCCCATACCAACGATGTTTTGCCCCCGTTTTGCACCGTGTTCGTTTTGCACCGTGTTAGTTCTTGCACTAGCCCAACTATTGAAGAAGGAACGAGGGGCGGATGAGCGGAGAGAAGTGGAGTGAGGGGCGTCGACATTTTTGTCTTGCATTAGTGGTGTCCCCTTCTTATTCCAAATCTCATAATTGCTTTCTGTTGTTTTGTTCCATGGTCTCAATCGATATAGTTGAGTGGTTACGGGGATTTTCTGTTGTTTGTTGTCATTGTCAATTAAGAAAGCAAGGCTATGCTCAGCTTTTATTCGAGAAAGAACATATTTGACCTCGTCAAGCAAGCAAGCACAGGCCAATTGAGCCACCTGCGGGGTAAGGTATGGACACAGACGGAACGAAGACAGATTACAGAGGAGACAGAAAAATAGAGGTTTGTGTAAGACAGAAGAGTGAGGAGAGAGGAAGAAAAGAGGGAGGGTGGTGACCCATTATTCATCGCTAGACCTGCCTTGATCTTGATGCTGTTCGTTACCGGCAAGACGAGCGGTGCGTTCACCGAGGAAGGGGAGGGGAGAATGGAAGGGAAGGGAGAGAGAGAGAGATGATAGGAAGCAAGGTGGACAGAGAGTCAGAGCAGAAGACATGTTCAAAGTGGCTATTTGGCATGGCATCGTATGTGTCGCTCATGCCAGGTTGACCCGATGGTATAGCTGTCTTGTTGTTACTGCCTCTTGAGTTATATTCTCTGTAAGAGACACGAGATGGATAGCGGCACATCCATCTTATCCGTCCAAGGTGTTGTGTGTCAATGGTCTCTTGAGGATGCTCTATCGCTTTGTTTACCCATAGTTGCCATTGTCTCGACTGAATACTCTCTTACTCATACTTGCTTCCGTTTTGTTTTCCTTCTGTTTTCGTTTTCTTGTCCACTAACGACGTTCTTCGTCCTTGTTTGTGTGTGCGTGTGTGAGTGTGTCTTACCTCTCTGCTCTGTGTCTCCCTTTTGTCTCCCTCCTTTCTCTCCTTCCTTCTCTCTTTATCATCCCCCCTCTCATACCCCTCGTCCCCTCTCCCCCTTCCCTTCCTTTTTCTTTCCTTCCCCCTGCTCACTCACCCCCTTCCCTCTTGTTGTTGTTTGTATTTTTTTTTTCCTTCTTACAAGTTCTGTCTCCTCCTTTCCTTGTCCTTTATCCTTCTTTTGCTCTTTCCTTCTTTTCCCAAGGAAGATCCCTTTCCACCCATTGCGCATCTCTTTCTAACAAGATATGCTTTAGCAGCACTCAGATATCATCAACCATTCAATCGCTCATCATTGTAAGTGAGAGGTGCATTGTGAGATCTTGTCCGAGGGAAGGAAACGCCTCTTCTCTTCTTCACCAATTGCTTTATCTGTGGCTACGTTTGCCCCTTCGTTGATGAAGGGAGGGGATATGGAGGCGAAGAGACGTCGCTGCGTTGTTCCCGTGCGCCTTTTGTTGTCTTTTCCAATCGACTTTTATTTTTTGTCTCTTGGCGCCTTTTTATTTCTTTCTTCTTTCTTCTTCTCATTTCAACTCCACCATCTCGAGTTGATCTCACTCCCTTTTCTTTTTTGCGTTCAAGATCATTCACCTTCCCTCATTGCCAACCCTGCCTCACACAAGCGCACTTCAACACTCAGTCACTCAACTCTCAAATAAAGTCGTGGCTCTCACTTCCCATTCTTGCTCACCTTCATTTACTCATTCCCTCATTCACCTACACCACAACGCGAGTCAATTCTGAATGTAAAAAAAAAGAACCTTTCCTCTTCCCTGCGTTTGTTCATTCATTCGTTCTCCATACCTTCCTGTCGAATCTTCCCATTCACTTCTTCCCGCTCCCTTGCCTTCTCCCTCTGTCTCCCTTCTCCCTGACCTGACCACCTCACTGTCCTACTCTCGTTCGCCAACTCGCCTGCTTCTTCGCTGTTCCCTGTCACGCTCCTTCCCTGTCCTTTTCCCCAAAAATAAGGAGGCTGACAAGAAAAAAAAAAGACTGTGCCATAGCCATTTGTATTTTTAGCGGGGGCCACTGAGGAAACAACAACAACAACAACAATAAGGACGCGTCCTTCTTTCTCTTTCACTCTCATTTCTTTCTTCTCTCATTTTGCTTTTTTTTTTATAAGCTCCCTCTTTTATTTTATATCATCTTTCTCTCTTACCTTGTTTGAGCAATACTCGTTGTCAATTGTTGTAAAGAGAGCAGAGAAATCGTTATCATCCATTCATTCTCGACAAGTAAAACGAAAGAACGCGATCTATACAACCACAACCTCACAAACGCGCTGCTCTTTCTCACTCTCACTCAATTGAACACATATCTTTCCTCTTGTACCACCCTTTCTCACTAAAACCCACCTTCCTCTCTCCCTCCCTTCTCAGCACAACTCCTCCTTCGCCCAAACAACCTTCGCCCATCGTTTCTTCTCCGACGCCACCTATCGCGCGCGTCGTCGTCGAGCTCTGTCTCTATCTCGCCTCCCCCTAGTTGTCTGTCGAGACCCCATCGGACTCGCGCTAGGGTCTCAGCACCACCACCAGTCCCACCCACAGGAGGCCGACAGATACGACCACGACCATAGCGATGCTCAACAGTCCTCACCAGTCACCTCCCCTTCCCCCACACAAGGACAGCGCCACCTATCCTGCCCAGGTCGTCGACTTGACCCTCGAACAGCAAGTCCTCCTCGTCTCCTTCGAGGGCGATTCTCAGCTAGACCTCCATCTTGGCCCTCGAGAACCGCCCGAGGTCAAGGAGGTCAAGGAGGTCATGGAAGCCATTGACGTCAAGGAGGCAACCGCCCAGGAGACAGCCAAGGACAACACCAAGCCAAAAAGCAGGGCTGGTAGTATCGGCGCAAGGAGTAAGGATGCCTTCTCTGCCATCTCCAAACGTTTCTCCCCTCCTCCTTCCCGTTCCCAATCTCAATCCAACTCCTCCCCCTCGACCCCAGCCCCAGCAAGTACTTCTCAGTGTTCAGACACACCTGGTTCGACTGGTTCCACAGACGACAGTGGGTCGGTCTCTCATTCCTCTCAGAAGCAGACTGGATCCTTGTCTGGCTCGCCCTTCAAGGATCACTCTCGTCACCACACCGACTCGGCAACCATTCTCCCTCAGCAACACACTCGACGCTCTCGTTCCTCCTTCACATCCTCGTGCTCAGCTTCATCCCCGCCCTCATCAACGCCGACAGCTTCCTCGCCGTCATCCTCCGTCTTCTTCTCCCCCACGGCCTTCTACTCTTCGATCTTCAGCCCCAAGCACAGCACGAGCAGTCACAGCCACAGCCACAGCCATTGCCATAGTCAAGGTCAATGCAGCAGCATTAACCCGCTTTCCCCTACCTTTTCATCCAATTGTTTCTCTTCGTTGACAACAACAACGACACCGACTGGGGATACACTTCGATCGACTCCCCCTGCCTCAGGAACCGTGATGGCACACCGTGCGTCATTTGCTGAGCCAGGGAGCAGATCCTTCCTGGCTCCCGACAACACGTCGATGAATGAAATGGGGAGTCCTATCACTCGCCAGACGCGATCGGCATCGTGCACACGCCTCTTTCCTATGTCATCGCCTTCATTCTCGTCGTTGGCGATGATGTCGTCGTTGTCAAGTGGAGGTACTCCTAGTTCAGAGACCTTATCTATTCCTGGAACTAGAAATCATCCTGGATCTGAGACATGTCCAGTCGAGAAGCACCAGGCACTACTTCTGGCTCCCGGGCTCTATCCGTCTCAGGCCCCAATCACAGCCATCACAGCCAAACCGGACTCACCTTCACCCTCGTCCTCTTCCTCTTCTTCTTCATTATCCTTGTCCTTGTCTTCAACCGCCACAAAATCAACTACAACAACAACAATACCACCCACAATTGCCACTGGAACAACAAAAGGTACATCGACAAGTACAACAACAACAGATCGAAGACCGAGTCCCACTACCTCTTCTTCCTCTTCGTCCTTTTTCCCTGCTTCGTCTCCTTCTTTACCTTCCTCGTCCGCATTTTTCCCTCCTTCCTCAACCACAACCTCCACCGCCTCTACGTCTTCTTCGTCTTCGACCTCATCCTCGTCCATGCTCCCTCCTCTTCCCCTCTTCCCTTCCTTGCCTCTCGGCTCCTCCTTTCATTCCTCCTCCACCACTACCACTTCCTCCACCATCAACCAAAACCACCCACACCATCCACACCTTCCCTACTCTGACGATTCCCGAGATTCCTCTTCTTCCTCTTCCTCCTCTTCCTCCTCTCCTTCCTTCTCTTCTTATTCTCACTCGCACTCGCACTCTCTTCCTCCCACCTCTACACCTATTCACTCCTCTTCTCTATCATCCACCACCTCCGTAGTATCGACCATGGGCGTCTCTTCACCCACCCTCCACTCACACGCAACAAACGCAGCACCACTCGGCTTACACGGAACATCAACCAGTACTGGCGGTGGCATGGCGACCTGCCAGCCTCACCCTCATGCACATGCACATTCACATCACCCTTTTGCTCATCCCCATGGTGCATCGGGTCTCTCATTCGAGGCCAGCGTCCAAGGGTTGGAGTTGAGTCTTCCAGGCAAGGCTAGCTCAGCCCTGCCGATTGCCAACAGCAGCCGTTCGTTGATGGCCCCAGTCTCACCTATGAGTTCTTCCTTCAACTCTGACTCTGGGTTTCTGGGTGGCTCTCGTCGCAGTTCCAAGGATTCAGTGTAAGTTTTACTACCCTTGCTTCTCCTTCTTTCCTTCTTTGTACACTCCTCCTGATCTGTCAAAGGTTTCAATGGGAAGTTGTTGTTACACGCCCCTCCCCTTCTTTGAATCCCCTACCCATCGATGCCACCGATGCATTTGCATTGCCATTGAGATATGTGTTGTGTCTGGGATATATATGCAAATCATGAAACGCCATTGGTCGGCTCTGAACGCGCGCGCTCTTTGTTGGATTCGGCTCTTTGTATTCCATTCAAGCAAACACACACCCTATGTTATGTACACCCTTCCCCTGCCCCTTCCGCCCCCTACTGTTGTGCCCCTTGGACATTACATTGACATTGACATTAGCATTAATGCTGTCTGACTGCCCTTGTTGCAACATGGCCACGACCCTTGCTTGTAATCCTCCGTTGGCCTTGCCTCTTTGTCTATTGTCCTAACTGACTGACTGAATAACTGACTAACCCTCATTTTCGTATTTTTATTGCGCTTTTAATATATTACTACATTCATGCGTGCAACCCCGCTCATCAAACTCAATGTCTATCTTTTTATCAACGGCCTCGTCGTTGTCCAACAGTGACTCTGTCCCAGGAGTAACTCTGGATGTCCTTGTCGACCAGCTCACCATCCCTGATTACATCAATACCTTTGGTAAGTCCGACTGCCCCTCTTCCCCCTCTCCCCTTCCCTATGCACCTTGCCACACTTATATGCTACTATACTACTACCAGTATACTACTACCCATCACTGAACAATGTCCTCTCATGCCTTGAAGGAAGTGGGCGCAATGTAATGCACATGCAAGGTGTGGTACCGATTAAAAAAAAAAAAAAAAAGCGAGACCACATATCGCCCTTGATCGGGTGGTGGATGTTTGCATAATTGCTCTTCTCCCTCTCTTTCTCTCTCATTCTCTAAGTCTCTCATTCCACCATCATCTTCCCTGAGTGCTAGAATGAATTGAGTTTGGCCACAAAGACGTGGTTATGGTTCAACCCTTTTCCTGCGCCTCTCTCCCTCATTGTCTCTCTCTCTCTGTCGCCCCCTCTTTTGTTTGTCTTTAAATGGTCGTGGTGCTTCATCTCTCCTTTTGGGTAGCGATGGAATGAAGGGGGCCTGCTCTTACTACAACAACACCACCAACAACACAACATTTTCTTTTGGCAATCATCAGCCGCGGTGGCGGCTTAATCGTCTATCGCCCCCGCTTTGCTCATCTCTTTGCACGAACTAACCCCTTCATTTCTTTTTCTTTTCATTTCTCTCTCTGCCCGTCTCTCTTGTCTGTTACTGCCCTCGCCTGTTGGCTCTCATGGCTGTCGCTTACCCCTTGAAATGCGCCTTTCCTTTTTTTTCGTGCAATTCATACAACGCATCGTTCATTTTTCATTCCCTTTCTTGACACTCTGCCTTGCTCGTGCGTCCTTGGTCGTGCATGCGTGGTCCTCCCCTGAACATCTTTTCCTTTCAAACGGATGGTCAACATGTTACTTTGTCTTATTTATTAATAGAGCAAATCACCCGCACCAAAGTCTTTCTCATGATTTACCGGAAATTCCTTCGACCCCGCGAACTTTTGGAAATGTTCATCGAACGATTCGAGGAGTTGGGCGAGTTTGTCGATGACGACGATGAAGAATCCAAGAACACCCGCCTCAGGTATGTCATCTGCCATATGTCACCCGCCTTGCTGTCCATCCTTTTTTCTACCTTGTTAAACCGCTCTGCATTTGCTCGTATTCATTGGCATGCAACATGAAGAATGCAAACAAATCCGTATATTCCCGAAGACACAAAAACCAGGAAGGCGAGAGAGATGACAGCGACAATTAACCGAAAAAAAATATGCACTGATTTTTGCCCGTAGGATTTGCGCATGTCTGTACTACTGGCTCAAAAACCACCCTAATGACTTGATCCACCGTCAGACAAGACAGCGTGTCGCCTCCTTCCTTAGGGAGCGTGTCGCTCTCTTCCCATGCCTGAGCGAGATCTATTCAGAGCTGTTACCGCTCTCCTCAATCCACTACTTCAATACATGGCGCTGGCCCCAGGCTGACCACAACCCCGATTCAAGGAGCTCGTCGTTTTCAGGACCCATTCTCAACGGATCGATCTCGGATGAAGATTACGATTCCGGATTCTATGATACCGCAGCTACCCACTCTGAGCAGGACATGGATGAGGACAGGGAGTGGGGTCTCTTTGACGAGGATGAAGCTGCCCCAGATGCCAAAGTCTCGTTGACAACGGAGAGTCTTGCTGTGCCCTTCTCGTCCAGCAGTGTTGGCGCTGTCAGCATTGGAGCCAACACTGGCGTGAACGTCGGAAACAACACCAGTCGCCTTCAGGCTCCGTCTTTCACTCCGTTACCTCGCGACCGTCGCTCAAGTACTGGATCTCTTGCGCATCATAACAGCTCCCCCTGTGGCATGGAAGCCTTTGTCGCCAATCGTCGAGGCTCGGCTTCGTCCGTGTCGTCCAGTCAGTGTCACACCCCCAGCAATCTTTTGGGTCTTGGAGCTTCTGGCAGCTTTGCAGAAGGATACATGACCCCTCTTCAGCTTCAGCCTATGACTCCGATTCCGTTCATCAACAAGCGTAGCAGCAGCCAGGCGTATCGTCAAAAGGTTCAACAGCAACAACAACAACAGCAGCAGAGAAACATATCGCCCGTGCCTCCGTTACACCAAGGAATGGTTAGCACTGGATCGAATGCAGCTCTTGTGTTCAAGGACACGGTGGACGAGCCTGTTGGTGCTGGTGGTGTTCACCCACTTCAAGGAAAGGCGAACCCATTGCCCTCACCTCCTGTGGATTATTTGGCGATGAACATGTCGTTTCTTGAAATCCCTGAAGGAGCTATTGCTGCACAGCTTACTTGCATCGAGTTTTTACTCTTCCGAAAGCTCAAGGTAACACCACTTTCCGCGTTGATGTTAGGATATGGCGGCTTTTTGTGAACATTTACTGACGTGTCTGTTCTCTGTTACCGGTCGATATATAGCCAAGAGACATGCTGCGCCAGGTCTGGAAGACAAGCAAGGGATCGGCAGCGTTCCAAGCATGCATCGCCCATTTTAACTTTATATCGTCTTGGGTCGGTACCATGATTTTGTCGCAGGCCAAGGTCAAGAACAGGGCCAAGATGATGGAAAAGTTCATCTCCGTTGCCAAGGTAATATATTGTCCTCCACACACCATATATATTTACTCTGTTTGGTTGTAGTCAAACTTGTTTACCGTTATCTAACGGCTTCCGTTTTTACATCACTTGTGGTGCATTAGCTACTACGCGACATGGGAAACTTCAACACGACCATGGCGATTATTGGGGCGATGAACACATCGTCGATTCATCGCTTGATGCAGACACGCGAGCTGCTGCGGGGTAAGGAGATCTGGTCCACATTCAAGGATCTCGAGCGCCTGATGAGTTCTGAGCGTAGTTTTTTTGAATACCGCGCTGCCCTCAAAGCCCAGAAGCTGCCATGCATTCCCTACCTGTAAGTTTTCGTTCTCTTCTCGCTCGATCGAAACACATTCATTGGTAAGTGCTGAGAGAATTGACTAACTAATTATTGTTTTGTTTTGTTCCTTTGATAGCGGCGTTCATTTGGGAGACTTGTTGTCGATTAGTGAGGGCAACAGGGATTTCCGTCAGGATGGGTCGATCCACTGGCAAAAATTTTGTCTGTTGACGGAGGTGATCTCGACGGTGATGCACTTCCAGATTGAGCCCTACATGATCCAGCCAGACCCCTTCATCTCCCGAGCCATCACAGATACTCATGTTTTGGATGATGAGGAGATGTACACAAAGTCTGTGGGTGCTGAGCCCGGAAAGCTGCATCACTCGAGAAGCCTGAGCAAGTTCAACTTTTTCTGAACTCGAGAGTGAGTTGAGGTGTATGGTTTACGCCCTTTTTTTTGTTTGGAGTTCGGGGTTGTTGTATAATGCCTTCCATTTTTATTCTCTCCCACCTATCTTGTACATAATGCTTCCATTTACGCTGCCTTCCCCTTCTTTTTTTGATACCCATTCGCTTTCTTTTTCCCTTCCCTGTTGAGGTGGCTCAATCTGTACATACAAATATGCCGCTTTCTTCAGTTCTGTCAGTGTTAATGACCACATATCAGCACTAGTTTCTTTTTGTTCTGCATTTTTTTTTCTTTTCGTTCGTCACGGCATTGCTATTACAACGTGCATTTTGATGTCCTCCTTCCCCTTCCTGCTCAACAACTCCAAAACAAAGAACTCCAATAAACATTCTTCTTTAGTGTCACATAAGGGAGCGAAGGTTCATATGGCAACTGGTGAAGTAAGGTGAATCTTGGATGGGATAGTGCGATAGATAAGTTACCTTGCCACCTCGAAACTCGATCTTGTAGAGCTTCAACAGCCTGTAGGGACCAAAGACAGCTTGATACTGTAGAAGCTCGGAAGAGGTCGGCGCCAGGGGCTCGAGGTGCTGACCTTTTAGGCTCATGGTGGTTATGTTGTACCGGTTCTCAGAGGGGTGGTTGGGGGTGGGGAGAAGGAAAAGAAAGAGAGGAGAAGAGGAAGAAAACGAGATATAATAATATTATTCCCGCTCACTTTCCACAACCCGCTGATGATCTCACATTGGAACCTGAGCTCACAGCACTCCATTTGATGAAATCAAGCATCTGCCGCGAGGTTATCACTACTTCTTTTGACCTTGGCATCATTGTGGGAACTGTCAACCACAGCATTGCTTATGGTGACAGTGCGACAGTGTTTTATTGAACAACCTGACATCACTACTCTTGTGCAAAAAGGAAAAAAAGGCTTGGCCGAAATGACCAGTGATGGTGATGTGAAAGAGTAACGAGTACAAGGCAAGAAAAAGATTGCGCTGAGGAGGCATCCTTTGACCATCCTGGTGTAGAGGACAAGGAGCAACGCTGCCTCATTTCTACTTGCGCACGATGGCGATGTAGACAGGCAAGATGTCCTATCATCGGAAGGAATACCGAGAGACAAGAAACACGATGATGTGTTTTTCAGAATGATTGAACATGATATTGCGATGTGTAGGAGCAAACGCGAAATGTACCAACTTACGTCGTCGTTCTGGACAGAATAGTAGTCGTCAAAAGGATAGATAACTTCGTATTGAGGGTTCCTGGCGATACAAACAAAGATGCTCAGGAAGGGTGATTCCGGGTCTGCCCTAAAAGTCTTGCCACTTGCCATTTCTCAAGCGGTCTCCTCATCAAGTGAGAAAAAGTGGCCTGTACTCAACAATCCCCAGCGAAGCACAGTGTGAGAACCAAAGTCTGGTCAAACAGGAATAACAAAGCAATTTTGAGTAGAGTCGAAAAGAGAATATTTTTACCTTGTGGACTCCTGGTCTTGAAGGAAGCCGCTCGGAATCAGGCGCTTGGTGATGTCAATGTTTCATTCCAACAATCACCTCTTCCACTATATACTCGCAGGTACCCATAGTTCAGGATCCCCTGCGCCGCGCACCATGCCACTTCACACCCCATCGTTCCAGTTGATCCTGGTCGGCCCAGTGTCAACTCCCCACTTAAGGAGACATCCGCTATGGCCAGTACTGCGAAAGTAAAACGATGGGAAACCATTGAACTGGTCAAGGGTGTAAGTGCGGTTGGGTTTGTAGACAACCTTGTACATATAGGCCAGCATGTCGGCATCGAAGATTGTCTGGTACTTAATAAAGTTGGCAGAGATGGATGCCGGGGCTTGAGGTGCTGACTTTTCAGACTCATAGTGACTTGCAGTGTTGGCTTGGTGGCCAGAGGGATAGTTGGGATGGGAGAAGGAGAAGGAAAAGGAGAAGGAAAGAGAGAAGAGGGGGAAGGGGAAAATGCAAATGATGCTGCTTCCTTCCTTCCCAAGTTCCCAACGTTTCTGGAGGCGCAGAACAGTCATGATTTGATTAATGCGAACTCTCAGTTAGCCTCTCGATGGGATCAGGCTTCCATAACGAGGTTATCGCTTCTCCCATTCCTCGCCATTTCTTTAAGTGTGAGAATGCCAGTCGCAGCGTGGACCTGTGTTTTTTTTATTGACAAAACGAGACAAAGTGAAGGGAGGAAGCTAGCATGAAGGCATACCATGGCGTCATTTTACCCATAGGCGCCCAAGACGAATTGTCTAGGGGTTGCGAATGACAGCCAAGAAGCAAGGCAGGATGTCCTATCTAATCACCAATAACAACAAAGAGGATGAGTTTGCGCACGTTACATTTCAGAGGAAGAAAGATCGCAAGGAGAAGTAGATGTGGGCACATCAGTATCATGGTTTTTGTTTACCTACCGTTTCGTTCTGGACAGAGCAGATGTCAGCGTTTGGCTTGATGGTGTATCGAGCCTTAACGAGGAGTATGGACGACATCGAAAACCTGGATTTTCTCAAAGCACAGCTGCGTGCCGTAGTCCAGTTTGGAGGAAAAAAATGGCCTAAGAGTTCATCGATTCAGTGGCAAGTTGAACAAACTCGATGAACTGCAAAGAATTTTATGGAGGCTCCAGTCGAGAAACTCTCAGTTGGAAGTGCAGTGCGATTATTACCTTTTCTGCTGTAGGTTAGCAGATGACCATGGTTCAAGATCCCTTGAGTCGCGCAGGCTCCGCCGCACCAGTTGCTGGCATCGATGTTGGTCAATTCGGTATCGATAATTCGCCTGGAGACACGTCCGCAGTGGCCGGTGCCGTGGAGGGAGATCGATGGGTAGGGGTCGAATTTGTCGAGGCTGTGAGTACCCATCGTCTCGTAGAAGAGGGGCGATCAAACGATGTCGTAGAGCCCACGATTTTATTTGTCCCAAGAATCCTGGCCGATTGGCAATTGTATGTCAGGGACGATGGATCGACTGGATGACCTTCGGGAGAGCTGTGGTCTTAACTCGCCATCCTGGTCGCGACGATCGAATGCCTCAAAGGGACCCTGTCCGATAGTCCCTGGATAATCGCTTGAAGGCGTTCAGCTTGGGCTTTCGTATTGTCAGCGTCAGTACATCGAGCGATTTGAGGTCCTGCTTGAGGGTTGAGATATGCAACCTTGAAACCTAGTTCGTCCATCGTTGCAATGATAACCTTGTGCTGACATCCAAATATTCTCGAGTCAAGGATGGATTCACTTGACAGTCGGTACGCCGAGGATGTTGTTCATTGGTACTATCCACGTGTTTCATTCTTGGTTCGACTGCCTGGATATGATGGGTTGTGTGGGTCGTGTCCTCTAGGTGCCAATGAACGTACGCGTTTTCGAAGGTAGTAGCTGACCAATGGTTGCGAACGAGATGTAACGGATTTGGCGATTCCCTCAGACAAAGGCCATTGATGTGGAATGGTTACATGGCTTTACTCACTATAATCCTGTGTGCTCTGTTTTATTAAAGGCATCGGTGTGAATACGATCTTGGCTTCACCAATCTCCTTTGGCCTTTTAATTGATGGGTGATGGGATCAGCTCAGTCCCTGTTCATGCCTTTTGTGTGCACGATCAGTTCGGATGTTTGCTGAAGGCTTTCGAAACTCGGCAACAAGTTCTTGGATCCCATTTTTCATCCACAGCTCGCCATGAAGGCCACGTAGAACACGATGAAGGTGCCAATTGCCTCACTTATCATATTATTTTGCTTTGCTTTGTTCGATTCAGCTCACACGCGTTTAAAGTTCAGCTTTCACTCGCTCCTTTCCATTTCGCTTTGAAAAACAGTCGTGTTCGATTTACCATTGGCCAACTCAGTGGCCTTTTCTAAATACTAGTGGCCGAAGCATTTTGGTTGTTTTTTCCTTCTTTCAACTTACTCCTTTCTTTTTGTGGTTACGGGTCCTCGTAGCAAATAGTCAGAAAGAGTTGTTCGTTTACTTAAGTAAGTCGACCACAGTAGTCACAGACTTTCGGATCTCGTTGTTTCTGGCCGACTTCAAGCGATAGCTCAAAAGGTGCGTTTGTGCACTGGATCACGCTGGACCTAGCGGTTTACTTTCTTTGAATAAATGGTCTTGCATCTCTTTTTGCGACAGAATCTTTGATATGTATGTCTATCTTGTGTCTTATGGCTGATGACCTGAAACTTTGCGACGTCCAGCGTCAGATAAAAGCAACAGGTGATTCAACAAGGATGAGAGTTCATCGAGATAAGACACAGCACTGTTTTGTTTTTGTAGCTGGGAATGATGAGTCGTGAGAGATATATTGTGAAGGGAAGAAAGAAGAAGGAGAAAAGATGCCATGTCAATTTGAACAGAACGATATCTGCTCCACCTTGCGCATGGCCATGGTATTCATGGATACAGCATTGCATGTGCCCACATCCCATCAATATTTGGACCCGTGTATATGCCCATGGACCATCAGTGTCGTGTTCCTTTCCATAGAGTTCTTCCAATGCGACCTTCGTTGTCTTTCTTTTCAATCGTCCACATCGTCATACTTTCGACCTCTCTTCCTTCGCCCACCTATGCCATCCCTCCATTCAACTGCTGCTCAACGCTCCCCTAGAGCAAGTCGCTCGTTGTCGAGAATAAATATGGCTATTTATTCACGCATGCGGAGTAAATGGGCATGATGGTTGTGAGGCGTGCAGATGGATAAAAGGGCTCAAAGATGTAAACAAAGATTTCCCCCTCAGGCTCTTTTTTGTCTGCTTTGCCTTTCTCTTTCTTTTTTTTTCTTGCCACCAAATACAAAGCACACTGAGCGTGCAATGGCTCCGATGGCTCCCATGGTTTGCATGGTTTGCATGGTTTGAAAGGTTTAACAAGGATCGTCGTGTTAGAGATGTGCTATTTCTGTATGGCTCATACGTAGTTTGAACCTTTTCTTTACTTTAGATGTCATCCACCGTAACAGGACCATGGCCATGAAAGGTTGATGCAACCTCTGTAAATTGATTAAGCCTACAAGTGCATACATCGCAATGCCCAACGAGCGTCTTTATTTCTCTATTTCTGTGAACAGATTCTTGACACCCTCAACCAAACGAGAAAAAGACGGGCCGGTGGTGTTGCTGCCATCCTGGGCGCTGACAGAATCCAGGTCTGTATTGAGGGCATCGGCCTCGCTGCTCTTGGGCATGATGGGCTGGAGGAGATTGCGACTGTAGAAAAGCAAGAGAAAGAAAAAAAAAGAGTGTAAATAGGGTGCATATTTTCCTGATATGATGCTGTCTGTTCAGTCTATTACCATTCGACCGTAGAGCTCTCAGGGAGTTTCAACAAGCGCGCGTCTTCGAGCACTCGAAGAAAACAAGAAATTTTTGTTCTCGACAAAACGATTACATTTAGAGAGGTTCATTTGTTAGTATTTGAGTATGCAAATTCCTCTTCTTCTTTTTCTTCTTTACTCCTCCCGTCCTTCCTCCACCGTTCCTTTTTTTCTTCCTCTTCTTCTTTGTTCCCCTCCCTCCTCCGTTTGTTCTTATTGTTCGTTCCGAGTCCACTCTTCCTCTTCTTCTTTTTATTCTGTACGCCCTTTTTTTTCTTTTGTGCATTGTCTCTGTCTCTGTGCCTTGTCACTACCCGCCCTCTTCACTCCCCACAACACCTTCACTCATTCCCCTTCCCCTTCCTGACAGGAAAACACACAAACACATATACTCGACCATGTCCGAAGAACCCCAAAGGTACTTTACTACCCTTACTCCTCCTCCATCTCACACTCCCCCTAAACACCCTCACACACTCCGCCCCCTCATCAAACACTCTTTTCCTCCCAGTTGGCCCCTCTTCGATGCACCTTTTCCCTTCTTGTTTCCCTTTAACCTCTGATATGAGCAACAACACACAAAAACTTTGTTGCAAGCTCTTTTTTGCACAACCCCAAACACATCCTCGTTACCCCACCCCGACTCCCCTTCACGACTCCTTTTTGTTTTGTCACTCACTCAGTTGGGGGGCTGGTCCTTGGGGAAAATTAGCAGCCGTAGTAGTAAAAATAACAAAATGACAACAACAATAGCATCAACAATAACTATAGTGCATGGTATTGGGATGTGGTGTGGTGTAGGTGCAAGTCTATGTGTGGAACAGGGATGTGGTTTACCAGGAACGCAAAGCCAAAAACAACGACAGCGACAAAGAAAAAAAAGCTTTAACCTGTCCGTCTTGCTGTCTGTGTCATTCGGAGGGACGGAGTTGCCACTTTTCTTCCTCTGCACTTGTTCCGTCCAGACTCCTTCACTGCCAAGACAAGGGCGATTCAACAGCACAGTGAATGAATGAATGCAAAGAGTGCCATGGCAGTACAAACATATATACATCTAATCCTCACTCTCTCATTGGGCTCTGCTCTCCTTTCCCCTCGCAACAACCTCTTGACCCTTTTGAAGCCTGCACACTGTACCAGCTTGGAGGTGCCTTTTGCCAGTATGTCTCGGCTCCTGTTCTTCTCCTTCTCCTTCTCTCCCTGTCTCCCTCTCTCTCTCCCTTTTTGCGTCCCCCCACCCTCTCTGGAACGCACGCCCAGTAGGAACCACTAGCTCACTTTCTGAGCCAATGTGCCTGAGTGGCGCCTCTGCTTTTGCACAGTATCTTTTGAAGCTGGCTCGCATGGCCATTTTCTTTTTTCTTTTTTTCGCCGACGGAGGAACGGGAAGAGGAAATTGAATTGAGTGGACTTAGTTACCTTTCCGCTCTCGAAGAGCGATGAAAAAAAGGCTCATTTTTCTTTATTGTTCAATATACTCCTTTCTTTTGTTGGTGCGAACGGTTCACCTTTTCCACCCCTCTCTTCCCAGTTTACTATTCTATCGTTGGCTCTTCCTCGAACAATCGTTGTTCTTCATTGTCTCTATCAACTGCTCCTTTCTCAGCCGAAAGAAGGCAAGACAGAAGGAAGCCTCTCAGATAATGATAAATTGATATTGTGCAAAGATTGGGAGAGGATAAAGTTCTTAGAGGAAAAGGATTGCTACAACAAAATGCCAAGTTCCTTCATGACCCAACATCTTCACATAATGAAAAGAGCGCAAAGGTGGGAGAAAAGAGAGATGAGGAGATTATCTTCCTCTTTGTGTGGAAATGTGAGGGCAAAAAGAGTCCGTGTCCATTGCTCATAAAGACGGTGTTCGTGCGTCTGATAGCGTGGCATCGGACTATTCCAACGGGCAACCTGCACCCTGACGCAGCTCTCACTCACTTGTTTGCTTCCCTTTCACTCTCCTCTTATATTTCATCAGGCAGGCCATGCGGCATGAATTTTCCTTCCTTGTCCCTTACCTCATACATTTTTCCGATGCATTGACGCCTCTATTCTTATTGTTACTACGATGAATAATAGCTTCTCCAATGCTGCGGATGAGCTCGAGTACTACAAGAACCTCGCAAGAAAAAATGAAGATGAATTGCTCGAAACCAGAGCCATGCTCGAGGACTTTCAGCTCTCATCCCGAGAGCTGGAAGACGAACTGGAGAAGGAGATCGACTCTACAGAACGCAGATACAACGAGATCAGGATCAGGAACGAGGCCATGAAGCAGGAGGTCGAAGACTGGAAGGTAATAAGAACAATTTCTTGCATGCCTGATGACGACAACGAACAGGAGCGGGCGGGCCACCAAACATCGACATGACTATTCGCTTATAAGAGTGCTGAGGATGAATCATGGTTGGCCCTGTGATGTAAACATCGATAATGACTCGATCCCTGTCAGCTATGTCCACTTCTGTTTGTTTTTATCTTTTCGTGCTAACAGGAGCATGAGGAAGGAGAAAAAGGGGTGGCCCAAGGACATCAACAAATGGTTGGGGTGGTGTCGGAAATTAGCACTGTGCGAAGAAAGAATCTCATACTCGGAGTATGACAGGTGATGTACCCGATCCTGACGACCCATTCTTTTTTCTTGTTTGTTGACATCGTTGTTCAATAGGAAAAATATCATCAGGCAGTCAAGGAGTCGAATGCCAACATCAATCAGCTTTCACGCCAACTGGAGGTGCTCAAGCAGCAGACAGCCGAGTTCATCAAGACGAGGCGTGAACTGGAGCAGGAGAACGATCAATTGGAGAAAACAGAACGGTATGTTGCCCTTGAATACGACACTCATCCAAGTTGCGCCTCACTATGGTCATTCCTATTTCACATGCCATTTTGAATATTTTGTGTCTTGTGCGACGCCATTCACCTTGGGCCTTTGGCACAGAAGTTCTCATGGTTCACAGACTAGCAGGTCATGATAATATTCTACTAACACTCGTTTCGCCTTTTACTCCGCAACCTTTTTTATGCACCATTTTTTGTTCTTGCTGTGAACGCAGAGCTGCCACGTGGTCGATGCAGGAAATCACGACCAAGTACGATGCTGCGGTTGAACGTGTGGCGATTCTGGAGAATGAGGTTTCCACCAAGGCCAGTCTCTCAGAGGAGGTCCAAAGACTGAAAGACGAGTTGCGAGGTAAGACACAATGGCGCGGGAAATACCTAAGAAGGGAGCCATATGAATGAGAGACAATGGCAGCAGCTCCTAACCTTATAATTTGCTCCGCAATATTCATCCATACTAGATGCCAATGTCGAGCTGGAAATTATGAAGGCAAACCAGAAGTCAGGATTGGACAGATCAAACAACAGCTTGAGTTCTTACAACGGCAGCACTTCTTCGCTGGCGGAAGGACAGTCCCCAAGACCATCGATCGGAAGCAACTATGAGGCCATGCCGTCGCTCAGGGCGCGTCTTGCCAACAACAGTGCCCTCCAAAGGTCCGCGTCTCGACTTGCGTCTTCGGGATCAACAGCGGCCAAAACAGCAGCTGGAGCCGCTACAGGACCTGCGCCAGGTCACAACCCTGTCCAAGTCGTCCAAGACATGGTTGGACGTGTCAAGTCTTTGGAGGCGCGTTTGGTTTCTTGCCGGTCGCTTGTGACGCCACTGTTGCAACCACCTCCTTCATACTCAACCACCCCTAGCACAGGACGCAATTCATGGCAAGGAAGTCAGATCAGCACCAGCACGACGGGATCGGACAGCACTCGCCTGGGATCATCCCCAGCAACGTCGCCCAGTTCCCTGTTGACTAGCCCCAAAGTCAGCCGGCGCACATCCTTGCTTCTTCAGCAGCATCTTCAGCAACACCGCGAGCAGCGTGAACAACAGAAGCTTCGGGAGCAGCAACGCGTCATGGCTATGGCCGGATCTGCCATCTCGACCTAAAGTATTTTGTACTTCGTGTTTTGCTTGATTTGCTTGCAGAGGAGTCGCCTTTGTCCCTTTCTTCAGCAAAGGACACATTACGTGCTTCTTTGTCTACTATATTCTTTCTTTCTTTTTTTGTTTTCTCCTTTTGCTTTTCTTCTTTGTAATCAACTCCATTTGTACTATAGCTGATGTTCGCTCTTTTCCTTGCTTGTTTTGTTTTCTGTTGCGTTTGTTTTGATGCAATTGCAAAGCTTCAACAACATGGGTCAACGACGACCAAGTTAGCACCCAATATCTCATATCTCATATCCCATATCGCAATATCCAACTTGTCACTCCCCCTTCCCACCCTTCAAGAATCCCAAAAAAATTCAAAATAACGACATGAAACGACCTCAAAAAAATGCAATAGCTTCCTTTTTTCTTTCTCTTTTTCTTTTTCCCCCCTTCTGAATACTCCATCAAAAAAAAGAAGAAAAAGTGATAGCAAGCTCCATATTCTTGTTCCTTGCATATCACACAACTTTTTTTTTTTTGTCTTTTGCTTGCCCCTCTCCCATACTTCATTTCACACAAAATGACTCACGACACCCCTTCCAAGACTACGTCTTTTTTAGTCGCAACAACACATACCAATAAAAAAATCAGAAAGAAAAAAACACAAGGCAGTGCGCGTTGGGTGGTTGTAAGGAATTCTGATTTTGTTTGAACGAAGCATTTTTATTTTCTGGGTGAGGGAGGTGTTGTAGATGTATTCAAAGAAAAAGAAAAAAAAAAAAAAAAAAGAAAGTAACCAGAAGATGGAGTATGAAAGTAAAAGGAAAGTAAAAGGAAAGTAAAAAGAAGGATAGAAAAAAGAAGCAGCAAAGTGGATGGTATTATTTCATGGATGTGAGAAAAAGTAAACAGAGGCAAAGACGGTAAGGACGGGAAGAAGAGAGTGGTGTGGTGGCGCAAACGGGAAAACGAGGTCCATTGTCCAGTGTTTGTTCTTGTCCCTTCCTCTTGTTTCCTTTTTGTCCTCCATTTGTCCTCCTCACTCCTGCATATTGTTGTTGTAGGTTGGTTGGTTGGTTTGACCGTTGAGCAGACCCCCATTGTAATCCTTCTGCATGATCATGTTATCTGTTGTATGTATATCTTGAGCTTGGGGGGAGAGCAACCAGACTTTTACTCCTCGACTTCAGCATCACCAGCGGCAAGGACACGTCGACGGCGCTGAATCTCAGTCTCGCTCTCGGAATCAACCTCACTCTCCTCCTCGAGCTCCTCAACTTCCTCCTCAGACTCGGACTCAGACTCGGACTCACTCCCCTCCTCATAATCATCATCTTCAGTATCAGAACCCAACAGAGGCGACGACGCATCGGCCAGGGTCTTGAGGTCAGCCTTTCGCTTCTCCCTTGCCAAATCATCATCCTTCTTGCGGGCGGCCAAAGCCGCAGCCTCGCGGCGGTTAGAGATGTAGGTGAAGAGGCGGATGAGGCCCTGGGAGACGAGCATACCGAGGGCGATGTAGTAGATCATGTCTTGTTGGGATTTGGCTTCGTCCACAGGTTTTGCGGCTTGCTGCCGGAGGTGAGGAGGAAGGTCCTGGTCGTCGTGGGTGTAGGTGTTTTCAGCAGAGGATGAGTGGTCGGGGTGGGCGTCAGTGACGGCAGCGAGGATGCCGAGGATGATGAGCATTCCTGAGGCGTGGGTTGTTGAAGGCGAGGTTGCTGTTGAGATCCAGGAGCGGACTTTTGGGTATGCGGATGCGAGTGCTGCTGCCATCTTTTTTTTGTTTTGTTGTTTGTAGGAGAGAGAGAGAGCGAGAAGATGATGAAAAGAACGAAAAGAAAGAGAAGGAAGAAAGGAGGGGGGAGGGACTGGATTGGGGTGAGAAAAAATAATTCACAGCTTGTGTCCAGGGGAAACAAACGAGCGAGAGACTTGACATTTCCCTTCTCTGCCCTTGATGAAAAAAAAAGAGAGGCAAACACTTGCGGGGCGGTGATTGGTTGAAACCAACACGCGAACAAGGTTCCTCTTTCCTCTTCATTCTCTTCTTTGTGTGTACAGTATATGTTCAAGTGAGAGAGAAAAGAGCTGTGAGAGCAGAATAACAACATGCAATCACGACAGACCCATCAAGAGAGCCCTCTTTTATATTTCTCTTTCGTTTTTACTTTGGGGTTCAGAACACTACATCATGGATGGGAAAAAATCCTTCCTAGAAACATAGAATGCCGTAGAGTGAAAAATACAAATGCCGCAGAAAAACGCAATCCCACATCCTAAATGCTTGCATGAGCATACACGACCTGGGAGAGAGAGGCATGTTTCTTATAGGTCTCAGACTGACGCCAGGTCTGCAGCCGTGGTTCACTATCAACGGCCTCTTTGACCTTCCAGATCTCGGGCGACCCTTGCTTGATCTTGTCCACCATCTCGTCGCCCTTGTGCAGAAATTTGAGGTGGTCGATTACATTCGCCGTCTGCAAATCCGCCAATGACAACTACCATTTTTTTTCAATTGGAAAAGTAAAGAGTTAGTTCCTACAGTTGCTTTCTTCATTTGTTGCCTGTTCAAAGGACCGAAAAAATGTATACACATTTGGGTGTCTATCACGTTTCGCTTCTTGACGGTTTACCTTGTTGCCGACGTAATGGCCGTTGGATCCGTTGTCCTTGAGGTGCTTAGTATGTGTCTCGATCCAGCGTGGAAGCTCTTTCTCAAAGAACGTCTCCAATGCCTTCTCCTGCACCTCCTTGTAGCACCTAAATATCCCATGCAACAATTTTCAGCTTTCTTGTTAGTCCTAAAAAACTCATTTTTCCCACGCTGCAACGTTTTGTTTCTTGTTGGCACGCCAGCAAGAACAACAACAACAACAACAACAATAGCAAAAGAAGTGGGATGAATGTACCAAGTAACACGCAAAGTGAGTCGCTCACGGAGGTACACCGACGAAGAATTAAAGGTCTTGATCAGAAGCTCCTCCCACTCATTCTCGCCCAAGAGTCCAAACTGCTTGGCGAGGTAATGTTCAATCACAACTAATTCTGAAAGCCGGATCTCCTGTCCATCTGCAGTCTTGATGTGGAGGACGGGGAATACTCCGAGTGGCGCCTTCACCTCAGCCGGCCAGTTCTTCATGCCATTGCAAAAAAAAAAAAAAAAAAAAAAAAAAAAAAAAGGCGAAAAGGTGCAGCATTAGTTGATATGAATGATGGATGGGAACAAAGTTGTGAGAAAGAAAAGAGAGGGCGAAATAACTAAGTGTACGGTGAGGGGGAGATTCTCCCATTGGGCGCTACCAAAGGACAGCATATCGCGAATATGGGCGCCAACCCCCATGAGATCAAAGTATTCAAGCTTGTAGGATGCCGATTGACTGTCCGAGGTCAAGGACTTGGTCACCTCTGCCGATGAGAGGTTCTCTGGTGCGAAACGTGTAATCGTCAATGGCATATTTTGTAGAGTTGTTGTGTGTGTGAGTGGTTTAGGGAATGTTGGAAGTGAAGAAGAAAAAGCAGGAGGAAGGACTGAATTTGGGCAGAGTATTTATGGCCATCGAAGATCCCTCCTTTTTCTCATCCTCTTACCTACTTTGTCCAACAAGCAAAGCAAATCTGCATAAAATCCGCAATCGTGATATGACGACATATCGACGGCCGGATGCCGTTCTCAATCCAAAATGGGTTCATCACGACTGTGCAATTGGCGACAAAAGGTTAGACGATCGTGAGGGGCTCAAAGAAACAAAGCGAAACTGCGGACTATCTCTTTTTCAAGCTCTTCCCTAACCATCTCACTTTCCTTCATGCAAAAGCTCTCGTCCTAGGTGGTGTGGTCTATAGTTTTTATTTCCTTAATCGCTCTCGGCGGACGAGGCGCAGCAGTACTCGATATCAACAATCTCCTTGGGCGCCGTGACACTCAGGACATGGGGCACTGTCTTTCCGATCGCGACATTGTCCTCGATGCGGATACCGATGCCCTGGTATTTTTCTGGGTACGCTGCGTCCCGTGGAATATATAGACCAGGTTCTAATATCAAAATCATAGGGAATTTTGACAAAGGGAAAGTAAGTTCACTGCTTCATCTTGGGACAAGTACGCGTAATATTAACCAATAAACACAGCGAGTAGAACGTACCAATGGTGATGACCATGCCTTCCCTCAAAGGCCGGGATCGAGAAATATCGCCAGTATCGTGAACATCCATGCCCAAGTAGTGGCCAACATGGTGAGGGTATAACCTCCGATCCACATCCTATTTCACAGCATGAGAAAGGTTGTCAGGAAAATGGGATTGAGACCCTCAAAATTTGGTGGCATCAACAACCTCTTGACTGCAAACATCGAAAGACAGAGGCAACGTACGTGTGGCAAGGGCTTGATTCCGAGACGAGCGAGTCCATCCTTGGTCAAACGCATGGACACATCGTGGATCTGGTTCAATGTCAAACCATGTTCCTCTGTGCAAAGCTATTTCCGACAAGTTACAAGAAGAAAAGTATACACAAGGTCAATTGCTGCTCTCATTACACAGTACTCTCGCGAACACGATGAATCCCGTAGATTACCTTGATGCACTCCTTGTTGGCGTGGAGGACGACACCATAGAGATCCTTCTGGGCCTCTGTAAACTTGCCATTGACAGGCCAGGTACGGGTGATATCACTTGCATATCCGTTGAGCTCTCCACCAGCATCCATCAGCAACAAGTCGCCGTCGTGCAGGGGCTGGTCGTTGTTGACATAGTGCATCGTCAAGGCGTTTGATCCTCCTGCAACCACAGGCACATAGGCCATCATCTGTGAACCTCTCATCCTGCACTCATAGTCGAAGCGAGCGTACACCTGGTGCTCCAATCTCTTTGGGTTAGTGAACTTCATCGTCTATCAGAATGAAAATGTAATGGGGCTCACGAGTTAATCAACTATCATGGAGACGAAGGTTCACCTTCTCCTGCCATGTAACCCCTTTGCGTAAATCCAGTCGTTCATAAGTTACCTCGATAAAGGCCTTGCCACTGATTTCACCAGCCTGGCGCATAATCTTGATCTCAGCTTCAGACTTGACGACACGCATCTCCTGGATCTGAGGCGAGAGTGACTTGGTGGTCGCCATAGCATCCGAATCTTTAGACAGGAACGGTTTAGAATCAAAAGCGAAAGTAGTAACAGTTGGTTTAGCATCGCCCCAACCAAACACCTTTTTCATCCTTGTCATCAACGAAACTGAGTGATACGTGTGAAGGTACGAAGAAAAAAACGTTTCAAACGTAAACAGCTGTGATAACGAAAGGGGTGGTACAACGGGGACAACAAAAAGTGTGGTGTAAATATTGAAGACATACCTGGCTTGTTATGCAACTTCTTGGCAATGTCCATAGGCATGAACATCGACGGGCTTGGGTAGTCAAAGTACACGTTCTCGTAGCGACTGGCCATATCAATGATCCTGTACCTGAACAAATTCGCATCAATTGCCTATTACACAGTTGCAGCGAAATGACATGAAGTATTAGAAAACCGTTAAAGTTCCAAATTTCTAACCGTGCCCGTCAGGCAAGAGGATCCATCATGAACTATCGGTATACCTCGTCGGCTCCAAAGACCTCCTTGGCGGCCTCAATTCCTGTCCTAGCTCCCTCCCACATCTCGATGTTGGCATTCTTGGGGGCTACGAACATGGTCATCTTGTACCCCTTTGGAGAATCGTTCTTTTCTATATCGGGTACAATCCGTGACCACATGAAAGCATGGGGCAGATGGTGAGTTGTTGAATAACGTCGCTGATATGAGACGTCTGATACTTCTGTTGCGTCCTAATAAGTACCCCGTCCTGTTCAGTGCGTCTTACCAAGCACCAATGCTGAATCCGGCTCATTGAATCCTAAGATGATACAAAAACACAAGAACGAAGGATAAGTATTACAGAATTGAACCCTTGCTCCATGTACCATTCCAATTTCACAATTCATGACATTTGTCCCCATACCACACAAGTAGTAAAAATCAGTATGCTGGTGGAACGGGTAGCTATCAAAAGAGAACCAGTAAAAAGTACATATCAGTTACTCGGCTAAAAGTAACAAGGTCATCCAGCCATGGTCTGCTTTCCATTTGCTTTCGCGCTTACAAAATATTATTGGTCATGAACCGTGTGCGATGACTGGTCGAGATGACAATACTGCCCTTGGGCAAGCTCTGCATCAACAGCGTCCTCCTGAGCTCAAACTCCTGTGCGCTCAATCCCGGGGTGACTAATTACGAGTGAACAACAAGGCGGAAGTATCATTTAGCTCCACAGATTGACCAGTTTTCTGCCATACCTTCATTAATATCCTTCCAACCACAACAACAGCAACTTGAGGTGACGAAGAAAAGGAACGTACTCTCGCCTTCCTTCATAAGATGGGGGTGAGTCATCCAAGTCGGCTGACCATATTGAGCCGCCACAGGACCCCTTGCCCGCTCTACTTTTGTCGAAGTCGAGAATCCTGCAGTCATGGCTGATTGACGGTGGAGAGATCCGGCAATTATCCTTGCTGCTGCAGCTGCAGGTCTAATCATTGGGTGCCTGCTGGCAGCAGCAGCAGCTCTTGTAAGAGTTTGGTTGTTGTGACTGAACAGTCGTCCCGCAAGTGTCCGTGTTGCCTATGGTTTGACATGCAACCGAAAAGAGATCAGTCAGGCAGCAATGGGCGTCATAGTGACACTCGGAGTCTGTGTCTGCGACTCCATTGTAATTTCTGTCAACCTGCTGTCGGCTGTGAGTTGATGCCGTCCTTTTCCAAGTGTACCATTTGCTGAGGTTGATGTTTAAAGAAGAAAGTGCAGCTCGAAAAAGGAGATTTCACGAAAAAGAGCAAGGCGGGGGATCCGCCCGTTGGCTGACTGCTTTTGATTAAATATCACAGAATGACACAAAGTAACATTCGATCACATACCAGAAGGGGTTTACCTGAACTTTTTTTTTTTTAGCATGCGATCATACAAGTAAGGCTATCTACAAAAGACCATCATCATCGTCATCCTCATAATAGTTACGGCTGGGAGGAGCACCAGGCTGTGGCTGCTGTCGCTGCTGCTCTTGGCGCGAAGGCGAAGGTGCCTGGCCAGGGTGCATCTGCGAAGGCTGCAAATGGGGCTGGTGAGGAGCTGGCGAATTCGTAGATGACGCAGGCTTCTCGGTCAATGCGCGCCAATCAGACTCACTCCTCTCGTCAGAGTATGCGGGTGGGCCTGGTGCAGGTGGCGAAATGTCGTATCCTCCGCTCGACTGTTGTTGGTGCTGAGGAGTAAATTGCTGCTGAGAAGGGCGTGGTTGGTAGACGTCCTTTCGGTCGTATTGCTGCTGCTGTGGCTGGAATGGCGGCTGCTGCTGCTGCTGCTGCTGCTGGTACTGTCCAGATGGGGGAGGAGGCTGGTTAGGTCCTTGTTGGTAGAATTGCTGCTGCTGGGGTGGCTGGTTAGGTTCAACGTATCCGCCTCCCGAGACCAAGTCGTCCGAGATGACAATGCTCCGGGCCAAGCGAGCAATCTCATTGTCCAAAAACCCAACATGCTGGAGTCCTGCAGCGTGGTTGTAGTAGCCCTGATCACGGTGCTCAAACGCGTCCAACATCTGATGTGCAATTGCTGATTCCTCCGACTTAACAAATCCATCCACCCTGTATAACAGAACGAAAGTTATAAAATATGAGGATGACTGACTATGAATAACGCGTTTCCAAGGTCGTCAGTGAATTGGCGGAGTGAAAAAGGGCACTTACGAGCAGTATGCCTGGAATCTCTTTCCGGCCTCGACCTCATCTCCAGCAGCCAATTGAACGATAATGATACTCAAAAGAGTTTTGTAGTATGCCATCTTGTTGGTAGTATCCTTTTGCACATTGCCCAAACGCTGCAAAATCTCTGTCGCCTTCTCAAATCTGTTTTTCCAGTAGATGGTTAAGAGGCATTAATTCACTGCGTTGACGATTTCCACCGAACGATCAAAGCGATAGCCGAGTCCAATTGACGTACCGTTTGTGTTTGACGAGCAAGGCGATGGTTCTCTTAAAGGTGTCGGTTGCGTATCGAGCACGATCTTCGCCCTCGTAGATGTTGCAAGCTCCAATGTACAGTTCAATCGCCTGGTCAACCGAGATGGGTTCCATAGCCCTAACGAAGAGAAAGAATATATGAACAAATAATGTCAGCCAGTTGTTTAAAAAAATTCCGCGAATAGCCATGTCTTGGTCAAAGTAGAGCTGAAACTGATGACATACTTGGCGCTCTTCTCCAACATTTCTGCGGCACGGTCGGGTGTCATGTTCTGCATAAAAAGCTCACTGGCACGCTTGTACATATCAGCAGCGCGTTCGGGCTGACCCAAGTTCTGAAGCGCGATGTTGCCTCCGTTTTCCAATGCGCGTCCAGCCATGAAGTAACTGAAAAGTGGAAAAGCATGATGAACAAGCATGTTAGAACCAGAGAGATAATAGCAATTGAACAACGCAACGAGGAAGAAACGCGGGTAGGATGATATATGTACCTGGTGGCATGGATCATAGCGTCGGACGCCTTGATGAACGCCTGAACAGCCTGGTCATATGACTTTCCAGCCTTGAATGCTTGGCCTAGCAGGGTTAATGGTCAAAGAGGAAAGAGGATCGCCACGACAGAGCGGAGGAGTAAAGGCATGGGCTATTAATAAATGATGACGATGGTGCGCAATTTTTCCAATTGACAAAATGGTTCAGCCAGCGCGAAAAGTAGGAAAAGAGGGAAAGGGTGAGAGGCAAGGGTGGCTGTGTATCTACCTGCTTTCTCGTAGTATTGTGCTGCGATGTCCCAATCGGGCTTCTTGAACCAGCTCTTTTCTGTGCTATTGTTGCAGGGAACAAAGACAAGAGGAGGGTTCAAGGGCGTTAGGTCATTCGTTCATGGCACAGTTAAACAAGGATGATGGGTGAACAGTCGAAAGAGTCAGGATGGTAATGGTAGTGAAGAGTGAGATGGAAGAGAGGTCATACTTCTTGTCGGCCTCCTTCATGTAGTCGATGGCGTCCTTGAGCCGTGCTTCTTCTGATGCGCCCATTGTCGTTATGTGCCTTGTAGTGAGTGTGTTCGTGTTAGTGTGTGATGAAGGAAGAGTGAGAGAAAAGAAACGGGCCGCTGTTGAAATAAATGGAGTGAAGTGGCTAAGCAGTCACTCTTTGGGCGGTTGGGCGGAAATGCGGCAGTTCAGAGAGGGTGCAAGAGAGCCAGGAACAATACTCGACTGACAGTAATGCCCTTGACTTCGGCGTGCAACTTCATTGTCCTTGATAGCAGCCCATCTCCTATCACCGCTGGGTAAAGGGCATTTAAGCACTCTTATCCATCCTGACAAAGCAATCAAATCCGACTTTGCAAAAGAACGACTTGTATTTCATGCGACAGAAAATTTCGCCCAGAGGTGGCGGCAAACAATCACCAGATAATATGGGATGATGTCCTAATTACGGAAGTCAAGAATAAAGAAATACTTTTATATATGTCCACTCTTACAACTTCTGTGGCATTCCTCCTGTTCGCCTTTATGACTTTATCGTTACACGCTCGCAGTGCCAGTCTCAACATATCGGTGCATTGCCTCATGCCCCTGTTGAATGTTCCGAGCTTACAAAGAAACAACGAGAACCATGCCTTGTTCGACAGATCATCAGAAGCTCCATGCTCCTGCAACCCATCCGCTGCGTACTTCAACGCAGCTTCGATATCCTCTGAAATGTAGTGCCGACCTAATAGTAATTACACGAATAAAGAAATTAATGCTAGTTAAAAGGCTACTTGGTACAGTTATGCGAGTAACGGAAACAATGGATGTTGTAGGTTTACCTTCATGAAGGCTGTGGTCACGACAATACCCTTTCAGCAAGATCCTCGTGTTTCACAACCATCGTCGTGTTGACACCATTCGCCCACAGAGGTCAGGACAGATCCAGTTCTTCTTCCTACATGATGGTATGTGCGGGCGCAGTGACCAGTGCCATGAAAATAAATCGGGTCACTCCACGAGTCGTCGCTATTGTTGTTGCTATCGGACCTGAGCCTGAAAGACTCCAGTACCGGTGTAGTATATTTTGTAGAGGCTGATCAAGTTAAGGCCCTTGAGGACAACCGCTTTGGACGCAAGGAGATGATGAATACCTTGTCGTTTGAGCACCCAATAGTCACTCTGGACCTTGATCGCCTATCCTCCAATGTCCGCGCCGCCGTCGAGAACAACCTAATCGCCAAGGCCATCGTCGAGTGCATCCGTGGTGCAGTCCGAGTGGCATGCGACTCTAAACGGCAATTCTAGATGCTCATTGGTCTGTATCTGGAGGATCTCTTCTGTCCTCCACCTAGGCCTGGTGCCCCACGACCTGCAGTCCCTGTGGCAGATATCAGCCAGCAAGACCAATCTATTCTCGACAGCCTGTGCCCTCGGCTCTCGTCCGGTGAAATGAGCGACGACAATAACAATGTCAGCTCTGGGGACGGCCAAGACGATGGATCCAATACGCCCTTCATCCACTCATTCCTCATCTTCCTGTACTAGGGCAACTTGCCTAGCAAGAGCAAAACCGGGTCAGCCGTCAACACCCTTAATAGTCGTCTACAGCATCTGGAAAAGTCACAAGTGGCCAAAGCGGATATGCTCAAGGGTGTCAAGGGGTACACGCCGGGTTTTGTGGTTCGATCGGTCGCATCGCAGCTGTCGGCTGAACTGTAGAGGCCCTACAAACCCTGAGCTAAGATGTTGTCGGAAAAGGTAACGCACCGTCTTCTTCGTTTATTATTTTTCGTTCTTGTCATCTGTGTGGACGACAAATTCTAACTCGATCACTCGTTCTCTATGTGTTGCCATAGGTTCAAACGACGATTAAGAAGAAAATGTTGGCGAGCGATAAAGCTATAGATTTAACGGCAAAGAAGCCAGCGATCCAGCTTTTTTGCGAGCTAATGCCACACCCGGCCGGCCTTGGCGTCTTTCGCCACTGTCGCCCGAGGAGAATGGATACATGACATTCACCGTGATCGAGCTGGCGGCCTTTTTGCACAAGCGGACGAGCTGCACCCATCCTCAGGAATCTCATCGGCTGCAAGGACCAGCGGCGACTGGCGCAAGCGGACGTGATCAAGGACTGGCTGCCGTTTCAAACACCAGGCGTTCTGATCCAGCGCCTCATTGCTCCCGTCGATCCAAGGACCCCTGATGGCAATCGCCTGTGTGGGCAACAGAAGGAGGCCCGGCATCGCGGCAACCGTCAGGGTTGTCGAGCCTGACGAGTTGCGTGCCCATATACACCCTTCGCGGCGACGGTTTCGATCCCCGGACCTACCAGGAAAAGGGCTATTTCCTGTGCGGATCCATAAAGACGGATGGACGTCAGCTGTAGCTCCTTGCATACAAAGTTTGAGAGTTGAATTCGGTCAAGTCCAAGCGTTACAGGAACGATGTGCTGCCAGATCGTTTGCTTACCACCACCTCGGGCACGAGCGACTTTTTGACGGAATTGCGCATCGTGTTCAAGACTACTGCCGATCTCAAGTGCCTTCTTGGCTGCACCCCCGACGAAACTGATAAGGGGGAGGCCAAGGTCGTTACAGGGATCGGCATGGTCCGCTTCACTTCTACATCCAGGCTGTCATCCTTGCATGGGACGTTCGAATCCTACTTCATCCAGAAAGTAACAACTCGTCTGTTTATTGCTTGTTGATTGTAGTGCTCCAATCTAGCTACTGCTGTTAGATGACATGTCCCTCTCGTTCCTTGTTTTTTCATTGCGTGGGCCCAGTCGGTTGGGTACTTGGTCGTTGGAGTTCATGAGCTTTATACCTCCAAAAAAGTGTCCCACCCGCAAGAACTTTGTCGGCCAGACATAGAGCATCCGGCGCCAGTACTGCCACCATTGCAAGAAGTACATACACTGGGACGTGATGGCAAGGCATAAAATTGTCAATATCGTCCGGAGCCATGTCGAACAGCAGCAGCGGCCACTCTATCTGCATCCGGTCTACAAGGACGATCACTGCCCCTGGCTGAAGCGTAGATGCGAGACAGCGGCCCAACCCAAGGACGCCCCAAGTTCGATGAAAAAAGCAAGCAGCATTGGTAGTCGTGCTGGTCGCAAGCGCCGGGCAGAGGAGGATGGTATTGCCGAGAAGGAGAGGGGTAGCAAGCGCACCAAGACAACCATGGCCCAGCAAAAGGCGACGACCACCAAGGGCAAGGCGGCGGCCACCAAGTAACCCAAGTGCAAGGCAAATGCCATGCAGGTCGGTAGCTAGAGTAGCTTTTTTCTTTCCCTTTTTTCACTTCGAGATGTTCAAGTCTTCCTTCGGGTGGATCTAGATAGCTGTGCAGGCCGGGCGGTTGCCCTCTTCAGTGACCTCATCGTAGTCCGACTACCCTTAAGCACTGCGAATAAAAGGAGCTAAGTCGACGAGAACTCCTCCACTCGCTACACTCCTTTACCATGTTGTCTGCCGGAGTATTTCGTGCGCAAAGAGTCCGTACCCTCTCTGGGTCTCATCTCAGACGTCTCCAATTCCCTCAGGCAAGCATTTCTCATTCATCTCAATAGTATTCATTCGATTATTATTTTTTGTAACCATAGAGACTAATCCCTTGGCTGCGCCTAATAGCTCCAGTTGCGCCCACTCAAAGTGTTTTGTGCGATCGATGGCGAGAGAAAGTCTTTTGAAGTTGATATAAATGGCAACGACTCAGGTAGTGATTTCAAGAATAAGGTCAAAATGGCAAGGCCTAACCGTCTCCCGCAGGACGTCAGCACCCTCTCTCTGTACAAGGCCCCCGAGGGAGTAGGCTTGAACACAGAGCCAGGCGTCACTGTTGGAGTAGAAGATGAGATTAGCGACACTACCTCTCTGCATGGCATGTTTGCCGAAACGGACGCGGTTCAAGTGATTGTCCGACCTGCAAGTAGGCCCTGTTACCAGGGTTGTCTTAGAGTTATGTTCGATAAGGTTTTTTGCTTACGCTGTCAGTGAACCACTTCTTTCTAGGCTACGAGCGGAGCCCGCTGAATGTCGTCCAATACGATAGGCGCTCTGGGGACCTTGTCTGGAATCAGGGCGCGTTCAAAAGCTTCCCCGTCCATTCTGAAAGCAACTTCAAGATATTACGTCAGTCCGCAGATTTCTGTTTCTTCGACAAGACCGCCTTCATCATGGCTATCGAGTCCTTCCACGAGCCTGCTCTTGTCTTCCTTCGTCCCCGCAGGTCAGGCAAGTCGCTTGGACTGAGTACATTGGCACATTTCCATGGTCGTGAACACCTTCCGGACTATAAACTCCTCTTTGAAGTAAGTCATTTCCTGTCTTTTTACCAATCATATCTATTTGCAGTGTATCCTTGCATGCTTATTGACCTCCTCTTCTAATTGTAGGGCCTTGCCATCGATGAGCACGTGGCACACAACCGTGTGTTTCCGGGGAGGTACTTTGTCTTGAAGTTTGACTTCTCTGCTGTCGATCGATCTCAAAACAGGAACGTGGCCAGACACAGCTTGAACCTGATGCTGAACGAGTCGATCATGGAGTTCTACAGAACCTATGAACCATATCTCAGAAGGTCGGCCGATGATCTCATCGAGAACTTTATCAAGGACGACGCTTCGGCAAGTCTAATAGCATGTGTGAATGTTGTACATCGTATTCTCACCAGTGTCGAAAATCCCGAGGACCCCCTTTCAAAGATCAAGGGAGTATGTGCATAGGCGTTGTCACGCTGTTTTTGTGCTCGCAAGTTCGCTGTGACCAAAACTAACAATGCCATTTTTTATTATCGTCAGATTTACCTCATGGCGGACGAATATGACAGCTACAGCAATGAGTACCTTGTCCAGAATGACAGTGTTCATTGGAAGCCGACGCAAGGGGCCGAGCCGGACAGCCTGTTGAAGGGATTCTGGGCTGCTGTGAAGAGTGGTCTCGGCAGTGCCATCTCAAAGTGCTATATTACAGGTGTCTTGCCGCAATGTTTAGCCGACAACACGTCCGGATTCAACGTGGCTCGATATGTATCATGGGAACCAGAGCTTGCGGGTTTTTGTGGTTTGACGGAAGCAGATGTCGTTGCTGCGCTGGCATTGGAAAAGGTCTGTGGTTCCACTGCCAAAGCAAAGAAGCATTTGAAGATCATGAAGGACCATTAAACGGCTTTAATTTCGTTCCTGGCGGCAGAGGACTCTTGACATTTAACACAAACACATGCCTCGAGTATTTGCAGGTAATCTTCCTTCACAACATGTTAGAGGTGGATATCTCTACTTGATGCTAACATCTCTTCACATACACGCTACTTTCTCTCAATTTCTGATTTCTGATTGCGTTTATAGAGCCTCGTGGAGGGACAGCCGATGAGGAATCCTCTTTCAGTCACCAACTCTGAAGTCTCTGCCAAATCACTACAGATACTCGCGTCATTGCCAGTGGCGACGAAGTTGTTAGAGGATGGACTCTTCAGCGAAAACGAACAAGGCAAGAAAGTTGAAAAAAGAACGATCCCCTTTGACGACATTAGGCAAACGTTTGCTCTCGCAAGCCTGGTAATGTTCGAGATAGCCCACTAATTGTTGTTGCTGCGGCTGTTGTTGTTTTTGTGTCTTAATCATCTAATAACGCCGTTTTTTTTAAAAAAATATATTTGCCCTGATGTCTTTCAGGCTGACGATCTCGCCAAATCCAAGGCGGCGTGGCTGTCGTGTATGGTGCACCTTGGTGGACTGACTTTTTGTACCCGCAAGAAACCACTACGAATCCCGAACTTGGTGGCTGCCGAGCGATTTGGAAGAGCTGTTCTGCAAAGGCATCAAGCAAGCCTGGAGGATGTGAATGGCGCGTTTAGGGTGCTTGTCGATGCCGGAAACATCGACAGGATCATCGGATTATACGCCCGCGGTATGCAGCAACACGATGTCGGAGCCCGTGATTTCAAAAAGAAGGAGGAGGATCACTGTAACTCGATGCGCTTCACCCTCCTGGCTAATATTCACCCATCCCTTCGGAAAGTTGGCGTCGAGACGACCGTTACCAAGGTATGAAAGATTTATGTCATGTCATGTCGTGAAGTGTTATTAGAGTACTAGAGTATTAGAGTAACTAATACTTGGTTTCTCAATTTCTTTAATAGCCCTCAGGAAAGTCAGGTCGAATTGACATGTTGATATCCGTTCCGTTGAAAAAGCGGCTGTTTGTTCTCGAATGGAAATCCCTCCAAATTGACTACATCGAGATTGGGTCCGGATCACCATTGCAAAGGGCCAATGTCCTTGCAGATATTCGCGATGTTAGAGAGGTGTTGGATTTGAGGATCGGTAAGAATGACAATTATCGAGCTGGTCTGACCATCAGGGAATGGATTATGTCTGGACCTCAGGACCAGCTTCGTGAGTACGCGCAGAGCGCAGAGATCCAGAAGTGGAAAGATGACGGCTATTCAATCACGTCGGTTCTTACAGTCGTAGTTGGATCTCGTCACGTTCTTTTGTGGAATCTCGATGGCGATGTGCTCGACGCATCTCCGCGACTCGCCCTCGAGTGATGTCACTGGTCAACAAGAACAACAGCAGCAGCAAGAACAACAACAACAACAACAACAACAGCAGCAATAACAACAACACGTCTTTATCAACAACTGCAACAACACTCTGTGACAAAACACGATCAACTAGGAAAGTCAAACACGGTTGAGAAGGAATAGTCCGCTATGACTTTACGCGCTCTATAGGCAAGAACGAAAAAGAGAACAGTTGATCTCGAAATAAAAATCTGCAATATCGCAAGAGCTGGAAAATTTAGCGAAAGTGTTAAGATGTGATGAACGTGGATGCGGGATCTGGTTATGTTAGAGGTTGAAGAACTAACATGTGAAAGAAGGACATGGAAATGGAGGAAGAGCAAAGGGATAGTTTCTTTTTCGTTTGCTCTTTCATATCTCTTTTCTTTTTCATTTTAAAGAGAGAGAGGACGTGTGTGTGGTGTTTAGTCTGCGAAAATAAAAGTTGGGCCAGATATCGCATTGCGTCACCACTTTCTAACCATCGCGGTGCCAGGAACATTAACCTGATGACTCCCTTTCGATAGGCGGCGCAAGCGTGCCCTATGGCTGGCCTGTTGGTGACTGATTTAAAATCAGGCAGATTTCCAACACCGTACTTCAATAAAAAAAACCAAGCACAACGTGCAGAAAAAAGCGTAGAAAATGACATGGAGGATAGCCGTCCCTCTCCGTACCTGGATTCTCGTGCCTGAAACGTGCTTGAATTAACGACTGAGACTTCACGCGCCTGGATCGCCGATCATCATTTTAAGCACCGAAGGTTAAGAAAGGTGATGGCTATCTGGAACAAGGACGCTGTCAAGACTACGATTAAGAGAAAAAGCAACAAACGCCTGAATCGCAAACCGTAAGGACTGTTGTTCATCCAATGCGAGAACAAGAGCAGAATTCTATCAAACCTCACCCTCCTACAGAGTCAGCAAAATACATCCACCTTTTTGAACCTCAGCTTCTCGCTTTTTCTCCATTATCTCCGTGCTTCTTATTGTCGTCACAATTACATTATCTCTCTTGACCATATGCCTGGTGAGTACCCAGAGGACTCCTATTGGTGGTGTCTTTGCTCCTCCAGAGCGTCTAACCGACTGGTACTCATTCAAACCAACGTGAATACCCTAGCTCATTTTCTGTGTATTCAATCAACTCACAAACACCTACACGATCTTTGTCAAAACACTCATTGCAAACGAGGAGCAAACAAACAAAGGGAGGCGACTTTTTGAATACGAAAACGATGGTATACAGTTCTTTTTAATAATGCTTTTTCTCCGTATAAAAAAAAAGTGAGGAAGAATCTAATCAATTACTTTGTGTGTCATGAAGAATAATTTACCACTTGACGTTGGGGATGGTGAAGACCTCAAAGTCAGCAGGGTAAGCACCCTTGGTGAGCTTCTTCTGGGCAGCGACGACAATGGAGTAGGTGCCCGAGGGGAGGGCGACGGGGGCGGTAGCGTTCTTGGAGGTGAAGACCTCGCCGTTCCAGACGTAACCAGCCTGGACAACCTGGCCATCCTTGAGGTTCTTCTGGCGACCGGCGAAACCGTAAGCAGGGCCATCGGTGGTGCTGAGGTAGCCCTTGAAGGTCTTCTTGTCATCGTAGACGCTGGCGCTGAAGTTGGGAGAGTGAGAGCCGAGGCGGTACAAGACAACAGCGGTCTCCTTCTTGAAGTCCCAGGTCTTGCCAGCAGGGGCGGCAATAATGCTAGAGCCGACGATCTGGCTGAGCTTAGGGTATCCACGCTGAACGTCCATCATGGGAACCTGGGACACATCTCCCTTAAGACCGGTGTAGGGGATGTGGACGGCAGGGGAGCCCTCGGTCGAGGGGGTGGCAATGACGTATCCAGAGTAGATGGGGAACTGCTTGGCATCACCCTTCTTGGGCTCGGCAAATGTCAAGGTGATGCTGGCAGACTTGCCGGCGGGGATCTTGACCTTGCTCTGGGAGAATGCGACGGTGGCAAAGTCCTCCTCGAACTTGATGTCGGGGTTGGGGTAGCCCTTGCCGTCGTAGTACGAGTTCAAAGCATCGGCAGGGGTGTGCGAGAGGGTGTAGGTCTCGGTCTTCTTGCCAAAGTTCTTGATGGTGATCTTTTGGGTCTTGCGGAAGTGGACGGTGTCCAAAAGATCGACGTGGTCGGGGGTGATGGTGGCGGTGGCCGTGAGGGCGTTCATGACATTGATGAGACCGGATCCCTGCTTGGCAGCAGAGACCAAGTTCTTGCCCTTCCAAAGCTTGGTCAGGGTGGCAGTGTTCTTGAAGATCTTGCGGGTCTCAAGACCACGGGGACCGTTCTTCTTGCCCTGATAGAAAAGAGCCTGGGAACCGGCGACGTAGGGGGAGGACATCGAGGTACCGGACAAGACGGCGTAACCACTCTTGGCGAGAGGGTAGGTCGACAAGATGTTTCCACCAGGACCACCGAGATCGGGCTTGGAGCGGAGGTCTCCGTCAAGACCATAGGACGAGAAGTCAGAGATGGTACCACCACCCTCAACCATGACATCTGAGGGGGTCTTGGACCAGGCAATGACTTCAGCGGCGTTCTTCTTGTAGGCAGCAAGAATGGCATCGCCAGCCGCATTCTCAATGGAAGCCATGGGGAATCCTGCGATGCCTCCAATGTTGGTCATGCCGACGGGAGTGGTGGCGGTGAGAAGACCGGCAGCACCGGCGTTCTTGGCAATGGTAGCACGGGCACCAGAACCGCAGCGAGTGTAGTCACCGAGGGCGAGGACGACCTTGCCGGAAACGGGGACACCAGTGTAAGAAGCGGCATCGCATCCGTCCTGGAGGACACCAGCCTTGTCAAAGAGAGGGACCAAGGTGGCGGAGGCAGGGAGATCGATGACGGTGCCAAAGTTGGCGGCGGGGGAGTACGAGTACTTGCCACCGGCATAGTTGAAGGTCTGGAAACGGCCGTAGGCGTTAGTGAATGAGGCGACGGAGGTCGAGTCGTCACCGAGACCGGTGTTACCGACCATCCAGACACCCTCGGAACCATCGTTACCGGCAGAGGCGATCAAAGTCAAGCCCCTCTTGGCGAGCTTGTCGCCGAGGGCAGCGGTGGGGTTGCCCTTGTAAGAGGATCCGCCTCCGAGGGACATGTTGATGATCTAATATTATGTTATAGACATATTATTAGAATTGATTACCCCTGAAAATTCATCAAAATATCCAATTAAGAAATGAAGAAACTTACGTTCATGCCGTCGTTGAAGGCCTTCTCCATGGCAGCAAGGAGAACATCGGTACCAGAGCTACCATCGCATCCAAAGACGCGGTAGGCTCCCAAGGTGACCTCGGGGGCAACACCGACGAAAGGCTGAGGGGGGGCATGGGCACCGGTGATGTGGCGGGCATCGCCTCCGACAATACCGGCAACGTGGGATCCGTGTCCCTGGCAATCCATGGGGTCAGAGTCGGGCTTGGGCTCGTTACCGCCAGTGTAGTCATCACCGACAAAGTCCCAACCGTACTTGACACGGCAGTCCTTGCCATAGCGGGAAAAGCATCCCTCGGTGGCGCCCTTGGCAGCAAATGCGGGGTGCTTGTAGTCAATACCGGTATCAATGACACCGACCTTGATGCCCTTACCGGTCAACTTGAGCTTTTTGTGGACAATGTCGACACCGGTCATGTGGTGGAGGGAGACAGCCTCGGGGTCGGTGGCTTTGGCGGTGCTCTTCTGGATCTTGGGGATCGAGTGGAGGGTGATGGGCCAGACGTTCTTGACACCGGGGAGGGAAGCGATGGCACGGCCGTCGTGCTTGGAGTTGACGGTGATAGCAGCTCCGTTGAAGATGTCGTACTCGTTGCGGACCTTGTAGTCGACCTTGCGGGAGTTCAAGGCGTTTCTGGCATCAGAGTGGCTGTAACTGTCGTGGTATTCGATAATGTATCTGTTGGGGACAACGTTTTTGGCATCAACGAGGCCTTCGAGGTCGTGGTAGGTACCAGCGGAAACCAAGGTGACGGCGGCAAGGGCAGAGATGATAGCGGCGACCTTCATTTTGATGAATGAATCGATGAGGGGATTGAAAGTTGATAGGGGTTGGTAGTGGTGATGTCTGTAGAAGACTGGATGGGGGTTACCGTAAAGGCGGGGAGGGGGTGGTGGGTGAAGAGGAGAGGGTGGGGGAGGGCAAAGTAATTGAAGAGAGTCTTGAAGGCTAAAGAAGAAAAAAAAAAGGCAAGAAAGTAGCGGGAGTGACCCTGGTATTTAAAGGTAAAGTTGAGGATGAGGGGATGGCTTTCCAGGGAAAGACAGTGACATGGGATTTGAGAGGTACATGGTATCGCGAGAACTTTCCCTGGAAACTGCAAGGGACAAAGACAGGCGGAGTGGCCGTTCTGCTGTTGAGCTGTTACTCTTGAGAGTGTATGAGTATATGCGAGGATGGAAAAGGCAAGGAAGGCGCCCTGATGTTGTCCTTGTGCTTGTGTTTGCCAAAGAAGAGGGGCCAGATTGAGTAGTCTACCCTTCACTTGTCCTCGGATGCGCGTTGTTCGAAGGCGAGAGCAATCATTACAGTGGTCCAAATCTTATTTGTATGGTCAACTACTATTCGAAGAGAGATGGGTGAGCCCGTTCACAACAACAGAAAGTGGTGAGCAAGGGTACAACGGACTGTACAAACAAACACAAACGATAAACAAACCAGGCTTGTACCGAGGGAACGAATGTACGGGTTTGGGAGTGGTAGCTCAGTAGGGGGACAAGGATTCATCAGGGCAATAGAAACAACGAGGAGATGGCAAGAGTAAAAGGGGAGCCAAGAGTGGGCAAAAGAAGCGGCTCTCTATCCATGTACAACTGACTGGAATGCAGCCAGGGGTATCTCGTTTTTTGTATCCCTGCTCTACTACTACATTCAAATGACTAACATGAGTGACCATTAGCAGAGAGCATCGTGACATGGGGGGCAGAGGGTGGAATCAAGGACATTGTCATCTTGCTATTCTCGGTTGTTGCTCGACTGATGATGTTGTGTAGTTGGCCATTGTTCCTCACAATTAGCGAGACAACCATGACAAGAGAGGGAGACGAATACCTTGGTGAGCCGTAAGGGCAACCCTTAGGGAGTGAGAAGGGGCGAGCCGGACTGTTGTTCTCGACTATTGCCCTTGAGCAATAAGAGGTTAACAGTCAAGTCTACTCGCACACCATGCGAGCACTCGTGTGCGCAATTTGGAGGTAAAAGAGACGAGGGAAACGGAATAGAAAATCATAATGTAAAAAAAATGCTCTCAACTTACTTCAATCTCACATTTTGCAACCGTTACAGCACCCAACAATAGATGACAATTGAATTGCATTGTTATTATCGTGTTCACCTTCTCTCATGTCTTTTCTGTCGTTGAGGTGTGTCTATTCTACCGGTACTTGTTTGTTTTACTTTCTATCTGTCTGTCTGTCTGTCTGTCTGTCCGCCTGGGAAAATGGATTCGCAGAACATGGCGCCATTCGACATATGTCTACAAAGAGCAACGAAAAACAACAGCACCGAGCCTTCTTGGTCGCTTCTTTTCATCAAAAGAGGCTGTACTTCATTCCCTCCTGTCCTGTTGAACATCAACCCACTTGTTTGCTGTTTGTTGATGCTGTTTTCCTTGGTCCCATTTTTCTATTTTCAGAATACAACCCCCTGGCTCGTCCATTTAGTCTTCTCGGTCCCTTTTTCTTAATTTCATTACTTTCGATCGCGTCCATTTTTTTATTTTGGTCGATGTTGTTGTTGCCCATGCTCAAGCATGATGTCCTACCGCACTTCAACCCATACATACTCCCTTTCATTCAAGGGTCCATTCTCAGGTACAGAGTGGCTTTGCTATTTTTTGTTCTCGTTCATTCCATTGAAAAGGCTTGGCACCACCCACCTGTTTAAGTTCTTTCTATCTCTTACCGAGAACTAGAACTTCCTCCTCCTTCCCTTCTCATGATGAAGAAAAGTAAGAGTAGGGGATGTGTTGTGAACTGCTCTCAAGAGTAACGAGAAAAGTGCTCTCAACTCTCAACAGGGTGACTTGAGGTCGAATTTCCTCATCCCATTTTGTCCATGTCTCTCATGTTGACATGGGTATTACATACACCTTCACTCCGTCAGCCCCGAACTAACACCATTCGCACCTTCAGGGACCGAAAAAGACACACGCTCCCTGAGGTCCGTTGACCAATCACATCGAGTGACTTTTGGATCATTTCCTATTGGCCGCACTCATCACACTCACACGCATTTTACCTTTATCTCTGTTCAGGTACCGGCTGACTGACGCAGCGCATTCTTGCTTCTGGGAAACAAAGAGAAAAAAAAATAAGCGGCCCCCACCCTTGCAGTGGTTCCTCATTTGCGCCATTGCATGTATTCGTTGTTGTTTGTTCACTAGTTCGTTCGATTAGTTAGGCTTGCTCCAAGGTTGATGCAGGCACACATGTTTTTATCGATGCACTGTTTGGATTTGTAGTTGGTTTCTGGGGTTGTGTGTTAGTTGTTATAGCCGTGTTCTAGCCCTCCCTTCCTCTTTAATCTCTTTTATGTGTTTGTTCACATCAGAGCCATTAGTCGGTGCGCCCTATCCCCTTCTTTCCACCTTTGCATTTTGAAATACGATGCTCTGTGGGAAAGTAGGACCCCAGAGAAACGCAATATTAACAACACCCAATTAAAACAACAATCACAACAGAAAACAAAACAAACATGCATAGGATGTAGCAAGGCCAGACTTTACCCTTCTTGCGCTCTGTTGGTACTAGCCGTTGGTGGTTACTTGGTGTTCAATTGGTTCTGTTCACCCACGTTCCTAATTTGTTCGTGCCCCTCCCCAACGGTCCTTTGTCCATAACATGAACATGAACACGGACGTATGGGGTGATATGTCGTGTTGCCGATCGTTGGGGTAAAATGAAAGAGGAAGAGTGAAGTAGGGTTTGTTCACTCTTTCTTCTAGGTTCAATGGTCCTGAACAAAAAATTGGGGCCGATCTTCTTTTACTCACAAATCATACATCCTGCACTCCTTCATTAGACACGCCTTTGATTCATCGTCGCTTTCACTCCTCACCATGGCTATCTCTCATGTTCTCACAAAATAGAGGATGGTACATCATCCCTTCCCTTATAATTTGTCAATCCATGCCCCAAATCGAATATACCCACGGCGCAGTCGGGCTCCTTCGCTTTCCCTTCCCTTCCTTCTTTCAGGGACTCCCCTCTTCACAATTGCAATTCGCCGATTAACAAGAAAACGAGGGGAGATTGAAAAAATAGAGTAGCCCTCTCTCTCTCTCTTTATTCTTTCAATTGAGATGGAGGATATTTGTTACGATAAGTCACTAGTCAGATCTGTGATCCACTTTTTTGAACCCTTACCTTTTTGCCCCTCCATGGACAGGAACATCCATTCGCATTCCTTCCGGACTTTCCATCGATTCCGCAATTCTCACCCATGGCTCTCTCGTCCTTACTTGCATACGCTTACAGGAGATAGATACGCGCTAGTCTCATCCTCAGTCTGCAAGAGTACGTGACAAAACAGACCCTGCCTCTAGACTCCCTCATTCGCTCGCTCTACGCCAGTTCATTTGCTCAGGTGCATGACAAGAGAATATGAGAAAATAAGCAAAGAGGGTACGGATGCATGCAGCTTCATGTCCTGGCATGTCCTGCAGTGCCCGGTGAGCTCCTATCCACCCTATTCCTCTCTCCCTATGCACAATGAACTTTCGGGTGCGAAATCTTATCCGGATACAGTCCCCGAGAAAAGAGAAGGAAGTACCCATCCGGGAGTACCCCCTAGGCAAGCCGATTTGCTCATCCTCTGTTCCCTCTTCTTCTTTCTTCACAAATAAACGAGAGAAAAAGGATAGGGTTAATTCCCAGGGATTACTCATGAGAAAGTATCTTTCATGCGCCCAATCACTGCCATCGCTTTTTTTTCTGTCTTTTTTTTTTTGGCACTCATGTAGCTTTTTTGTTCACGGAAGGTTGAGAGGGATGGACGTGTTCCTTTTCCCCTTGAGGGTGGGAGAGGATGCCAAAAAGAGACACACAAGTGCGTACGCTCAAGTGGCGCGACGCAACCTAGTCACCCAGTATCCAGGACAGACAGCCCAATTACGTCTGATGAGAATAAAAAAAAACAAGAGAAGATGCTCACAAATCACAAATGTGGCGTAAAAAAAAATTCACACAAGGAGAGCGCCCTTCTCAAAAAAACGAAAGATGGAAATGAGACTGCCTGCGGTGAGGTTATCAACGGCTATGGGGGGGGGGGGGGGGGGCAATGAAAGATAAGGTTAATGGACACCCCTGCCTGCCCCTTCTCAATTAAAATGCTTTCGCAGGATGCCAAACAACACAACCTTTCGCCAAGGAGCGGGTCGCGTTGCTTTTGTTGAGCAAATGAAAGACGGACTCCATTGGTTCATATCCTTGGGCTTGCTTCCCTGGAAGTAAAGACAGACCGCCGTGTTGTTGTTTTTGTTTGTATATGCCAAAGTGCCTTGATGGATACGTCTTCTCTTCTCATATCACAACCAGCTTTCGCGAAGAGAAGGTCAACAGAAATCAACATTACCTGCATGATGTACAAGAGCCTCCATTCTCCCTCCTCCATCTTCTGTCTTTTCTTCTCACAAATTTGTTCAACGAAATAAAACACGATAGATAGATATAGTTCTCGCTCTCGCTCTGGAGTCATTTTAATAATACAGTCTTCCCAATATCCTACGCCAACTCCTACAATAAGGCGGCGTCGGTGTTGGCAAGCCATTCACGCAAGTTCTCGGCCTTGCCCAACTTTGTGATCGCATGCAGCGCAGCCTGCGCCATCAAGCCAAGGGCCCTCTTGCTAACATTCTCAAGGGTATCACAACTAATATGTTAAAGCGGATGGATGTGGGAAATGGGCGACAGATGTGGTTAGCTTCTGCTGGTTTGCTTTCACTTGCTGTTTTCACTTATCCAAACTCCGCGATCCCTTGCAGTAAAGTCAGACATGCCATGCGGCTCTCCATGTCGCCATACCAAAACCAAATAACACACACAACAACAAATAGGCGCCAGCCTGTTGCTCTCATACTCCTCCCTCCTCTCACTTCTTCCTATCAGATATAACATCAGTCATAGTCGTTACCTTTGGTGGTAGCATGGGTCCAGAGGGGCGTTCGCAAAGCCTCCGAAGAGAGTCCGCTGCTCCGTTGTCTTTCTCTCGCCAGCGCCCGTGAGCAATCCTCCGGAGGGGATGCCTTCGAGAAGGAACGGCAAAAAGTCGCTTCCTCCCGTCATATCAGTGTATTCGTATCCCTCTCTGTTTGAATCGAAGTACTCGATCAACAGGTGGTCAATCTTGGACGATGGTCCGACCAATGCCTCCGGTGCCGTCTTGCCATCATGGACCTATGTTTTCCATAGTTATAGCGTCAATTGGTCAGATATGGGTTGTAAGGCATCATGGTCAACATATTGAGCTTAGACATCTTGGCATAGGCACTCACGTAGGGGACATAGTTGGGACTGGCAAGCATGTCAAAGTTCATGTTCATCGCAATCTTGTCCTTGGCCTCATGATCCTTGACCAATTCGCGGACATAGTGTCTCGATCCCAAGAGTCCAATCTCCTCAGCACCCCACCATCCAAAGACAATCTTGTTCTTCAGCTTGTAATTGTCCTTGGCCAACACAAGTGCGATCTCCAACAAAGACGACGAGCCAGAGCCATTGTCGACCATACCGGGTCCCTCGGGAACAGAGTCCAGATGAGCTCCCAAGACAATGGTGTCATTGTCATCGCCTCCTCTGGTGGTGCAGAGAACGTTGATGGTGGGCTCGACTGTCATTCTGTTGATGGTCTTCAGGTTCAACTCGACCTTGTCTTGGTTTTGGAGAAGAGTCGATCCAAGCGAGTTGGTGATTGACAAGACGGGGATCGAAATTAAGGGGTCGCCCTCCTTCCAGGCCGTGATGCGAATCCGAGAGAACAACAATGCCTTGCGCTTGGGGTTGTTGTAAAACAGGACTCCTGTTGCTCCAGCCTAGTTGCATGATAGAAAATGCACCGTTAGATCCTGATCCCTCCAGGTACAATACGTGCAATTCGACGATTTATCCGTGATAAAATGAGACGAATGATACGTACGTTCTCGGCGTTGTAGGCAGCCTCCCAGAGCTCGCAGGGTCCTCCCTCCTGGATGACAGCAATCTTGCCCTTGAGCTTCCTATGGTCCTTAGGAGAGCAGCCATTGTTGTCGACACCCTGGATTGACTGCTTCTTGAGCGTCGCCGAAGGACCTCCATACCTGAAGTCTGATGTGAAAGCAACGACACACAAAAAGCAGACCAAATTGAGTTAGCGGGACCTCAAAAAAAAATTGCGTGGGTGGCGTCATCCATGGCAAAATCTCAACTCATTCCCATTCCTGTGTCGTGTGACAACAAATGGATCGGTATTGGCGGGTATATCCAGCTGACTCACTCTGAAAGTCAACCTTGTTCTGGTAGAGAACATGGCTGTCGATAGAACCAATGCCCGAACTGGTCAACTCGGGCGCCTCCAGTTCAGACCACACAGGGACCTTGAACTCTTGGGTCGAAATGTCGCAGTACTTGTGTGCCTTCTTCCGGAGCTGTGTCTGGACATAGTCGGCCGATGCCATGTATCCGTTGGTGACCGATCGCGAGTTGTTGTGCTTCAATGCAATCGCATAGAGCTCTTCCAGATGACTGAACACGGCGGGTGTTGTCAACTTATCGGAAAGTGGCGACTTTGGTGGTTCATCTATTCGAGCGATAACAGCACAACGAAGAGTGAGATTTTCCCGGAAATAAAAGACTCTCACGCCCATCTATCCCGCCCTTCTGAACGATTCGTCATACAATTGTTATCAATGGTTCAATTGCTGACAACTGAGCGTTCGCGGTGCAGTTAAAAAGAGTTCTATGAGGTGTAAACGTACCATGGGGTTTGACTAGGCGGATCATGAGCGCGGTGCTGATACCGATAAAGACGAGGGCAATTGCTCCATAAGTCACATAGCGACGGTTCCTTGAAGGTGCCTCTTGACGAGGGCCTGAGGATAGAAAAGAAACAAGAAAAGAAACCACACGCGAGCGTGAAAAAGAGCATGAGTCGTACAGTTTTACCCATTTTTTTCGAAGCCCGAAGTTGAACAACCCTTTCATGAGAATGACATGGTGTGCGCCATTCGTTGTTGACAAAAACAAGAGGACAAGTCAATTACCGCCGTTGGATGTGGGCAGCAAGGGTTGGTTCTCTCCTGCAGGGTCTGCCATAGTGTCCGTTGTATTTGTTTCTTGTTGTTGGAGGGTATGGGTGTGGGAGTTTGGTTGGAGTAGTAAAGAGGAAGAAGAAAGTCAGTCGAAGCGTGCGCATGGGAATTTTTGTGTTCAAGTGTATATGTGGCAGACTGAATACAGAAAACGGACCAGTATCACATGATCATCTGCAACAAACGCGTCGAGGAAGAAATGAAGGCTGGTTCTTATGCACTTCTCAAGAAAGAGCAGTAGGCAACGGGCACGTCTCCTCCTGACCCGTAACAGTCTTCTACCTCACTCCACCTTCTTCTCTGTCTCTGTCTTCTTCTTCTCTGTACTCCTGCTGTTCTTCCTTCAAACAATACGTCTGACCAAAAAACCGTGGAACCGCTCGAAAAGCTTGCCAAAATGACGAAACTAACAAAACCTCCTGAAATGAACAAACGGAACGAACACAGGCAAAGATAAGGAAGAAGCAGCAATACATCATCCCCCATCGACTGCAATAGAAACAAAGAAAGAAAAATGCCAAACGACCGGGACCCTCCTACGTACGATGATGCAAATGACGGCATATATTCCTGTGTTCCAGTCCAACGATTCCCTTATATTCCTAGTCAAATGCTAGCTGGCCTCCTTTCCTCGCGCCAAAATAATAAATAAAGAGTTGCTCAACCATTAAAGCCTCAAGACATAGTGATTATGGGCCATCATAACTGTGTTGGTATTCAAATATGCGCGCGCTCGGTATGAACAGAATGAAAAGAGTCTAGTCTCTTTGTCCACTGTAATCACCCTGTCGACTCGCTTTGTTCGTGAGGGCTGACTATCAGAAGGTCCAGTCAAAGGAAGTCAAATCAAGGCATGAATTGAAACGAGCCACGATTCCACCTCACCTCTTCCTTTGCCTTCTCCCACAAGCCAAAAGAAAAGACCCACAGTAAAAGCGCACAGTAAAGGCGCACAGTAAAGGCGCACAGTAAAAGCGCACAGTAAAAGCGCACAAGAGAAAGAAAACCAACCAAGGGCTTCCTTTAATCGTTAATGAAGAATGACCCCCTCTTCCTTTTTGCTTTTGCCTTGTCCCCGTCTCATCATCCTCCTTGGGCTTCGACTCGGATGACAAGAAAGAGAAAAGAAAAATATGAAAGATTAAAAAAATTGAGCGGCTCAGTCATTATTATTGTTGTTTTAGAATATGCTTGCTTTGGTTATCAACAAATCTTTCTTGGTGTGTGCGCTTCTGCGTCTTTCATCCGTCCGTCCTCGGGAGAGGGACCATTTGTGGGTTCGGCTATGATCGAGAACGTATACAGTCAAACAAATAAGAGACAACACATAATTTCGTGCAGCATGTGCAATCGGCCCTTTGGGTTATCTTCATAGTCCTCACAATACCCCAGGATACTTGGACGTGTTATCGGCTGGATGAAAAGAGCATCCCACACACAATTCACTTCCACTTCTCGTCGAGCATTGAGCAGATTACCACTTTCACAGGAGGGACGACAGGGAAGGGTGGAGAGGAAAGGCCCTTTGGCACAAACCACATCAACATCGGAACGACGGAGTGGGTCCCCTTTTTTTCTTTCCTTTCAGGCATTCACAAATGCATGAACGCCCTTGTTTCTCTTTTTCTTTTTTGCCAAAAGAAATAAAAAAGAGGCGTTAGTAGAGAGGGTCGATGGGGGCTCATGGTGAAAGATGGCTGTCGTAAATAGGCAAGAGAAGCTCTTTGGGACCCATGGTTCCCTTATGGCACCTGGTGGTACCTCTTCTCTTTAGTACATGCTGTCAGCAGGCAGAAGAGGGCTAAGTTTATCCTTCCCACATATCCTGTTGCATGTGCTCGTTTATGACCAAGAATAAGCTCTGCCTCTTACCAAATTGACTCACACTGTGATCCCATTGGTCGTGTCTTTCAGATGTGCGTCCGTCCGTCTTTCGTTTCCGTTATCGCAAAAATCACTTTGAAGAAGAGGATCCATTGCTCCAAGACAAACACCTCTCTTTCTCTCTGTTGTTTTATCTGTCTCTCTCTTTTTTACTTCTTCACTTCTTCACTTCCTTACCTCCCTTCTCTCTCTCTTCTACTTTTCACTCTTCATTCCTCATTCCCGTCCTCATTACATTGAATAACCCGAGTCAAGGAACCACTCAGCCAACAACAACAATAACAACGAAAAAGTACAACCAACATAATAGTACCCATGGCTATGAACAGACTCCCCCAGACAACTTCAAGGTGTCAACGCCTCTACTCCTCCGCGTCCTCTTCTTCCTGTGCCTTTTCCCTGGCTGCCTCCTGTCCCTCAAGAACAACAGCAACGACAGCCGCTGCCGCAACGAGGACAACACCACTGTTGACTAGTGCCACCAAGACAACCACAGGAAACAAGGATGCCGCCAGTGCGCTCGGACAGTGTCGGATCATCACAAGGACTAAACACCACCTCGCTGGAACAAACACTGTCTCCCCTGTCTCAACAACAACAACAGCAGCAGCAGGAAGCAAAGGATACAGTAGTTTGGCAGCAGCTTCACACTCACACCAACCACACCCACCATCGATCACCAACGCCAACACTGCTACCAATGCAAGCCGCACTTACCAACAGGAATCACCCCAACTTCTCCACCGGACCAACCAACAATCGTCACAACCGATCCATATCGCCTCCTCGACCTTCCCATCCATGCCCAATTCCAATGTCAACCCCACCTCTGCAACCACTGCCTCTGCCTTCTCCCCGCAATCGTCCCCGCTCTTCAAGATGAACAACCCAGCCTCGATTGTCAAGCAGCCACAGGCAAAACGTCGGTACAGCCCACAACACTTTTATCAGAACCGCATCCTTGACCCTTACGTCCATCAAGCCGTCAGTCCGATCACACTCCGTCAATTGGTCTTTTTCGGTCGGAACATGCAGGAGGATAAGCTGCTCAAGTCAGCCAACTATGTCCGGACAGAGCTCCCCATTCGTCTGGCCCATCGAATCCGCGACTTCCAGAACCTGCCCTTTATCGTTGGAACCAACCCCCATATCGAGCTCGTCTATGATCTCTACTGGCTGGCCTTTGAGAAGATTGTTAAGATCCCGGAGATCAAGACGTTGGAGGAGAACGATGCCTTTTGTGAGATGGTCAAAGGACTCTTGAACGACCACCTCGTTGTCATCCCGCAGTTGGCGTTGGGCATCATGGAGTGCTCCAAACATATCCCTGCAGCCCAGGTCGACCAGTTTATGAGCAAGATGCTTCGGTCCAGGATCTCTCGGCGTGTTCTTGCGGAACAACACATCACTCTCACCAACAACTTTAATTCGCCCAATCACATGATGACCGACCGTGGATACATTGGAATCATCTGCACCCACATCAAGCCCAAGGACATTGTCGAAAGGACCGCCCTCCTCGCTGCCGACACCTGTCGTCAGGCCAGTGGAGGGATGGCGCCGCCCAAGGTCCTCCTCGATGGCAACATTGACGCAGAGTTCACTTACATCCCCGACCACATCGAGTACATCCTCTATGAGCTCCTCAAAAACTCCATGCGGTTCGTCATGCAGAACGGGAAGCGGGATCCAACCACAGGAGAGTTACCACCAATCCAGGTCACCGTCTGTGAAGGCACCCACGAAATTGTGTTCCGTGTCTCGGACAAGGGAGGTGGAATCCACCCAGAGATGGAGTCTCAGCTCTGGTCCTATGCCCAGTCCCCAGCTCGTTTTGCCAATTTCGAAAAAATCTCGAAGATGGCCGCGACTGTTCATGAGCAGGTTGCCCAGCCACCTTCGCCTTCCTCCTCTGCATCTTCCAGGGAAATCGACAGCCACGAACAGGACGAAAACGTTGTCCTCCCACCACCCCCAGCAGCCAACAAGAACCCAACCTACCAGCCCAGCGAAGCGGCCTTGCTTCTGGACCGCCACGCACCATCCTGGAACCAATCTGCCCAGAAATCCTCCTTCTCAACTTCAACTTCCTCACCGCAGTACAAGAACCAGTCGCTACATTTGGGAATTGGTCTTCCTATGAGCCGAGTCTATGCCGAGTATTGGGGAGGCGACCTCAAGGTCTTTACCATGCACGGCTATGGCACCGATGCCTATGCCAAGTTCTGCAAGTTTGGCAACATCTACGAGAACTTTGACTCTTAATGGCCCTTATTTTTTTTTTTTCTTATGTCTTTTTTCTCTTTGATACCACTTTCCTTCGTTTCCTTCTTTTTTTGAGCACTTGTTTTGTACCATAGAATAAAATAAAATGAGAAAAAAAAGCTCGTTTTCCACACAGCGATTGGGTTCAGTAGCAACTACACGAAACGGACAAGTGTGATCAGCCTTTGTTTGTACGACAAGACGGTATGTTTGCTCTCTATGCGACCCAAGAAAAATAATAACCATTGTCTACATTTGAAGTCTTCGCCTATCTCACTCAGTAAGATACGATCGCCAGATAACAAGGCAAGATATCCTACCCCACAAAAAAAAAACAAAGGTTAGCCCAATACCACACATCTCCATGCACAAGCACAATCCACCTCCCTCTCACTACCACCTCGTCCGTCCCAAGTTAGACAATTGCAGATATACATACACACAGAGACTTACATTCTCACTCTCGACAAAGAAACTTTCGACCCACTTCTGACGGACGTTCCGGGCCTTGCAGACAAAGATCGGGACGGCGCTTTGGTTCGGTGACCGGAATCGTGCCCATGCATGTGCTACTGCCATCCTTGGTGAGAAAAAGTGGCCTATTTCGATCAATTCACTCGGAATAATTAATTCAATTGATCTGATCAGCACTGATGCAAGAAACACACACATACACGCAAAGCCAAGAACATCTCACTTTAGAAAATGGGAGAGAGAGAGAGAGAGAGAGAGAGAAGGGCGGGGGGATTACCACCAGCGCTGACGAGGCAAGTATCCAAATGCCCAAAACTCAAGATCCCTCTCGTCGCACACGCCGTGGTCGGAGAACTCGGGGAACACCACTCTTCCACCGTAATATCCACATCTTTGTCAACCTTCCTGCTGACCTGCACGCCCAGACAGCCACAGTGTCCCGTGCCATGGAAAAAGTCTGCTCCGCTCCATCCTCCAGCTGTTGTTGCTGTGTCCTGGTCTGAGAGTCCTTCGTAGGTCAGCCGGTAGAGTTGGTGGAGTTTGGGGGTTAGGAGGGAGGCGTATTTGTGGAATTTGGGGGATGCGGAAGACAGTCTTCTTATCGAGGAGCACTTCCGGGCCATGGTGTGTGTGAAGGTGGTTGTCGCGGGTTGTTATGAAAGAAAAGGAAAAGAAAAAGGAAACGACAAGACAAAAGATCAATGTTTTTTTATTTCCTTATCTACAATCTGACCACAATTCAATAAAACGCCTGCAAAGAACTACAAGAAGCTCAATGACGAATGTTGCGAGCATAGTGGACGCCAAAGAGAAGGACAACAACAATCCACTTGATGTACTTCTGCAAGAACCCACGCTTGAACTGCGGGGTCGTCTCCATCAACATCTTGGCAAACGTCATGCTCCAGGAAGTGTAAGGCGCATACCTCAACCCCATCGCCGACTCAATCACCGGACTCAGTCCCTTGATCATGGTCGACCGGACATGTGTGAACGCATCAAACGAACTCTTGCCATGATAAGATCCCATCCCCGAAGGTCCAGTTCCTCCAAAGGGTAAAGTACCCTCCGAGACATGCATCAACGTATCGTTCACTAGCACGCCTCCAGACCGAGTCGAATCCAGCACCTTGTTGACCAGCTTCCTGTTGGTCGAAAATATATACAACGCCAGGGGTTCATCCTTCGAGTTGATGTACTCGATCGCGTCGTCGATATCCGTCACTCGGATCAAAGGCAACAATGGACCAAAGATCTCTTCCTCCATCAGCTTGTCGTCTCGCTCAACGTTGGCAATCACGGTCGGGGCAATGAAGAGGTCGTTCTCGTCCGCTTGGCCTCCAATGACAACGTCTCCAGACTTGTTCTCCATGAGGACGTCGCACAGGCGTTTGAAATGGCGCGTGTTGACGATCCGTCCATAGTCCTTGGATGCTTGAGGGTCCGGACCGTACATCTCCAGGAAGGCCTGCTTCAATGCCGGGACAAACTTTTCTTCGGCCTTGGCTGTGATTAAGATATAGTCCGGAGCTATACACGTCTATCGTACGGCGAGTGACATGGCTATGTTAGCAATGCGTACCAGCAATGATCAACAATGGAACAGTAAATGCGCCAGGCTCCCCCCTCTCGCGGCAATCGAAAAATAAACAAAAAGACGTCTAACCTGTCCGGCATTGAAGGTCTTGCCAAAGGCGATCCGCTTGGCAGCAACAGTCATGTTGGCGTTCTCGTCAATAATAACAGGACTCTTGCCTCCAAGCTCAAGCGTCAGACTCGTCAAATGCTTTGCCGCAGCCTTCATGATGATCTTGGCGACAGTTCCATTGCCTGTGTAAAAGATATGGTCCCACTTGTGATCCAACAACTGGGTCGTTTCGGGTGCGCCGCCGTTGACGACCATGAAGGCTTTATTGTCGAGGTAACGGGGTATCAGTTCTGCGATCAGCCTAGCAGAGTGTGGAGTGACCTCGGAAGGTTTCAGGACTGCTGTGCATCCGGCGGCGATAGCTCCGACCAGGGGTGTCAGTGCCAGGTAGACGGGGTAGTTCCAAGGTGCAATCACCAGCACCACGCCTATTTGTTCCATGACGACAACAGAGACAAAAAAAAAAGAATGGTCCGTTAGTTCAGTGCTTTGAACGAAAGGTCTCTTTTTTTTTGTTTGTCACTTTGACACTTGACCGGCCCGAGCACACGACTCCCATAACATACAAACAAATTCAAATCCATTCACTTACCCTTGGGCTCTTTGCGCTTGATACAGGTGGTTCCCACACGATTGATAAATGAAGGCGTCGTCCGTTCGTCCCTGGCCCACTCCTCCAGATGAACCAAAGCATCGTTGATCTCCTCCTTGGTCGTGATCAATTCGCCAAGGGTGGCCTCGTTTTTGTGCTTGCGCAGGTCCATGTACAATGCATCGCAAAGGGCGTCCGTGTTGTCGTCAATCAGGCGCCAGAGCTGTTCCAACTGGTGCCGACGGAACTTGAGTGGTCGCGTGTACCCACTTTTGAAAGTTTGTTGCACCGTCAGCGCCGTCTGTTTTTTTGTGTGTAGAGAGGGGATAGGTTGGGTACAACAGCGTTAATAACGCCTGTGTCTCGTTTGCTGTTGTGCAAGGGTTACATACATAAACTGGGCTCAGCTACTTTTTTGTCGCGGTTGTAACAAAAAAGGTATGCTGTTTATACCTGTTCAATTTCGGTCTTTGTGTTGTACTGGAGGATGGCGGTAGTCATTGTAAGAATGAACGAAAAGAAAAAGGAAATGGTAATGAGCAGTTGCGAGGAAGGAGAGGTGATAAAAAGGAGAAGAAAGGGAAGAAGGGAGAAGAGACGACACCCGTTGCTCGTCGCCTCCTGCCCTTCTTATCGTCCCGTGTGCGCACCCTTTCTCTCCCCGGCTTCAACCATCACTGCAAGTAAGCGAGCGAGTGAGCCGACGCGTTCGTTCGCTCATACCTTGTCATGTCTCGCACAACTTTGTATTTCCTGAAACATAACTCTACACACTTCACACCCACCAAACAAACAAACAAACAAACAATCGAAGTATAAAAAACAAACAAAAACAACCGTAGAGATGGTTCCGTACCGGGATCCAGGCAAGCATTGAGTGCGCCTGTGGGTCCGTTGAAAAGTTACCTAGAAGACCATTGTACGCGATTCAGAGATGCACCCTGCTCTCGCATCGTTCAAAGGCAACTAACTGTGATACCACCCAAACATGCACACGACCTGCTTCTTTTTTTGGATTATTTTACACAACGAACGTCAGCCCACAGTTTACATAACACAGCCATCCTCGCGCCGAACTCTTCTCTCCACAAACACGCAACTCCCACTAACCAGATCGATCCATGCATAACACTTCAAGCAAGAACAAAGATACAGAGCGGTGTTTTTTTTGGGTTGGGTTTATTGTGAGTTGGGTTTTGGTGTAAACTGGTTAAAACCCCCACTCAGAAAGCTTGAAAAGAGGCAGAAAAATGCCGCGACAGCAAAAAAAAAAAGATTTGTAGAAACGGAATCAGACTACCGGCCTTGCTCGAACTCCGGGGTGAGGGTGGGAACTAACCGCGCTTGAAGCTGCTAACATTTACTTGGAGCGAGCTCTCATCTTTCTTCTTTTGCGCTTGAGGCGACGAACGCGCTTCTTCTTCCACTTATCTCTCATCTATTGAGGGGTTGAATAAGGGGGTGGGAAAATGGGGTTAGATGTCGTGCGCTTTTCTTTAAAGTGTTTTGTGGCTGTCTGGGAGAGTGAGAGGTCTGTGGTAAGGGAGTGGCGCGTGTAGAGGTTCAATCCGTAAGAAAGAGTTGAGGCGAGGCGGTCGGGTTTGAATTGTGGTCCCGGTTGAAGGTGTTGACGGACGGGTGTAAGGGTAGAGTCCAGCCTTGAAGCAAGCCCAAAAATATCCTGAGAAGTCGAGTTGTCGGTCAGCGTGAAAACGTGTCGATGAGTCTTATCGCCGGATAGTAAAGAGTAGCACCGGATAGACCGCCCTTGTGCCGATGGTAGAATGCGATGTTGTCGATGGATGCTTGATCGGATCGGATGGATGGATGGGCGCCTGGAAGACAGATGGATGGATGTGCTTGTATTTTTGAGCCTGATAATGCAATTGATTATGTACCTTGAAATGGTAATAGGAAAGGAGGAAGAGCAATATCATCTGACGAGGGGCTCGTATTAATAGTCAATCCAGTATGTCTAAGCCACCGAACTAACGGATGCTGGCGGCTTCCAGGCGGAGAACTCTCACCGCGAACCTCAAATGGCTGCCTGTTTTTTTTGTTCAGGGTCCCAACAGGCGAGTCACCCGACAATTGGAATTGGTGACGAAACGAACGAAGCACTCGCATTTCTAATTAAATGTCAGAAGACGATAGAACCTGACGTGCATTGAAGGTGTTTGTTCACCTGTACCATACACAGCAGCAACACAAATATAGGTCGGAAATAGCCATTGGCGAACACTTCGTCTCCCCTCAATAGCCCCTTGCATATCCTGACCACACTGTGTGGTTTTTCAGGGGAGAAAGAAGGGCTCGCAGGTTGCTCTTCGCAACACAGTAACCCCTCCCATGTTCATGTACAGCACTTGCCAGGTCACAGGTGTGGTTTTTCAGGAGAGGGAAGGGCTCACAGGTTGCCCTCCATGGCACAGCGACCTTTTTCAGTTTCAGGCACAGCACAAAGGCGCTACAGCTAAGAATTGCCGCCAATCCAGGTCAACACTTCCCGTCCATACTCTTCCCTGGTTCTGTCATGTGCAGTACATGTCAACCGAGCTAGCTCCTCCGTTGACTGACAAGGCGAGCGAGGGCAGATTTCCATGATCTGCTTTGCCATTGAGAAAGAGGTTGAAAAAAGGCAGGGCATTGTTGGCTGTCAATTATTGGGGTCGAATAGAGCGAGGACGGTCATGGAGAAGCAGCCCATATGCATGCAATTATCTCAAATGACTGCTATGGCAAAAAAAGCTAAAGGCCAAATTCACAAGCGGCGCACTGTTCTCCAAAAAGGTTGTCTTGGGCCTGTGCGTTGAAGTTTTCGACTTTGAGAGGAAGGAAAGGGTCGAAAAGAAACGTATGAGTTTGATTTTATTCGTACCTACTTCATATACGCCTAAATACCCTCAAGCCTCAAAACTGGCGAAGCGAAAGGATTGGGTGCGTTCAGGGAAGCGTTCGCTTACGCTGCGTATGTATGATCCATATAGTGTCGTCCTGTGATGTTTGTTGTCACCCGTTTCTAGAACGTCTCTCTTTTATTAAGTTAGCTTTTTTTGGGGGGGGGAAGGAGTATAAGCTGTTGATTGAAGGAGACGAGATGAAGCGTAAGCATTTCGGGGTATTATTTTTGTATGAATGAAGGGTGATGTAAGCGTATGAGAGTGATCAGGTTTGTTTTGAGTGCTTGCGGCTCATTTTATGGGTTGTGGTTAATGTGGTTATATGTTGCATCGGGAAGACAGACTCTATCGCGAAGGGGAGTGGCGATGCTGGCAGAGGATATTCAACAAACTCAAATTTTAGCGGGTAGGGTAGGACTGAGTGGGCGAGGAAGGAGGCGTGCTCTGTTCTGATGGACAGCAGTGAGCGACATGGGGGCTTTGTTTCTATGGGACTCAAAATAAATGAGAGAGGGGATGTGATTAGTCCTCGCCCGAAATGATCGCTGATTGTTGGCGAATTCATTTTTTTCCTCCAATGATAAACTTCGCCAGGGAAGACAAACGCGTCCGTGATCGTAGGAAGCTCTCCCAGGCCTCTCACTATTCTAGTTCTTCCTGAAAAAGAAAGAAAAGACTGTAAAGGAGCCTCCAAAGGCATAAGGGGTATGCGACACCTGAAGGCAAGGGGTGAGAAGGAGAAAAGGAGAACAGTAACACACAAACCTTCCACTTGCTTCCTTGCTTAAAAATTAGCTTGGCCATGCTGAAGAGTCTTCACAGTCAATGACCTTTATAACGCTTTGTCATGGGCAATGAATCTTCGCCGTCTCCGTTGTTATTGTCTCTGAGCCCATGAAAATAATACTTCTGTGTATACCCGTTTGGCGCCAAGAATTGAGAGCAACAATTTCCATATGCGAGGATGCTCTCCATGACGGGACGATGATACACTTTAAGACGACGGCAAGGATTGTTCATCAATTGGCCATGGCGAAGAAGCGGGTGATGGTAAGGCGAAACGATTGTAGGGCGAAGGTGAGGTCAAGCGGAAGGTTCATGGTCAAGTTTAGTCTGCTTTGAGCAAATGGCGCCATACTAAGAGGACGATGAGATGGAGACGAGAGCCGAAATATAAAGGTGAAAGCTCATGACAAAAGAATCAGAATTCTGTTATTCTGCCTGTCCATTTATAAGAGTCTGCTTCCTATCCTCGTTTCAGACCACTGCCTTCATTTTTGGGATCCTGTTATCCGATGTGGAAGTCGGTTGAACTGCTTAGTCGCACAGCAACGTTGCCGGTCGATTGAGATGACGGGGCAATAAATGTGAGGTTTCAGGACTTTGTTTGGCAATTGTTATCAACGACCAATGATCGACCATTTTTTGTATTATCCATTCTAGTTGAACACATAGGCTTTTGAACTTGAGTGCTTTCCTAAGCAAATTTAACCTTCTTTACGGGCGCTACGGCCTTCCAATCGGTCAAGCTGTAAGTAGAATGACTGATGGCAAAGGATCAAAAACAAAAGAAACATCCGTCATGAAAATAAGACAAAAAGAACCACAATGAATCACGCTATGGCATTGTGACGTGTCATGCATCTTTTTTTTTATCGCCCTAGACCCCTAACTGTGAATATAGAACGGCTTGCCGTCCTTGGAGATGGCGAAGACTAGCAAAGACATACAAAATGGGACAGATTGCTTAACAAGCTGTCCCACGAAAAAAATGGGTGTACATGCATGAACTTAAAAGGCTCAAAAACAACATGGCCAAGCACCTCATTAATGGTATATAAACTATGTCTCCTGGCAAATTGTATTTTTTTTTTCTCAAAAAAAACTACTCACCAACACCCTCCTCGTGATGTCATCACTCTGACACCAACTCTCTCTCTCACCTCGTTATACCATGCGCCCAGTCTTTTATACATATCTTTGGTCCATCTATCCCAGACAAGCAGAACCCCGGAACCCACACACGCTGGATACTCCCATCGCTGAATTGCACCAGAGAGCTTTATTTGAATCCTGGATACCCCAGTCGGTAACTACTGCTACAATTTTGGCGAATTCTTACCTGACGGACGCCTTTCTCAGTTTGTTTTCCGGAACGGTACCTCAACTCGAGAATCCACTTCGACGGCACCCTGCTTCGGTTCTCTTGTGCTCGGCTACATCGAGTTCCAATTCGTCGATGCGGCCAGATCTTCCCAACCATCAATCATATCTTGCACAGCGCAGTGCGCCTGTAGTTGTGTCTTCAGACTCCAAATATCAAAATATCCAACCTCGCATTCTCCGTCCTGTGCGCTAGATGTACCTGGACTACATATTATTGTTTTTTCGAACTCGACTCTTCGACTTAACGACGACTCTAGTAAAGAGGATACTGGTCGCCTCTCATCACTCTCGCTTGCTAGCTTGCAATTACAGAGGTAATTTTTAAGTCTGCGCCAGAATCCAGAATCACAAGAAAATTTCTGTTTGTGCTTTGCCATATGCCATTTCTGACGTTTACTCTTTTCCTTCATCACCATAACGCATCATCACCATAACGCATCAAGACAAGAATGGCCACACCAATAACGACGACGATCGCCACACCTACACCTTCTCCACACCACCAACTCTTATCGCGACAGAGACATACCCACAACTCCACCAAGTCACTCCTCCTTTCCTTACCGCCCGAACTCTTAAAGCTAGTTATTTTTTACCTTCTCGACCCACTAGACCTCCTCCGCTTTTCATACACCTGTCATGAACTTTTCTTCACAACAGCTCCCGCCGATTGGTATTCCCTTGCCACCTACACCTATACCAATTGGGTCGAATCATGTGGCGACCCAAAAGCGAGAGATTGGAAGACGATGGTCCTCAAGGACGCCGCCTTGGGAGTTCGCCTTGGGGCTACTCTCCCTCCCCCTGACGTTACTTCGTCCTCATCGTCTCCATCCCTTGCGACTGTTTCTTCCCTTGCGACTGTTTCTTCCCTTGCGACTGTTTCTTCCCTTACGACATCTGCGCTGCCTCTTCCAGTCTCAGGGACCTCGCCTACTACAACAACTGACGTCATCCCGTCAAGACCATCTCCACATCCGCCACCGTCCGTCAACTCTAAATGGCCGCAATGGGCGACCAGCGCCTCCCCCGGCCAGCCTTCCTCCTTGGACGAGTCTAACCGTCGCCGCCCCCTCAGAGTCAGACTTTCCGAGGCTCGGTTCTTCAAGACCGACCTAGAGACCCAAAATGCTCCCGGAGCCCCGTGGGTGCGCATGGGATCCCCGATATATAATATTGATCGAGACTCTCACACCGCCATTGCCGCCTCGATGATCACCCGTCCAAAGTCCGTTCCCTCCAGGAGCAACGGTGGCGATCCTCGCCCTCACGACCACGAGATCCTACTGTACAACTTGCCCGATCTGACGAACCCTATTGCTCGGTGCGGCAGCGATGTTTGGGAGAAGGACAAGAAGACCGGCACCCAGGCGGCCCAGCCCTGGTACCATCCCTTCACCCACGACATGATGCAAGTGGCGCAGGTGGTCGAGATCAAGCACTACCCCGAGGATACCGTTGGGGGCATGCGTGTCGTCGTTGTCATCGCCTTCGGACAGCGTGCTCGTCCCTGGCTCAATAACGCCACCGACGCACACATCCTTGGCGTTTGGCTGATGCTCAAGGTCATTGAGGTGAGGGTACCGGTGATACCCATGACCCGTCTGTCTAATTGGATGATGAATCATTTCCGATCATCGTCAGGTCTTGAACCCAAGGTGGCTAGGGAGTGTTTTCGGATCAACCCCGACAATGTTGTCAAGTACGAGAGTCTGGAGCCTCGTCAGCATCAGATTACAATGCACGGACGCATCGTCAAGCTTTACTCTGCGCCTGAGCCTCCTCCACTTCCGGCGGCTACTACTGGAAGCGGTCAACCATCAACAACTATGGACATGGATACTGGGAGGATGGTTGATTGTATCGCCATTTTTGGCACGCAGAACTCGGAAGCGGCATCGGCGATGGTTATCAAGAAGGTCCTTTTTTGTGATGACGACGCATCGGACTATGGCAGAAAAACTTACTCGAACAAGGCTGTGAGTCGTGGAGTGAGCTGTATGGCGTTGTTTCCAGATCACAGTGGATACGAGCACTATCTTGTTTTGTTCAACCAGCACGGCAGAGGTATGGTGTGGGATTGGGTTCACGAGAAGCAGATCACGCAACTCCACATGCCCAGCGACAAGAGCAAGAGTAATGGAGACCGGAGAGCTATCGATGAACCAGCGAACATCGGAGTCGTTACTGGCAGTGCCTTGGCAACGGCTGGAAACCCGGCGGGCAATGCTGGCGGGGGCGGGGCTTCTTCTCGTCGCCGCAGAGTGTATTATTGGGGCGTGCAGGTCAGCGCAGCCCTAGAGGTCTCTTTCCCGGAGGATTTGAACAGTGTTGGCAACAGCGACGGCACTTTCAGGATTGTCACGATGGCGGATGGTGAAGACGATGAGTGGGAGTCGTGTTGGTGGAACATTACCTTGGTTGAGTTGCAGGGACCAATGACATCGCTTCCAGCGCCACCGATCATCGATAGGAACAAGTCAGGATCGAGTTCAAATGCGAACAACGCACCCAAGCCCCCTTTGATTTCGAGTGTCAAGCGTTTTGAGCGCAAGACCTACGGCGTTTGTATCCCCGAGCAACAAATAACACATTCAGCCGAAGACAACAAACCTATCCAGTTCATTGCGTACGTCATCTGGAATCACTACAGAATCGGTTTGTCGTCGCGGATGGGTATCTGCATGGTGGATTTGGAAGAGCCCGAGTCAGAACTTGTTGCGGATCGACAATGGATCACATTCCTGAAGGACCGTGAGGATCTGATCGACATAGCAATTTTTGGCCACAACCTCGTCGTTACTCTCAAGACTGGCCATCTCGTCTGGTCGTTCTACGGACAAGACGTGGCACCGTTCGTGCCCAAGGAAGGACTCGGTCTCCGCATGGACATGGGACATAGTTTGGAGAGTGATTGCATGAACAATATACCTACCCTTGTGCAGTAAAAAAAAAAAAAAAAAAAAAAAAAAAAGACATGCACATGTAGTTTAGACTGTAAAATAAATAATGAAATAGGAGGGTTGGCAAAGGATATGGAGAATGCATTCAAATGATTAACTTATTGCTCACAAGGCTGAGTTGAGAGAGCATACTTCCATGCTTCATTGATGGAAGAGATGGCGAAGAAGGCGGTCCGTGGGGTCCATCCAATCAACGCGCCAACGCCGGCCGATGCAGGTAGGCTCAAGACGTCGTTATTTTTGAAAGTCGATCGATCAAATGACACTGTTTGGGGTGTTTTTTCCACCTATCTTTCAAAGGAGCGAAAGGATAAACATAGGTATTGCGAACTGATTGTTCAGTGGGTATTGCGAAGTGCATACATGTTTTGTTTATTTGTATTTTTGGTTTTCGCTGCTGACCTTGGCGGAATCAGGCCAAAGAAACAAAAAAAAGAGGGGTGGTGTCGAAAATACGCCAAGAAATGTCGCATCTTTTCCCCAACAAATTAATGTCAATACAATAGCTCAGCCCAGGGTGTCGTGGGCGTTTTTTTTTCCCCGGCGTCGACCTGCCAGATGGCACAACCATATCCATGTCTGAGTGCCGGTTACCGAATTGAATGATGATTTGACCATTAGTAGAAAAAAGAACTCAAGGGGTGATGCGTGTCGTAGCAGATGTTGTTGTTCCACGACGTATCTTGGTTGACGATCCTTTGAGAAGTCATGAGCGTAGACCGAGTTTGGTCTGAAAACAAGACCATGTTTTTTCGATGCTCCTGCAAGATGAATTGTCTGGCCCTAACTCGCGCATACGACGATGACATCTTTGTTTTGAATCTTGACGACCTCGTTTCTGTATAGCCTTTATCCTTTGTCGAGCGATAGTGGATTATTTGGATTGCAGACGGATAACCTGACGTTGTCAAGCGAGAACGCTTCGCCGCAGAGCAGACAGTTGACAGCCGAAATGGCGGTAAGTCCAAATCGAACACGATCGGATAAAGCTAGGTGAAGCTTCACATTTTTTCTCGACCGAGCACTTTATGAGGATGGGTGAGTTGTTTTATAGCAAGCATCAAAAGAACGAGAAGAGTATAGTCAGACCACGATTGAGTTTCATCCGCATTGTTACTTCGATAGTATTTGGATCGCCAAGTTGCGACACAAAAAAAAACATACCACTCGCTCTCATCCAGCCATGTCACGGCAGTAGCAGGATACCGTCGAGAGATAATATGTCGTGGAGCCACGCGGATCGTCAGTTATGAGGTCGACAACAACTCGATGCTGACATTTGTTTCCGATGGTGATGGGCGATTTGATATTGAAGTCGTGTTGAACAATCGTGGGATACTTGTTGCTGGCATGTTCTTCGAAAGCAATTTGTGTTTCACACTAACATAGTCAACAAGAAAAGGAAAATCGTTCTTTTCTCAACATTGAATTGACATCCCAGGCCTTTCACATCATACCTTGGGGATTCTTATTTGTTCTTTGAAGAAATAGAGCGACTCTGAATGGTAGTATCGACGGATACTATATAACCTGCGAGTATGCTCGACGGCGATGAAAAAAAAACTACATGTCAGTCACCATCTCACTAAAACACAGAGTAGTGCATGCAAGTATGCTCTACCGCGTACTTACTAGTTGGACCGATCTGCACCGATGAACACTTCGACGCCGCCTCGATCTTTATTATGCTGCGATGGGGTCTTGCTGAGTCGTCTTTTCTTTGGCGATCCTGCGCGCGATGTTGATATTTGCCGCTGCAACTGCTTAAAACATTCCTTGCAACTCCGCGATGGCGCGTTTCAGAGGTCGACAATTGGGGGTATGCATGTCCAATGCGTCCTGGATGAAAATGCGAGTCGTCACTCTCTTCCTTGCATGGCGATCCAAAACCTAGATTTCCAATTTCCATGTGTTTTACATTCGGGTTTCTTTCATATAGCGGGCGGTAAGAGGTTGACATCCCGTGTTGTTTTCTAGAGGATAACAGAGCTAAGGACGCGTGAGAAAGAAGACGGGTACGGTTAGTACTTGATAAACTAGGTCACTTTCCCTCCAGGCACGAGAAAAGTGAGTGCGTCGCGTGCATTTACCTTGTCGGCGTGGCCGATGCTGCAGCGGCAATTATCCTGCACACTCTTCACTATTGAGTGACCACCAAAGTAACCTCTGCGCCAGAGTGATATCCTTTGCGATAAAAAACCTGAGACGCTGCTGCGTGGCCTGCTCTTTCAATCCTGTGAAAACGACCACTCGTGCATTCTACGACAAAGAGTGGAAAAAAATGTAAGCAAAAATATTCACTTTGATACCATATCTTTCAGATATTAGATCGAGCCAAAGGCATATACCAGTCCACCGTCGACAGGACGATTTTAAGATCCTTCATACGTCTAGCATCACGAAATTAAGGGTTGAGCGTCGAATTGATTTTTTTCGCACCAAAGGTGCGTGGAGGCGGTCTTGGATGGTCAATGCTATGATTGTCAATACTAAAACGCGGTACCGTTAGTTATCTGTTCTTTTTTTTTTTTGCTGTAGAAAAAATCATTGACCGATATCATCTTGTCGCCTGGCACATATCAATTGTGAGTGAAAGTGGGATTAAGACCATTTCTTTGCACACCTTTTCGTTGCTCGGTCCTTGACGTCATGGTAATTGTTTCGGCATAAGATGAAGGTATCAACCTTCGAGTTGCCCTTTTTTTACACTTTATGTGGGGTCGAGTGTGGGAAGAAAAAAATTTGTCCGATATATTTGGCGTTCTTTCTTATGACGTTTTGAAGAGGTGGGACGATTCGATATGTAATTGAATGCTATCATCCTCGGCGATAACTGAGTTGTTTGGGGTGTCACCTTGTAATAGGATACAGATCCTTTGGTGAGTGTTTCATGTATGTTTTTGCTCGACTGTTTCTCAATTGTTTGGCGTCATTGTTATTTAAGATATGGCGTATTGAGTTGAAATCTACTGAGTAGATGTGATAGTGAAGTACACCTTTTATTAGAGTTTTCTGTAACACACCTTTCTAAGGATGAAAAGTGGGTGAGGTTTTGAGCAGAATGACCGAGCAGTGTGCGAAGAAAGAACAGCGAGAGAGAGTGAGGGAAGAAGGAGCAAAGGGGCCAAAATCTTAGAAATAAAAATGCTTTCGAGGCATGCATGATGATGTGGCTTTTGTTGTGTTTACTTTTTGGACATGCGCGTGGACAAACGCGAATCATTCAATATTTTTTTTTTGAGGAAGATGGAAGGGCCGTTTTGTCGAACAGTAAAAGTACAGGCGCACAACCAACGCGTCGGTCTGTCTCCCCTACTAAACACATGCAGAAAATGCCTCGTTCTTGCGGCCTGAATCTGACACAAGAAAGATAAGGTAGCTCAAAAAAAAAATGCCGAAGGAGGTCACATGGGTGTCCAAGTCGGCAATTAAACCCCGCACTGCAAGCCGTTTTATTCATTGCTTACTGCTTCCTGCTTACTGCTGAACGAATAATATGCAAAAAATCCAGACTCCAGACACCAGACACATGCAGAAATGACGGGTTCGGACCCCTAACCTATCAATTGAGACCAGCCCCTTCGCCTCCTTCAATTCCCTCCAATAAGAAACTTGATAGGTTGGACGAATAGATCAAATCAGGGGTTGTCGTTGGACTCAAACAGACTCCTTTTGGACAAAAAGAGTACATGTACCTGTAGTGGGTCAGTAGCCATTGGCCGAATGGCCTTTGGCCAGGCCAGACAGCTCAAAAGAGGCCAACGAGAATGCAAGCAGGATAAAGAAGGGGAGAGGGAGAATATTGTCCCCCAAGATCTTGATCGAATGGATGAGGGCTAAAGAGATGAAAAATGAAAAATGATCCGGGATGAAGCGCAGGAGCACAACTTCTAAGGGAAACAGGTGAAAAGAGGGGTAAAACGGTGTGTCAAAAGGGCGTTTTACGTTGATGTCGATTTTCCTTAGTCGCTCAGTTGATCCGGATACGAGTAGCGATCGAGTGAGAGAAAGACGGGAGAGTGGGCTTTTCCTCAATGGTGAACTCTGGCTATTCTTCTCGTTTAAACCTTTTGCCTTGCTCTTCCATCCACTTTCGGCCTTTTTGTCCAATGGGTGCATGGAATAAATCGACAAACAACTGGAGTAATGTAGGAATGTAGGACGAAGGGGTGTGAAAGAGCGAGGGTTTATTCACTTGTACTTTTGGGACTTGAGCTTTTGTGCCTATGTTCGAGTTGATTTTGTTGTTTTTTCTTATCCAATTTTATTTATCTGACAAACAACACAAAGCATTTGGAAGTAAAGGGGACTACAGACCAAACTCTTTAGTGCACCATCCACCAGTTGCAATCCGGTCTGGAACCTAGCTCTGCACATCAAGTGTCGCTGCTCTTTACAGCTTAAACGGATGACATACAAATAAAGGGGATTCTTCCCTCCTCCTTCCTAACAGACTCTCCAACATCAGCAGCGCGTGGGCCTTTAGTCGCTCCAGGGCGTCTTCCTTCATCATGTGTGGCTAATGAAGCGCCACACGGGCAGAAACCATCACGGGTGATGTAACCGTATCCTTGACTCCGTCACCTCGGAGGCCTGTGTATTTGGATGTCTTATCCTTGGCAGAGATTTCCTGAGGTGTTGGTTTTGTTGGTTTGTGTTACCCCACAATCGAACATACAAACAACGAGGGGTTGCACAAAGCACATGGACTATGCGCGATTTGTTGTAATTGTCCGCGGCGCACCTCTTTTTGGCCGTTTTTGAACCCCCACTCTCAGTCCATCCCTCGCGCATGCTGTTCTTCTACTTTCACTCGCTACAAAAGTCGATGGAATGAGGGAAAGAAAGAATGGGGAAAAGACGAGAGTGAGAGGGCTAGCGAGAGAGGGAGAAGGGAATGAGGGGTATGTATGTGCGATGGTTTATGAGGAGTAACAGAAGGCGAGACAGGAGTCCGTCGTCGTGTGAGTGCAAGGTTCTGAGTACTCTGCACTGCGAGCGAGACTTGTTAAGACTGGCGGCCCTTTGGCCCTTTTTTTTGCTTGTCCTTGAACAGTCCAGTAATCAGCAGGATATGTCATATCATATTTTATAACCCTTACGGTACATGGACACCCTTATCCCCCTCTATTCACTCTGTATCAATCAACTCATGCAAGGTGAGGGCCCAGTCTAATTTGTTACGATTGACGCTCTCTGTGGATTGGACTGAACAAAGGGACGAAAGGCAGGGGACGCCTTTTGTTTCCTTTATGAAGAAAGGGTTGGGTCTTGTGGATCTGAGTCCCAAATAAGAAAGGAACAACGACCAACAAAAGAGGAAGGAGTTGACGTCGAGTGGCCCAATCGCCTCTTAAGCCCAACCAAAGAACAAACGAACAAGAACCCCTACAGTACTGTAGTGTATATATTAGTAGTGCAACAATACATTCTCAAACAACCCCTGGCGTAAATGGATATGAATGGACAAGTGGACATCTGACTGGTAGAAAAGAGGACAACAACGCCCATTTGTCGCCGGAAGAAAAGAAAAGGGTCCAGCCTTGGAGCCACTCGGCTGTGTCCCTCATCCTGCATGTCATCGTGCTCATTCACATTAAAAGGACAGACCATTCCTCCTCTTCTGCTCTCTTTTTTTACCTTTTCTTTTTCCCCCATTTCCACTTCATCTCTTTGGACATCAACCACCGCCACCGCACTTTTTCCTCTTCCTCCTACTCCGTGGTCCTCGTACTCCTGAAGTTGACAACATCCCATCCCCCTCTCCTTTCTTCCCCTTCCCCTCTTAATACCCAAAAGACACGCATTCACGACTGACACCAACAAAGATAAAGGTGCGTTTTGACTATCCTGTGCTCAATTGCAACCCTGGCTTCCATTTTGCGGCTACCGAACATTAGCGCTACCCTCACCAACAACTTCAACAACAACAAGCGGTTTTGTTTAATTGCTTTCTATCGACTATCTCAACGCAGGCGCACTGTTTTTTGGGACATTGTGAAATCCATTTTTAGAGGGAACGATTTTATTGTTGTCCCTGACGCTAATGGAAGGAAGGGACTAAGAAAGAGTAAGGGGGGGAAGGACATGTAACGCTGCGAACACCTGCTTCTCTTGAGCATGCATGAGTAGATGGGTGGGTAGTGTCCAGCAGCAGCAGCAGCAGCAACAGATGACGACCCAGGGGACAGAAAAAAAGAGAAAGAGAGACCCGCTTTCGTTAGGATATGTCGATTAGTGTGCAACTCTTGGCAGACGTCCTTGAATAGGAGCGCAAAAGGGAGAGGCTGCCATTTTGGACCTGATGCATACAAAAAGAGATCCTCGTCTCTTTTCTTGCCTACCTCCGTTTACTAATCGCTCTTTCTCTCTTACTTTCCCTCTTTTCTTCCTCCTCTTCTCTTTACTCTTCTTTCTTTCCTCTTTCTCTTCTCCACCTCTCTTCTTCCCCTCCTCCTCCCCCTTCTCTCTACCTATTCCTCTTTCCTGCATATCCAATCCCATCCCTTATAGCCACAGCCACACACGCCCAGTCAAACCAACACACAAACCCAAGAACATGTCGAAATCAGAGGTCGGCTATGCCGACAACATCCACAGCGCATCATCACCCTCATCCGGATCAGCCGATAACAACATGACCAACATCTCAACAGGCGGTGATATGGAAAAAGTCATGGTCCCCGTCGAGGACATGTCGAACCTGGACGAGAGCGGCTTGAAGCGCGACCTTCGTCTCCGCCATATGGTCATGATTGCCATCTCAGGCACTATTGGAACGGGACTCTTCTTGACCTCCGGAAAGACCATTGCTACGGCAGGACCTCTTGGAGCCCGTAAGTTTTGTTTGCCTTGTTTATTTGTTGTGACACAGACACGGACCATTTGGACAAAATGCTTAATTCTATTTTACTTTTGCTTGCACTTCTTCGTCGCGCTTTGTGAAAAATATATAGTCATGGCATACGTCGTGATCGGAATATGGCTGGTGTTCGTGTGCCAGGCCATTGGCGAAATTGCAACGCTGCTTCCTCTTCCTGGTGCCTTTACTGCATGGGGTGCCCGAGTGTTTGACGAGGCCTTCTCCTTCCAAATGACTGTAAGTATTCTATCAGTGCGATGCCTGTTACGAATCTGTCAGTCTGCTAGTGTCATCAAAGAGCATTACTTCGCTGGACACCTCGTTAAGAAAAAAACAGCCCAAAACTAACATTATTCTCCTTCTCTTCTCTCTTCACATTATCGCTCTTTCTTCTGCATGGAAAAAGTACCTTTATTTGCTTAACTGGTTATTGACAGTGCCAGCTGAGCTGTCTGCATCGTCGCTCATCGTCTCGTTCTGGCTCCACGAGGGCTCCTCGTTCCCGACCTGGGTGGTCCCCGTCATTATTATCATCGTCTTGGTCATCATCAACCTTCTCGGTGTGGTATGTGTGAATGAAATTGAATTGACAGTCACTTTAGAGCGTGCACAAGCAGAGATGCCGAAGTGAAACGAAGACATGACCCTAATGCGTCCCTACTTTCCCACGTTCATGAAAACTAATAGCAAGTGTATGGTGAGGTCGAGTACTGGTTCTCGATCCTCAAAGTCGTCACCATCATTGTCTTCATCATCTGCGGAATCTTGGTCGACTCGGGCGCAGTCGGTGGACACGTCTACGGCGTCTCGAACTGGCATATCGAGGGCGCACCCTTCAAAGGCGGCTTCCGCGCCTTCCTCTCTGTCCTTGTCTCTGTCGGCTTCGCCTACGGTGGCACAGAGCTCTCCGGTGTCACTGCTGCCGAATCCAGGAACCCTCACAAGCACGTTCCCAAGGCCGTCAACACCGTCCTGGTTCGCATCGCATTCTTCTACATCCTCTCCATCTTCTTCCTCGCCAGCATCGTCCCCAACGACGACCCCAGACTCGCCAACACTGACGGCACTGTCCTCAACGCTCCCTTCACCATCGTCTTCTTGAAGGCCGGTATGACCGGCGGCGCCAGCTACATGAACGCCGTCATCTTCACCTCTGTCGTCTCAGCTGCCAACTCTGACTTCTACGTCGCCACCAGGATGTTGATGTCCCTCTCCAGAAACGGATGGGCCCCCCGCTTCGTCGGCCGAACCAACAGTCGTGGAGTCCCAATCATCGCCGTCGCCATCACTACCGCCTTCTCCTGCATCGCCCTTGTCATGATCTACGCTGGTGCCTCAACCGTCTTTGACTGGCTCGTCTCCATCATCGGCTCCATCATCTTCCTCATCTGGTGCTCCATCCTCTTCCTCCACTTCCGCTTCCGCGTCTGCTGGAAGGCCCAAGGAAACACCCCTGAAGACCTGCCCTACAAGTCCTGGGGATACCCTTACGGCCACTATATCGCCTCGATCATCGGAGCCGGATGTGTCATCGCAAGCTTCTACCTCTCCATCGCCTCCAAGCCCGACGTTGGAACGTTTGCAGGCGGCAGTATGGATCCTACGTACATTGCTGCCAGGAACAAGTGGGCTCAGGGACTCTTGGGCGCTTGGTTTCCTTGGGTCCTTGCTATCACTCTTTACTTTGGATGGAAATTTGGCAAGGGCACCAAGATCGTCAACCCTGCAGAGGCTGATCTCGATACCGGACGATGGATCCCTACACCAAAGACCCTCGAGGAGGAAAACAAACCCATCCCTGCTTGGAAGAGATTCCTCTCCAAGTTTATCTAACTTCCATCTCTTTCACCATTCCATTTGGATCCTCGCATTATCCTTTTTCTAACTAGCTAGCTTAGCATTGCAACATGTACTATTATTATTCACATTATTAAATTACCCACCAAGATAACATCGAACAAGAAATGAAATGACTGGGCAGGATTCGCTTTTTATTCGATATCCGTCAATGGATAAACGATCAAGAGGGAGAAAAAAAAGGGCAAGAGTAATGCTTTGCAAGATGAAAAAGATGAAGAAAAAACCACTACAAAGGATACGCAAACATCTTACAGACCAAATACTGTACAGGTAAAACAAAGATAACGCAAAGAAAGTAAAAAACAAGAAAGTAAGAAAAAAAATGGATCACACGTGAAACAAGATGGTCGACCGGCCATAGTGTTGGTGGTCGTCGATTAAAACGAAAGTGTGTTGGTAGATACAGGTGTCACCACAGCAGAGTGAGAAACGTGAGGAGGCTGAGGGGTTGCCAGATTCTGTGGCTGTTGATGCGAGTGCTGGTGTGAGTGAGACGGCGAAGAGTCCATCGATCCAGAGACTCCGGACGAAACGCCCGTGGGCTGTCCTCCGTGCTGCTGATGATGATGGCCGTAAGAGTAAGACGAAGGGTGGCCTTGCAATTGAGGCTGGCTGAGATGACCAACGTATCCGCCGCGAGGTCTAAAGTCGCGTGAAGGGTGGTAATTGCCATAGCCTCCGCGTCCGCCTCGTCCGCTGTTGGGGTGAACGTGGTGTGGTATGGGCTGGTAGTTCCCGTATGCGCCTGAGGGACCTCCTCCGACTCCACCCATAGATCCTGCACGTCCTGCCCCAGGAGCCCACGAATGCATCTGTCCGGGCCCGTGGTTGCGGCCACTGCTGCTAGCAGGGCTAGTCGAGGTCGAGCTTGAAGACGCGAGAGTCGCGTTAGAGCTCCATCCATCCGCCGTTGTCGGGGATCCCGATCCTTCCTGGAAGCTGCTCTCAAGAGAAGCTGGACCTGACGTCTGCACTCGTCCCGGATGCTTCATAGAGTGAGACGGCAAAGGTTGTTGATGCATCATTTGAGGGTGAGGATGATGTCCATAGGGGCGAGGCTGAGGAACACGGTTAATATTGGCGGCGGCCATAATGTTGGCCTGAGCTTGCTGAGGAGTGGGCGCTGGTACCAAGAAGGGTCCGGCAGAGACGATGGCCTGCTGAGGAGGAGCATCGCCAGCAACTGAGAACCGGGGAAGCCAGTGGTGAGGTCCCAGAATCGAGCTGCTTGGAGAGGTTGCTGTCTGGTTACTAGCATCGCTCTGCAGATCGGAGGGCGCCGAGGTCGTTGCATTCGAAGCTTGACTGGTCAGCTCGGGTGAATCACGGGCATCGACTGGTGAAAGTGGAACTGTTCCGAAAGGTGGCGGCATGCCTGCTCCAGGGAATGCGTTCAAATGGGGAGCTGGGGCCATGGATCTCTGGTAGTAGTATGGATGCTGAGGATATCCTTGAAGGTAATATGGTGGGGGCATCATAACCGGATAGGGCTGAGACGGGTGCGCGGGACCACTCACTCCCAGAGGGGCCATCATGACAGGATGCGCTCCTCTTGCTCCTGCTCCACCTTGGCTAGTGGCATCGACCCCGGCCGCACTTGCCCAGATTGCCTGGGCATGCTGACCGTGTCCCCTGTTGACAGATGCATCGAACATGTGCATGTTGGGTCCAGCAGGAAGCATTCCCATTGTGTGTGATACAACGATGTGGTTACCACCATGCGTCTGCGGGTGAGCTGTGGTCTTGAACTGCTGTTCCTCGCTCACGTGGTTTAATGCTTGATTGGGGGTGTCCTTGGTAGACTGATCCTGGTCTTCAGGTGCAGCGGAAGTTTCCAATGGTACCTTAACGATGGTCTTGTCAACAGCAGGCGCCTATGTTATGGTGATGAAGATTCGACGGACGCGTTAGTTTGTCGTCTATAGAACAATGAACAATCAAACTGTTAATAATTAGGTGGGCTTACCGAGTCGACTATGTGAGGCGGATCAATCTCACTCTCGACCATGAAGCTCATGCTTCCTCGGTTCCTGGCGGCTTTCTCGACGTTCACAGGGAAGATGGTCGCGGGCGATGACGCAGAAAGCGAATTGCGCTTGGCAGAAGTACCTGGCTTTGACGCCTCACTCTTGGTACCTGCGGAGTGTACTCCCGACTTATCCTCACCATCCTTGCTGCTTGGCTCCAACTCTTGGTCGCCGGCAGACTGGAGTGACAGTCTGGCGTGAATTCTGGTGATATCGGCGATCTTGACAGCACCGTTGGCTCCGTTGGCCCTAGCGGGATAATTGCCCTTGGAGTAGGCAGCGGCTGCTGACCGCGACATCCGACCATTACCGATTGGTCTAGGTGCGGATGCTATCGGTGCCATTGCCTTTCCTGCCTCCGTCGAATTCTTGGTCGCTGAGTCACCGATCGTATTAGCCTCGTCCTTGATGCCAGTGGCCTTGTCGTCCTTGCGCCAGGTTGAAGTGTCTCCGCTGCTTCTCTCGGCCCGACTTGCCTTGGCATTCCGGCCTTTCTCCTTGACAGGAGCCTTGGCTTGAGCAGTAGCTGTGAGGCTTTGATCCAGCTGAAATGCCTTGTCCTTCTCGGCTCCGTCAATTGTGGTGTTGATCTGGGTAGTCTGCTCCGAGTGGTCTGCCGGTCTCTTCATGTTGGCTTCCATCGCTTGGACAGAGTTTCCTCGTGACTGGAAGCTCTCTTCGATCCTGTGCATCACTTTATCCAACTGTTCGACTCGCGGCTCATGAACGACTCCTTGCGTACTTGGGGACGCCAACTTGACGGGCTCGGAGACCTTCTCGTCCTTCTTGGCTGTTGCGGAAGCGGTGCTGTCAACGTTGGCCTCAGGTTCCGCTTTTGCCTTGGGCAAAGGTTGGCCGCGACGCCAGGGTCCTACCACTGGCGCTGTGCTCGCTGCGGATGATGTAGCAGCAGCGGTAGGGGCCGGCACTGTATTCGCTGCTTGAGCCTTCTGCTCTGCCTCTAGGAGACGTTTCTCCTTATTTTGAGCTGCTCGATCCGCATCCTCCTTAACAAGGCGTCCGGGGAGCGCCTGCCATTTTGCCAAAGCGTCCTTCTGCTCATCGTCGGTGAGTTCGCGCATGTGTGGCCGCAAGTTCGGATTGCCAAACTCCCTGACCGTTGCTGGGAGTTTCGCTAGTCTCTCTGCCTCAGCTGCCTCTCGTTCCTTGGCCTTGGTCGCCTCCAGCTCCTGTCTCTCCTTTGCTGCGAGCTCCTCCTCCTCCTTCTCCCTCGCTTCTTGCTCTGCCTTCTCCTTCGCGAGCTTGGCTTCTTCTGCCTTCTTGGCCAACTCGTCTGCCTTGGCTTTCGCTCTGGCTCTGGCCTCCTCGTACTTGGCCTCTTCCTCCTGGCGTCGACGGCGTGCATCGTCCGCAGCATGCTTCATGGCCTCTCGTTGTTCTTCAGACACCTGAGCTGGGCGATCATACTCAACAGCTCCCGGAGGCACCATATGGCCGTGGCTGTTCAGTCTAGAATCGTGACCGTCCTTTCCTCTTGGGGAACCGACATAGCCCTGGTCTGCGTTAGGTGACTGCTGGTGAGGACCGATGCCGCGGAGGCCGAATGATGGAACGTCGTGAGGACCAACACGGTGCTGAGGATCTACACGGTCCAATGGTCCTGCACGATCTGAAGGTCCTGAGCGATCGTATGGCCCTGAGTGAGAGTGAGTTTGAGAACCCTGGCCAAAGTGCCCTGAGCGGTCAAGCGATCCATCTTTAGATCGGGAAAGCACCTGGTAATCTCGCGGAGGCCGATCAGAGAATCGATCCGTACCGTGTGACTGGCGGTCATGGCTGAGTCTACGATCTGAGCCATAGTCGTTGTCGCGGTATGGCATATCGCGATCTCGACTGTAGCTTCCCGAGCGGCTCGGGGGCTCACGGCGATCATACGAGTCTCGACGAGGGAGTCCTGAATGATCGCGATTTCCAAATGACTCCCGTCGCTGGTTTTGTTGGTATCCTTGTGTCCGGTCCGAGCTGGGTCGACGATCACTGGGACTGCCCTGCCACAGAGACGGGTGACCTCGGTCATGAGATCCAAACCGGGAACCTTGCTCGTGATTAGGTTGGTATAGAGAGTGTCCTGCTGTGGGCGGGGTCCTGTTTGGAAGCGATCGGTTGAAGTCGACGTCTCCGCGATCAACGACGCGTTCCTCTGTTGGGTGGCTCGTGGGGGGGTGATGGCTGGTAATAGGCTTGCTGGTGCTAGTTGGCTGTGGGCTGGCGGCGGGTTTTTGGGTGGTCCCCTGTGGTTGTGGCCCTGCCTCATCGGGAGTTTCGGTTGTCTGCGCCACTGCTGCTGCAACCACAACGGAACCGTCTGCGAACTCAATGGCTTCCGCGTTCAGGAAGTCCACGCCTTCGTCCTCATCGGCCTATATAGATGAAGGATGAGCAGGGTTAGTCAATGTTCTTGTCACTTGTTTCACTGTGCACTTTGTCAAGACGACCAGAACAATGCCTTGTTTAAAGTAGAAGGCCTTACCTCGTCCCAGTTATCTCCTCCTGACATAGCGGAGACCGTCTTGGCCATGGGCTCGCCCGAAGTTGTGATGCCAGTCTATATGTAGAAATGGATATAAGTGGGATTGTCAGTAAGGTGACTCATACTTCTCCACGTCCGTCACGTCCGTAGTTCTTAGATAATGCAAAACATGAGTTGCTTACAGTTGGTTTGGCTGCTGAGGTGTTACTGCTTATATGGTTCAAGTTTCCGTTTCCTTGGTGGTCGCCTAAGATGAATCAACAAATAGTCAGGCATGTTAGTTTTGGTACTATTCAGCTGGAGGACACCTCCTCGTGAGAGAAAATATTTTTTTGCCCCAGGTCCCCCAAACGTTCCGTTTATGTATGTGCCCTCGTGTGTGGGCGAATGTAATTCCTCCCACCCTGTGATTCCCTGGAAGAAACAAAACGGGTCATTCATTACCTTGGTGCTCTTGCGCTTTCTTTGCAGCCTCGGCTGCTGTCGGGTATTCAGCAAGATTGCTATCGGACGTCTGGGCAACAGCACCCCAGGCTCGCGGGATAGCCTTTTGGAAAGGGGAGCCTCCTTGAGCATCCGGCTGAGGGGAGTCGCTTGCTTGTCCTTGAGGGGCCGTTGTCAGCAAGGGGCTGGTACCGTCTGCAGTGGGTGATGAGCCTGTGGACGATGCTGACCCGAGTACAGCGGTAGAAGGAACAGAGGGGGAACCCCAGCTGGAGCCGGACGACACGAGAGAGACATCATGACCGCCTTTCTCGTGTCTTCTGCTTGGCAAGTTCAGGGGAAGAGGGGCGGAAACCTTGGCTCCGTTTGACTTTCCTCGGATGCTGGATCCTCCGCGACCTAGTGAGGGACAGGTTGAACAAAAACAGTGAAGGAGTTAGTGAATTAGTAGCATTGGCCTAGTTCGATCGTCCCCTTCTTTGCTTCTTTCAACGCATATTCTTTTGTTCCCTTGTTCATTTGATGGCTCTTGTTCCTCGTCTTTCCTTCATGTTATCTTCTTCATAATCCCTTTAACCCATGTTCGTCTGTTCCTCTTTTCCAAGTTCTCCTTCTTGGTACATCTTGTTCTTTTTCATCATCTCCTCGGACGTTCTGTTCATACCCATTTCCCATATTTGCTCAACCCAGCCTTCCTTCCTTCCTCCAACTATTATTTTGCTCATGTTCCTGCGTCCTGTTCCCGAGACTCGCACATGAAAACCAAATCAGTTTTTCCCAGGCTGTTTCCCTTTTTCGTATTTTTTTGTTTGAGAGTGAGAGTGAGCATGAGAGGGCGAATCCTGAAGTAGTGTGGACACAGTAAGGATATGTATGCAGATGCCTTTTTGGTCGCAGGTCCCGTGTCAGACTTCCCCTGCTCACCTCATGACCATAGATTCATGTCTCGGAAGAGAGGACAAAAAGGTGAAAGGCGATGAATGGGTTCATTGCTGTGTTGTTGCCGAGTGATTGAGTCTGTTTGTGCCTGCCTGTTAGCCACCTCTTATTTGTTTCGTTGTCCTCCTGCTTGTTTGCTCTCCTGCTTCCTAGGATTCCTGGTTTCTTTTTGTTCCACGTTGCCACTGTTTTTCCCCCCGTATAGAAGAATGTATGCTCACTTGCCTCTGAAGGGCTTCATTGTGTGTGTATGTAGATCTAGTTGTGTGTTGGAATCCACAGAAAAGTAGACGCGCGTTAGTCTTATTCATTCGTATTGTCCCGTGTGTCTTCATGGACAAACTATGGGGGTAAAAGAGAGGCTGGCGTGCCTTGTGTGGCGGTGGAAGTAAAGGCTGTGTCTGTACAGGGGATAGTCTTTTTTTTTGGTTGTTTGAATCTCTTTTCTCTTTGAGGTGAATGGATGTCGATGTGGAGCAAGAAAGAGTGACGAAAGAGAGAGAGGGAGGAGAGGGAGGGAGGAGTATGTTGTACAAGAGGTGAAGAAGGGGGTAAAGTAGTGAAGAAGACGAAGAAGAAGTAGGAAAAAAAAAGAAGGAAAAGGAAGGGAAAAAGGGGAGCGCGTCGTTTCTTTTTTGTGGGGGAGAATACTACCTCGAGAACACACAGAACAACTAAGAAAAAAATGGCGCATCCTCCAAGAGTGACTGGCAATATTTCACTGCATGTAGTTCTTTCTTCAGGTACACACACGACCGACCAAGAAGAGCCTTACACGCATGGCCATGTATCGAACCCTATCTGTGACCCTGCTGTTGTTCTTCGCCATAGGTCTATGTCTTTATTGCCCTTTCTCTGTCGAGAAAAGCGAGAAAAGGTGGAAAAGGTGATGCGTATCCACACCACATCAGATACATCGACACTCCCACGCTGACAACACAACAAAACTATCAGTGCTCCCATCACACCAAAAAAAGACTATCATCAGAGTGCCGACGCCTTTCTCTTCTTCGTCTTCTTCTGATGACTCTTACTCCTCTTGCCTTTCTCTTCCTTTCCTCTGAGCCTATCCCTCTCATAACCAAACTGCCACCTTGCATCCAGGTAACCATCCGAGCAACAGCAACACGCTCACAACACACCACACCTACAGCACCCTGTTTTTTTGCACAGCAAAAGTACTGAACTGACCAAATACTCATTCAAGAACCCTACGCGAACACACAAGCACCCAGCCAAGAACGCGAACGCCCAACTCAAATGTCATCCACAACCCTCGCACCACTCGCCACAGTGGCGAAAACCACAACAACTCCAGTAGCAGCACACAGCGGCCGAGGGGTATTTCAGGCAACTAACACTGACTCTCAGCAAAAAAAACAACATCTTGCTCAGCATACAAAGACACAACCACAATCTTATTTTTCTTCTTCACACTCGCCCTTCGCCAGATCTGACATCACGTACGGCGGTGCAACAGCAACTGATCTCGACACGAGCACTGCTCTTACTCGCCCAGTCAACTCCAACTACAACGCCAACACCAACACTTCAAAGAAGAAGCGTACCCGCATAAGGCGAACTTCGCCTCCCAGGACTCGCTCCGTGACCAGGGCCAACAGTTCTCTCGTCCAAGATCCGCCCTCCACCTCAGCATCACCGTCATCGCCTTCTTTGTCTTCGCAATCACCTTCAAGTCTGGCCAAGCCTGTCGCCACGATGTCAGCGCCAGAGCGAACACGGGAACTTGTATCTACTCGGGCAACTACAACTGGGAGCTCTGCTAGCGCTGCCCCTACAGCTGCCAGTTCTACCGCCGCTCCTGCCATCCAGAACATCGGATGTGTGCGCCAGGCAGTCAACCGACTCGAGAAGAAGATACTACTCAACCACCAAGCCCAGCGGTTGTTGCCCTCTCCATGGAGCCGCGCATTGATTCTCGGAGGAAAACGACGCCGATCTCACGATAGGGGCGACACCAATCAATCCTCCAAGTATCTTCCGACTCAATCCCATCAGGAGCTCTCGAAAAGACACACGCATCCAGCTGCTGCTCCTGAAGAAGCCAATGTCAGGGCCTTCTCGTTTCGATTCCCAGCTGGCTTGGATCCCTCTTTCCCCTTGGGCTTCGTCGGTCAGTTTATTGCCCCGTCTCGGACATCTCAAGCTGCCGCAACCACCTCGCCAGCCAGATCACGACCCCTTGGTCACTCTAGCCCATCTCGCGCTTTCTCGTCTACCAGTGGCGTAGCCAGTAGCGCCAATGCAACAGGACTAATTATCGAGCAGGACACTACGGCTGACGCAATCAAAAGCTTCGCAGACACGCTGCTTCGCCATCTCCCAACAGCACAGCACAAACCACCTCCTTTTCCTCCTCGTCCTCCGATCTTGGAATCCCTGATGTCCGACCCGTCGACCCAGAACCTTCGACGGGTACCCTTGACAACCAGATTAGGATCAAACACAACCAACCTTTCACTCCCAGCAATCACTTTTCCCTTGCCAACCGAGGGTCCTCGCCCACCACGCAATAAGAGCACGCGTACGCAGTCAAACCCCGGGAGGGTTCGCCTCAGCTTGATGTACCATCTCGAGCGGCAAGATTCGAGCAACCAACACGCAGTTCTGGACGCCATCGACTTGGAGCCTGTGTCACCTTTGGATGAACGATCGTTATCTGAGCCCGCTTCATCCACAACTCCTCGACGCGCCACTCATACCCATCAGCCTCGCAAGTGAAGTTGGCCATCATCATTGCTTCGCCGTCTTTTGAAAACATTTTGAAGACTGCAAAAAATAAAGTACATTTACGCCCGACAACAAGTGCAATGGATCGCGATATGCCCGATAGTCTCACGGTGCTACTTCGATGTATCATTTACCTCTGTATATAGATTGGCAGCTGCACAGTCTCCAATACCTCCAAGGTACCTATACAAAAACCTCACAACAAGCAAAATGGTTGTCAAAAAAAGCAAGATCGTTGTTCGCTTCATCCTTTGGGTAAAGGGGGTGTTGTGTGGGTGTGTGGGTGTGTGTGTGTGTGTGTGTGTGTGTGTGGTGTCTATCTATGATGGTCCATTATTCCATCCTATCTATCTCATCGTCACGTCCTTCTTCATCTCGTTCCTCTGCAAAAATAATAAAAAGATAATTAAACCTGGACCTGAGCGTCCTGTCTGAACTGAGCCATGCGTGCCTCCAATTCTGGGCGGAAGTGACGGATCAAACCCTATAAAACACCAAAGAAGAGAGGGGTCAGCATTGAGCTCAATACCATGCATTCAAACGACAGTGCAATAATAATAAAATGACGAGCTCGTACCTGGACGGGCCATGCGGCGGCGTCACCCAAGGCGCAAATGGTGTGTCCCTCAATCTCCCTGGAGAGCTCCTCAATCATATCAATCTCGCGGGGGCGGGCCTGGCCGTTCTCGAAACGGGTCATCATGTTGGCCAACCAGGTGGTTCCCTCACGACAAGGCGTGCACTGTCCGCAGGACTCGTGCTTATAAAAGGCGGCAAGGCGAGAAATGGCCGAAACAATATCGGTCGACTTGTCCATGACAATAACGGCAGCTGTTCCTAAACCAGACTGGACATCACGAAGGGCATCAAAGTCCATCAAGACATCGTCGCAGATCTTGCGGGGCAAAACTGGGACAGAAGAACCTCCGGGAATGATTCCCAAAAGGTTATCCCAGCCTCCCTTGACACCTCCGCAGTGCTTCTCAATCAACTCCTTAAGGGGGATCGACATCTCCTCCTCAACTGTGCAGGGGTTGTTGACATGTCCAGAAATACAGAACAGCTTGGTACCAGCGTTACGGGGGCGACCGAAACCAGCGAACCACTTTCCACCGCGTCTCAAGATAGTGGGGGCAACAGCGACAGTCTCGACATTAGCGACGGTGGTGGGGCATCCAAAGAGGCCGACATCAGCGGGGAATGGAGGCTTCAGGCGGGGCTTTCCAGCCTTACCCTCGATCGACTCAATCAAAGCAGTCTCCTCTCCGCAAATGTAGGCTCCAGCACCGCGATGAATGTAGACGTCGAAATCGTAACCAGAACCGCAGGCGTTCTTGCCGATCAAGCCAGCCTTGTAGGCTTCGTTAATGGCGACCTGGAGGTTGGAAGCCTCGTTGTAGAATTCTCCGCGGATGTAAATGTAGGCGGCGTTGGCGTTCATGGCACGACCAGCGACCAAGCATCCCTCAATCAACTTGTGGGGATCGCCACGCATAATCTCGCGATCCTTGCAGGTACCTGGCTCACCCTCATCAGCGTTGACAACCAAGTAACGGGGGCTATACATCACAGGGGTGAGATAACGTTAGCATCACGTTTAAGTCTGTGCGCGAGCTCTTGGATCGAGCACTAAGTTGATGTCTCCTCTTGGATACATATCGATTAGTCTCCTTCCACTCCTATGTCTACTATAAAGTTGTCCTTCCTAACTCCACTTTCTGCCGACCCGGCTCGTAAATTCATTGCTTCCTGCAGTTTTCATATCCAACTCCTATTGCAATTCAATGCATTGATGCAGTTGGAGCAGTCGGCAGATTGCATCGTTCCTGTAGGCGTCCTGCTAATGATTATGAAAAAAGATATCCTCTGACGTGAACTTACCGGCCATCGTGGGGCTTGTTCATGAAACTCCACTTCAATCCGGATGGGAAACCGGCACCACCACGTCCGCGGAGTCCAGACGCCTTCATCTCGTCCAAGATCCAGTCGTGTCCCTTGAGCAAAATCTCCTTGGTCTTGTACCAGTCACCACGCTTGAGGGCGCCCTGGAGTTTGTAGTCGTGGAATCCGTAGATGTTTGTGAAAATGCGATCCTCATCCTTCAAGCTACCGAAGCTGGTTCTGACGGGAGGAACGATGGGGTTGACGGGTGCTGCAGTAGCCAAGGCTCGGACGGCCGACTTGGCTACGAAGGACCGAATAGGACGCGCTCCGGCCAACAGGGCTAAGATGCGATCCAGAAGTATCGAGTGTTGAGTCGAGTGTCGAATGAGCATTGGTGTATCCGAAGGGTATGATGTAGTATTGTTGAGGTGAGGAGGACCAAGTGAAGCGTGGTCAAGAGGTTGTGTGTTGTTGATGTCGGAGAATGGCGATCCGTGTTGAAAAAAGGCCGATGGATATATCAAAAGTAAAGAAGAGACAGAGCGCGGTTAGAACACATATATCCAACTAGCACAATCCAACACCTTTGACCGTGATCCGAGTCCGATTCGGACCACAATGCGTAAATCCCGAACACACTTGTCATCCGCTGAGGAAAAAAAGGTGATGATCTCCTTTTCCGGAAAACTCCTTCCGAGTGACAGGAACAGCGAGAAATAGCGACGCGCTCTGCTGAGAGTGATGATCCCCCGGGTAGAGATGGTGCCCATGTACGAAATAGCTTCAAGCAAGATCGAGGCCCTTACCCTTTGAGACGCCAGTAGACTTCAGCATTGTAAAAAGGTAGAGGGGAGGGTGAAAGAGTTGAGTAAGTAGATGCGAATGGAGCGATCTCCGAGATATGAAGTCCGAGCCATGCTCGGAAGGATGACGTCACTCGAAACGCGCAGCATTTGCGACAATTATTTGCCACCAATCTTGCTTCTTCTCAGCATGGTGCTTCTGCCATTCAAAGCTAGCATAGTCAACTCATCCCAGCGCGGTTATTTTGACCTTTTCTCTTTCGAATCGTTTTTCGAATCTTCTCTTCCCTTGTTCAGTCATTGGCCATCCACCATCCCTCACTCATCACTATTCACACCCGCCACTCACGTACAGACTCCTCCAACGCAAGAATACCACACTTCCGTCTCAGACCTTCTACCAACTTTTTTCTTTCCCTCCATGTTTGAATACACCTCAAAATGAGGATCAACTGGGACACGTCAATTCATCCTTTATCACAATGGCAAGAATTCTGCCAGTATATGTACACGCCTTTGACTTTATATCGTTTTCTTTCAACTATTTGTTCGCACAAACAACCCTGTCCGTGAATAACCCATACAGAGGGTTGGTCGACATGCTAGTTGGATTAGGCAATCTCGCATGCGGGCAGATTTTGCCCTTCAAACTCTACGACCGCCGCGTCGTCTACCGACACCCAAACTTGGTCTAAGCATGCCATGTGCTGATACTCTAGTCCAGCATTATCCTCTTCGTGAATGTCTGCTTCGGCACCACAAGAAGCATTAAAAACTGGCACTGGATCGGCTACAACGCTAGTTATGACGTGTTACGACTCCTTTCCCAAAGCTATGACAGCTTCCAAATGCTGGAAAAGTGGGAGAGATGCAGTCGTGTTTATTGCAGTCGCGTAGAACATGATGAGTGCACCCAAACAATCAACAAAACGAACAAAAACGATATTCGGATACGCGTTCTCATTTTGCCACCAACGTGTCTCTCATATTCAACCTTCGCATTTTTATCACTGATCGGTCACTCTAGAAAATAAAAAACGACGCATGCGTCGTCCATGCATTTCCTATCGTGTTCGCTTTTCCATTTTTAACCGTGTTAGAATTAGTAAAGTAAGACGCCAAGCAATTGTCCATGTCATCGGATGAATGTTGTTTAAAGTATTTTACCCTTAGCTGGACCATTCTCCTTTCCCTTTTTTCTGTTCTGTTGTTCTGTTGTTCTGTTGTTCTGTTGTCCTGTTATCGGGATAAAGGACACCCGGTGATCGAGAAGAGCTGCTCTTTTTTTTTTGCGATTAAAAAGAATTTTCCCGCGACCTTTGGAGGCGACAAAAGGTGATCAATGATGAATAAAAAAAAGCTTGTCGTCGTATTGATGAACCGACGGGTTGGACGATCCAATGACATCTGACAAAGAAAGTGCACAGTCGGTCTGTCTGGCAGTAGGCCAAGCCTATTACAAAAGTGATGTTCCTAGCAAACAATGAGGAGTGGGGAAGAGATGAGCCCGGCTGGGAAGAAGGCGTTTGCTTCTGAGGTCTGGTGGACCAGAGCGAAAAATTAATCAATGGCTGTCAGTCGTTCGGTCGGTCGGTCTTGTCAACGAGCAGGTCAAAGGCAAGAGGGCAGAAGAAACCCCTATGGAGAAATAAGCGCACGCAATGAACAGAGGAAAATGCAAGAGCAGGGTTTAATCCAAAGAAGGCTGTACTCGCAAAGCCCACAGAAATAGGCCGATGACCTTTCTCCGACTTTCTCGATCACGATAATATATAGCGCGTGCATCATCCCCTCCCCACACCTTTTCTTTCTCTCTTTTCTTTACTTTTCCTCAAGTCCCCCCTCCAACTGCTCCTTTTTTTTCTTGTATTTTATTCATCAGCCATACGTTCTCATCATGTCACAATCCAAGCTCTTCGACATCAAGTACCAGCTGCTCCAGTACGCCACCCATCATAACAATGTCTGGAACGTCGGCATCCATCTCACATGCATCCCCCTCATCCTCTGGTCTGGTCTCGTCTTTGCCGCCAACACCGGTCCCCTGATTACTTACCCCACTGCTGCTGCCGTTGCCTCTGGCGCCACTATCCCCGTTGCCCTCTCGAAGCTCTTTGCCTTTGCCACTCCTAACGCTGCCTGGTTGATGATGACCGGCTACGTCTCCTACTACTTTGCCCTCGACAAGGAAACCGCCGTAAGTCCTTCTCTCGGCTCATGATTACGCTTCGGACAATCCGGATTCAAATTGATGCAAAGATGCTGCACGTTGTCGCGCCTCGCGTCGCTTTTACCTTTTTCTCACACATCCCGTTCTTTTTTTTCCTTTTCTCTTGCGAACTGACTTCTGCATGGATATCATGGATACTCGGCACATCGCTCTTGCAAACATGTGTCGCGAACCGAATCGACTTTTTGTAACCTCTTTACATGGACATCACGGATATTTGATAAATAGCTAATTAGCGCGCCTCTCTTCTTGGGTCTTGCCAAGCACGCTACCCACTTCCTCGCCACCAACCCCGATGCCAACCGTATTGCCGGTTATGTTCACGCTGGTGCCTGGATTGCTCAATTCATCGGCCACGGATTCTTCGAGAAGCGCGCCCCCAAGCTCACTGAGAACCTTGTTCAAGGTACCCGAAAATGTCTATCATCCTTTCAAACGCACCCACATTCACGCACATGCACAATTGCGGCCTTTTCAATTACCGATTTCCCACCAATTAGTAACTCAAAACCCTTTTTTTCGTTCTTCATAATATTTTTACAGCTCTTGTTCTTGCTCCCTACTTTGTTGTTTGGGAGGTCCTTTTCTTCCTTGGCTACCGTCCCCAGTTGAAGAAGGAGCTTGATGTCCTGGTCGCCGCCGACATTGCAGCCTTCCGTGCCAAGAAGGCTCTTGGCAACAAGCAGAAGCCCCAGTAAATCCGCAGATTGGCTTGATCCAACAAGGGATGGACTTTTTTTCCTTTTTCCTTTCGCGTCCGTACGCTTAAGAACAAGGATGATATGTGGAGTATAGCCCCACTTATGAAAGTAGTGCTGAAGAGGACTATTTGTGCACAAAACAACAGCAACAACAACAATAACAACCAACAATGAATAAAACCTTTCCAAAAAGTAATACGTTTTCTTGTCAAGGTGCAACATCGCTTCAATTGCTTGTTGCATGGTCAGGCGGTGAAGGGTATGCATGAGATGGCTGCAAAGGAGAACGGCAAAATTGACTCAAGAATTGCCCCATTCTGAATGTCATCTGACATGACCTCATTTGCGTGACTCTTGAGTCTTTTGCAAGGTTGTCTTCTTTGTCTGCTCTCTATCTCCGCTTTGCTTTCAAACAACCTTCACCTTCTTCCTCCTTTCCTTCCTTCTCTTTTAATCTCTCTCCTATCTATCCTCACTACCACTCATCCTATACAAACCCATACAAACACAATGCGTCTCTTGTCAGTCGTCATCTCCCTGGCCTGCGCATTCGGTCTCGTCTCTGCAGCCTCCATCAACAACCCCTTCTCCTTTGTCCCCGCCCCAGCAACCATCGAGGAATGTGGTACTCCAGACGACATCCTCAAGTTGATAAACTACTCCCTCAACCCCAACCCTCCTCTCAAAGGCGAAGTCCTTGTCATCGATGCTGAAGGTGAACTCAGTGAAGACGTTGTCGAAGGCGCAAAGATCAACCTCATCGTCAAGTAAGTCTCCCTCTTTTACTTTTACATTCATTCTTTTTTTTTTTTTTTTTTTTTTGGGGGTATGTGCTTTCTACTATTGAGTTGGACCACATCTCCTCCCACACTGTCACGGCCAGGAAGAAAAGCAGGAGGAGAATAGGAAAGAGAGTGCCAGAGTGGATAAGAGTGGAAGAGAATATGCACAAACGATAGCGGTACTGTTACGCGATAGCTCTGTGTTGTTGTTGTTGCTGGGTTCACAACGACGTCCTTTAACCATCGCACAGAAAAGAATCCCAACAAGGCTTTGCTTTGAGAGCAAAACATCAGCGCAAGGGGCCTTGCGCCCATCATCATAGAGCAACAACAACTACACCAGCACACACGCACGCAACCATTACAACCCACGCACGACAAACAAGGAATTTTAAACTACAACAACTGTCTTGGCTGCAGGAACAATTGAGCGTTACATTCTTTCTCCCAAACCCACAGTGGCAATGAAAAATGACAAGAAAGGGGTGTCAAGAGGTAGAAACGAGCGAGTGAGAGGGGTGGACGTCATGGGGCTACGCACTCTAAATTGTATACAACGATAACTACTAGACACATGGATAAAGATCCGATTGATCGACCACTCGCACTAACTGCGTCAACAACAACATCTACATCAGCAACAAAAAGCAGCAAAAGAAGCAGGGCTACCCTAAGCATGACATGCCATTGACAACACTGTGCTTAGGCGAAATCAGAGCAAGCAGGAAGGCAGTTAGAGATATGAAGATGCGACACCCTTACATTTCTCACATCTTCACATCAAAGGATTGGGGGAGATACAGACGACATACAAAGCATGACCATGCAGTCGGAAGACAACCGATGATGGGCTGACATCTCTTCACGACCACCACAGTGAATCGAATACCAGGAAATACCACTCTTTTTACAGATCTCTGCGACAGAAGAACTTTACCTAGGGACAGTCAGACGGGGTTTACATTCTGGCGGGAGGGGCCAGTGGATCACCTCATGATGCAGTCCGATGCAGACCACAGAATTCTCTCCTCACTTTTTTCAATGTCCGGCTGGTTATTCACCCATCGATCCCTTTTTTCTGATTGCGCTCAATAGGGTCGGATTGATCAAATTGCTGACCAAGGAACTCGACTTTTGCGAAGAGTCCGCCAAGATCGACAAGCCATGCCCCCTGAAGAAAGGCCAGCAGTTCCTTCACCATGAGGTCGAGCTCCCCAAGGAGATCCCTCCAGTAAGTCTACTTGACTGTGGTTTTCTAACTCTTGCTCCGCTCTGCTCTTGAATTGTTTTATGGAACTAACAATGCAATCCATTAATACTTCTCTCTCCCTTTCCAGGGCAAGTACTTTGTCAATGTCAAGGTCAGGAATCCTGATGACAAGCAAGTTACCTGCCTCAACGCCAGGGCCAACTTTGGCATCTAAGCCGACGGAAAGTCACCTACCCTCTCACTCGCTTACCCTTGACTCCTCTCTTATTTTTTCCATTTCGACTTACACACCCTTCAACCCTTCCCCCTTGTCGCCAGTTGTCACCCTTCTCACGCCTACTCTTACTATTGCTACCGCTGTTCATTGAACGTATCTTTGTATCTCCTTGAGATACACTTTCTTTTCTCTCTCTTCGTTTTTTTTTCCTTCGCCTGTCTTTTTTGCTATTTTTTGTATGTCGCTTATGTGAATAAATGTATTTTTTTTCAACCTTTCCATTTTATGTGGTTTGCTTCCAACGGATCGTCATTCCGTCTACGCTCTGATCTGTGCTTCAAACCACCATATCAAAAGGCTAACTGCAACCAGAAAGTCACTGCTGTTGTGGACACAGAGCATTAGAAAACCAGCTTACGAGTGGAAGTTGGTGATTTACTATTAGGTTGAAGGTTGTACTTGTACACGAATTTGTAAAGAAAATAGGAAACTAGCAAAGGAAAGTGTAGAAAGGGAACGCAAAAAATGGACGCGAGGCATGGAGCAGCCTAGACAAGGACAAGTTCGAGGGTCCAGGTACGACGAGCCCAGAGACGGACAGGGACCAGCGGGGTGATAGTGGTGTCGCTTGGATCTTGGTACACCTCGACCTGGATACCATCCCACCAGCACTTTCTCTATTTTTGAGTAAATGCGCGAGAGCAGATGTGAAAAATGAGAAAAATAAGCAAGATTGGAACATTGGTAAGTGTCAGTGAGATTCTTGCTTTCAGATGGGAGATTGGGTACGAAGTACTTAGCCCAAGGGGGCCCCTCTGGTTGGTCTCTCCAACAAATAAAAAACGAGGTGGGCTGTTGATTCGTCTTCGAGCGATTTCCTTTCTCTCCCTCTTTCTCTGTCGTTCTGGCTCACTCTCTCTCGCTCGCTCTTTTCACCCATCTAAGGTTTTCTTTGTTTCCCTCCATCTTTTTTTTCCCTCCTTTCTTCTCTTTGTTCCCACCATTTCCATCACACACTTTTTTTTTTTCGGATACCATTCCTAAAATAAGAAAAAGATTAAAATAAACGGCCGTTTCGTCTCGTCCCTTCTCTTTCATTCCTCACTGGAACTTACAGCTGGTTTCCGCCAAAAGAGCAACAGCTTTTCGGCAATGGCCATTTGAAACTGCTGCTGCTGTTGTTGCTGTTGTTGCTGGATCCGGATCTGTTTTTGCTCTTGCTCTCTCCGCTCTCGTACTCGCTCTTGCTCTTCCTTCTGCTCTTGTTGCTGTTGTTCTTGCCCTTGGGTCTCGTCCTGTTGTGGAGGAGTCGCCTGATTATTCCCATCCGCCGTCCGAGTCGTACTCGTTTCCTGATCTAATCCTGCTGCTGCTGCTGACTGTTCGTTGGCGGCGGTGGGTGTTGCTGGCGTTGGCACAGTGGTTGCAGTGGGTGCAGTGGGTGCCGATGAAGATGAAGGCGACGCTGCTGCTGTTGTGGAATAAGGCTGGGCGGAGGTTCGGAGCATGACCATTGCTACGCTCACAACCGTCGTCCGCTTCGGCTCCACTCGTCTGTAACCCCATTCGCCCTCCTTCTGGAACCCCGAGACGCACAACATATCCATGAGTTGTTGTTCTGCCTGATTTTTCTCCTTGTCAATATTGCGCTGTAGTGCGGCAAAGATCTTGCGGTCCTTGAGCAGGACCTGGCCGCATTGGGTCTTGATCATCTTGGGTTGCTGATCCGAAGGCGCTGCTGTAGAGGAGGTAGAGGTCTTCGGAGGGACTGATCCGTTCACTTTTGTAGGCGCGCCTCCTGCTGACTTTGATGCTGTTGTCGACGACGGGGTTATTGCAGGAGTAGTTCCGAGTAGAGGCAATGGTCCATCTGCCGAGTCCCTGCTTGTCTGCGCTCGTGGTCCAGTTACTATTGGTGTCGTCGATGTCGGACCATTTAGTGGTTTTGAGGACGAAAAGGATGTGGCAGTGGCGGGTGCAGTGCCGTCGGTCGGTGGACGACCTTTGGTGGACGGAGGAGGGATGACAAAATAATCAAGTTCCTCGCGGAGGACAATGATTGCCTGCTTGTTGAGGAGCGGATTCTGGGGTACCATCGAGTTCAGGGGCAAAGGCTGGTGGTATGATGACGAGGCCGACGATTCCGAGGACGTTGGCAGCGCAGCATCCGTTGCTTCTCCTGTCGATGTGGCTGCTGGTGTTGTTGTCGACGCTGCGGATCCTTGCTGCTGCTGTTGGAGTTGAAGTTGTTGAAGAAGGTGTTGTTGCTGTTGAAGTTGAAGTTTCAATTGGCGTTCATGCTCCTGCTTCCGGATCCGCCGTTCGAGTTCTCCGGCCCGCTGGGCCTGACGGTAGTTGTCGAGGATATACTGGAGACAGACCGGATCAAAATCCACAACAATGACCTGTTCTTCCTCCTCATCATCATCATCCGTAAGATCCTCGTCGTCCAAAAGTTCCTCCCGGTCCAAACCATGACCATCATCGTCGTCATCGTCGTAATCATCATAGCTGTAATCGCTATAGTCGCTGTAGTCGGTATAAGTGCTTTCTGAGGGGTGATGCCCATGTCCAGTCGCTATACCGCTGTTGTTGCCCACCACACCAGCACCAGCACTAGTGCCAGCACCAGCGCTCGCTCCCAAGGCAGCGGCAGCGGCAGCCTGAGCAAGACCTGCTCCTGCTGACGATTTCCCCTTGAGTTGACCTGCTGTTACTGCTGTTCCTCCTACCCCTCGTCCTCCACCCTCTATCCCCGCTCCCCCTCTTCCCCCTCCTACCCCTGTCCCTGCGGCAGCAGAGGTAGAGGACGTAATGGTAGCATTCGTAGCACCACCACCACCCCCTGAAGACTTTGGCCGAAGAATGAGACCGTTAGGGAACATGACGACGAGGATGGACTCTGGTAGGGCGACGAGGGTTTCTCGGTCGAGGTCGAAGCGGGTTCCTCTGAGGTCAAGGATGAACTTTGATGGATAGAACTGTTGGCCGGGGGTGTAGTATTGGGCGGCGGTTGGTGGAGGGGCGGGGGGCGGGGCGACTTGGGTGATGGGTGAGTTTTCTGAGCTTGATATCATGGTCTCATGGGCGGTGTCCTGTGAGACTTGGGTTATAGGCGAGTCTGCCATAGCCATTGTTGTGTTGTGTAAGTATATAGGTTCGAGTGTGTGTGTGTGTGAGTGTGGGTGTTCTTGAATGGGAGTTGTTGGAGTGAGGGAATGAGGGAGATAAAGAGGGTGGGACAAGAAAAGGAATGAAAGAAAAGGGACGTGCAAGAGGAGGGATGGGCAAGGGAATGAGCGTGAAAGAGGGCCAACACGACAAGAGAAGAGTTTTGAAGAGAAAGGTAAAGGAGACAGCGCAAAAAGGGAGAAGGGTGACAGAGAAAAGAGAAGAGGTGACGAGTGTGAAGGGGCGAAGAAGTATGAAAAAGATAAAAGCCTTTTTGTCTCGCCCTTGTGCTGGGAGGGAGGACTGCTTTCATCCTTTTTGTCTCAACGCCAGCGTTGGCAGACATAGCAAACAAGACGCCAGAGGATGGCATCCAGCACATGCACTACCCACCCAAATACCAATCAGCACCAATACACACACACACGCACACACGCAGTCTCTTCCTCAGCTGCCTTGCTTTTCTTTCTTCTTTTGACCCTTGCTTAGACTTTTGTCTCCGCGCTGGCAACCCGGGCTCACAAAGAAACTGGCGCGAACAAACAAGCAATCGAAAGAGGATAAAAAATGGCGCGTTATTCATGTTTATGCATTACGACAAAGGACAAAGGATCTGTTTATCTGCTTGGCATTGATATAGATGAATAAAAGAGAACATCGATATTGAATTGACCATGGTGCCAAGTTGCCGGTGGTATTGTACCGAGTCTCCACACGGTGGTCAACTGCAATTCCATGCTTTAAGCAGGGAACCATGCCCCGATACCCTCCATAGCTAGCATGTGCAATCCCGGATATTCTCTGCTCATGCGTCTATTATTGGATGAATGCAGCGTGCAAAACATGACGGATCGAGCAGATATGGCATGTCACCAATGCGCGCGTCTATACCTATGTGACTGTTTCACTGTCCAACCCACGTTGCCACAAGGTTTAAAAGAAGCCTTATTGTTTTTATTTTCTATCCCTTTACCATTCTCATCCTTCACCTTACGCCATGAGCAACAAAGAGATGTAAGAGCGACACTGACCAACGCATGGATGTTGACATTAACCAGTAGTGAATGTACGCATTGCACAACTATGAAGCATCAACCTGACAACTCTCATTCTTTTCTTTGCACAGAATCACAATAGAGGTACAGCCGCCTTGCTGCATGCGTCTACTACAACGCATTTTTTGGTGGCAAAAGCGACGCCCAAACTGATCGCTTGTATTTGAAATTTGGCCAACGACGCGACCTTTTCCACTTCAGAACAGCGACGACGAAGAGACAAGCGCTCCGACCCCTCCTTCGGCACCGGGACCACTCCCTTCCACACCTCCAAAGACCACGCTCTCGACTACTCCTTCTGCCCCAAGCGCACTATCTGCAGCAGCATCACCATTGTCGAGCATGCAGAGCAAAAACAACAACTATGGCCTGAAGCGACCCTTGACAGGCGAAGGATCTCCAAGCTCATCGCCCAAAAAGTATACCAGCCACCGCATGCTTCTCACGCTCAAGGCGTTCTGTTTTCATGTGACTCACAACAAATTGCCTCCATTTGCTCGTCAGGCCAAAGGTGAATGTGCCTATTAGATACCTGGAGCCACCCGTCTGTCTGACCTCTGTCGAGCGCGTCCCTTCATCCCTCAACGTCGGGTGTGTCACATTGAAGTCGCTGATCGGGGATGTAAGTTATTCCTGCGGACCAAATGCCGCCAACCTAGCCGACATCCTGTATAACACAGCTCTGACAACACTTTAACCCCGTACTCTCAACAGCCCGATTTAGAACTCATGGTACAGATCAACTTTATGATCGACGTCCCGTTCGTCATGAGCCATATCCACGAAAGTATACGCGATGGGCTCAGGACGATCGTGTACCATGGATTGCGCCTGAGCATGAATGAGGTTATGGTGAGAATATAAGCAGACGCTGACTGATCTCATCCCCTAATTACTGAAAAGAAGCACTGACCATAATGCATTCTTTCGTTGACTGTCCTACTGCACTCACTAGGCTCTCAACGCGACAATCGCAACTGCATATCCTAGGGTGACGATGCACTCTGTTCCAGTGGCTGGAGTGGGTATGCATCATCTCTTTTTTTTTAATTACGTGTTTCTGTCGTGAATAGGAGAAGGCGATTATATGAGCCTTTGATAGCTGAATAACGATGACCTCTGAAACTTCATTTTTAGGGACACATCACACCAAGGCCATGATTCTGTTTTACCGAGATGGAACAATGCAACTTGTCATTCACACCGCTAACATGATTGAACGAGACTGGAGGTAACCATTCAATGACTAGCGCTTGCCAGTTGTGTTATTGTGCTCATCTTCAGCCATTGAATTTAACCCCAGTAACGGTTGTGTGGTTGTATCAGAAACAAGACACAAGGTGCGTTCATGACAGGACGGCTACCCAAAAAGTCAGGAACCACTGGTTTAAGCACTTGCGCATTCGAGCGAGACCTTCTGGAGTATCTTGATCGATACTTTGAACACGAGCATTTCACTTCAAGAGTCAGACAGTACGATTTCTCAATGGTCAAGGCGGTTCTCATCGCGTCTGCACCCGGCAAGTACAAGGGCCCAGAGCGAAACAAATGGGGTCACCTCAAATTGCGCGCAGTCCTACGTCAACAAGTAGAGGTTCCAAAAGAGCTCATTCCAGGATCCAAGATCATCTGTCAGGTATGGTCAACGAACTCCAAGAATTACCTTCTTCATGCTGCATTGCCGGCCGATGGAAGATTTGCATTGACGCTTCTTCATGATGTATCTTTATTACATAGATGTCGAGTATTGGATCGCTGGGTAAGGACTCGCAAGACTGGCTGAAGGGGGAGTTTGTGGCCAGTCTCAATTCTTACCGCAACTCCAAGACCTTTGGTGTTGCGGAGCTCTGCGTTGTCTACCCTACCGCCGAGAACGTTCGGACAAGGTTTGTTCAGAAGATCGAAGTTTGTCGATTATTTTGATAATCCATGTTCAGTGATCAACGCGACATTTGTTTCCTTTTTGACTGGTGAATAGCTTTGAGGGATGGTCAATGGGTGGAAGCATACCCTTCAGGTCCATAGCATACGAGAAGCAGGCACACTATCTTAATCCGATCCTTCACTCTTGGCGAGGATTAGAAAGCGGTCGTGAGCGAGCCATGCCTCACATCAAGGTACAGCATAAATGAGCATGAGAAGAAAATCGAGGGTGTTTGCACCTTGGCGATCTCGCTCACATTTTACTCTTTTTGTGCAACCATGGATAGACGTTCACGAGAGTGACAAGTCGGACAGATGGGGACCACCTTGCTTGGTTTCTTCTGACAAGCGCCAACCTGTCGAAACCAGCCTGGGGCGAGATGAAGGATGGTGGAGTTTACGATGTCAAGTCCTATGAGCTGGGTGTCCTTATCTTTCCCGGACTCTTTGAGGTACGTATATTTGATAGCTGATCCTCTCTTTATTCGTTTTCGCGCTGGAGGACGGTTCTTGTGTAGTTGACAGTTATTAGTTGTTTTGTGTATATGTAGGATTGTGGAGAATCGGGTGAGATTCTGCATGTCAGCATGATGAACAGCACGGTACTTGATCCGTATCCTGAGCCCTCTAGTCTGACCTTGGATGAATTTAATACTGGCATCACTGGCAGCAGCAACAGCGACAAGAGTGGCGGCACACTCAGCGATCCTGAGGGTTTGAGGCATACGATTGGTGTGGTTCCAATTCGACTGCCATACGACTTGCCGCTCAGGAAGTATGACTTTGCCGGGGGTGACCATGTCTGGTTGGTCGACAAGCAGTTCCCAGGACAAGACAACTTTGGAATTACTCTCGCTCCATAGCTCTCAGATTGATGCCCTCAACAGCATATGAACACCATGAGTTCCTTCTTCGTCCGCCCTTGTTTTTTTTGGTGCACATTTTTATATCTCTCACAAACAGCACCAAGGAGGCATTTGGAAGTAAAAGAGACTACAGACCAAACACTTCAGTGCACCATCCACCAGTCGCAGTCAGGTCCAGAACCTGGCTCTGCGCAACAATTGTCGCTGCCCTTCACAGCTTAAACGGAAGAAAATAAAACTAGATACGAATGAAAGGGATTCTTCCCATCCTCTCCATCATTAACCTCCTCCTTCCCAACAAACTCTCCAACAACCGCTCGTCAGCAGCGCGTGGGTCCTTGGTCGCTCCAGGGCACCTTCCTTCATCATGTGTGGCTAGCGAAGCGCCACACGGGCAGAAACCTTCATGCGTGATGTAGCCGTATCCTTGACTCCAGTCACCTCGGGGGCCTGTGTACTTGGATGTCTTGTTCTTGGCAGAGATACCCTGGGTCTGCTCCCACTTTTTTTTTTTTTTTGGTACACAATTTTATTTCTCTGACAAACAGCATAGAGAAGTTATTTGGAAGTAAAAGGGAACTACGGACCAAACTCTTCAGTGCACCATCCACCAGTCGCAGTCAGGTCCAGAACCTGGCTCTGCGCAACAATTGTCGCTGCTCTTCACAGCTTAAACGGAAGAAAATAAAACTAGATACGAATGAAGGGGATTCTTCCCATCCTCTCCATCATTGACAACCTCATCCTTCCTAACAAACTCTCCAACAACCGCTCGTCAGCAGCGCGTGGGTCCTTGGTCGCTCCAGGGCACCTTCCTTCATCATGTGTGGCTAGCGAAGCGCCACACGGACAGAAACCATCGTGCGTAATGTAACCGTATCCTTGACTCCAGTCACCTCGGGGGCCTGTGTACTTGGATGTCTTGTCCTTGGCAGAGATGCCCTGGCTTTGTTCCCACGCGATCGTCGCGGAGCACCGAGGTTTCCAGATCAGCTCCGACGCCTGCGCCTCCAGGTAGCCAACAAACTTGTGAAGGACTGTCTTGGCGATGGACATTGGGGTCCGGAAGACCGCGGACCATTCAGTCAACATGCTCAAGGGGGTGATGCCGCGGAGGAGATCCGACACATTCCACATCGGTTTCTCGTCTCGATCGGGAGCTGGACTACCGCTGTGTACGGCTCGAGCTCCACCGATGGAGGAAAATCCTCGCACATGATCCGCATCCGAAGGGGGCCACCAGTGTATGGGTACTGGCCTCGGTACCTGACGACCTCTGTCCACTGCGCGTTTGTATTCTCGCTTCCTGGCTGCGTTGTAGCTGTTTGTCGCCTGCACACCCCACTCATTAATCTTGCCCATGGCCTCCTTCCAGATCTCAGTGGTGGTCTCAGCTGCCGAAGGGCATTTCCAGACGTGATCGTTATCCTCATTCTCGAGCTCGCATCGTCGGCACACGCATGTTGGGTACAGGTTGGGCTTGCGAGCCTGCATGGAGTTCAGAGCGGGCAGCATTCCATGCAGCTTTTTGATATGATGTGTGCGTTGGTGAGAGTCCTTGCTGTTGCTGTAAAAGGTGAAGACTGCGTGCCTGTCGTGGACATAAGCCAAGGTCGAGTTCCATTCCACGTCATCGATGTCAGGGATCGCCCTCTTGACCCGCCTCTGTGACGTCCAGGCCTGATGGTGACGGATTGTCGATTGTTGTTTGAGGAGCTGACGTAGATCGATTTCAACAATCCCGCCGTAACAATGTGCAAAGGTCGTGATATCCGTCTGTTGAGTGAGATCCACCATCCAGGGCACTGAACCACTCTGTGCTGCCACCTTCGCCGCCTGATCCGCAAGTTCGTTTCCGTGGATGTTGCTGTGACCTTTGATCCACACCACCTCAACCCCGCCTGGCCGAGATTCCACAACCTGACAAAGCACCGCCCAGATACCCGCATATGTACTCCTGAATCGCTTCCTCGGTAAGGTGTCCCGACGATTCTTCACCAGGCGACTATACTGATCCACCACTGACTGATTGTCCAGCTTGACCACAATGTCCTGTTCTGATGGTGCTGACAAGACTGTGGCTAATAAGCCCATGAGCTCGGCCTTAGCCGAGGATGCGTGACCGTCCGTTCGTCCTTGTACTGTCAGAGGGTTGTCCTGAGTGAGATCCACCACTCCAAAGGCCTGGGATACTTCTTTTTTTTTTTTTTTTTTTTTTTTTTTTTTTTTTTCTTTTTCTTTTTCTTTTTCTTTTTTTTTCCTAAGTTGGTGGCGTCATGTCATGTGACATAGATCATTGGAGACTGAGAGTTCAAAGAGAATATTAAAAATTAGTTCTCAACAACCTCTCAAAGCAAAGTCGCCCAGAGGAAGAGCGCTGGGCTCATAACCCAGAGGTCGGTGGATCGAAACCACCCTTTGCTACAATCTTTTGCCCTAACCCTTTTGGGATGAGAAACGAACCTCTTTTTGCTTCTTGCAAAGGACGCAGTTTCTACCAACGAGAGAGGGAAGGTAGGATGGAGGACGCACGTTAGCTTTCATGTGGCTAACAAATGGCACGATATAGCTTGAAGAGGCGATTTGTTTTTTTGCCAGCGACGATCGATCGTTCTCTTTCCTTTGTGAAAGTGTTTGTGTTTGTCATGGACAACAACAAAGACAACACGAAGCCATTCATCTTCTTTTTCTATTTTTCCTCCGCGCCGAAGAGACAAACATGAAAAAGTCTAGGCTCATTTGCTGGTGCACTCTTCAAAGAAGAACTTATTAACGTCTGTTGTAGGCACTGGCCCCTTCTGTATAAAAAGCATCCCCAACTCCAAAAGACACGACCGGTTGTCAACAATGACGACATCCACCTGTCTTTGTTCATGGAGTTCAATTGGCCCGCTTCCCCCGTCGTTAATCCAGCTTCTCCCCTTTCCCTTTCTTACCCGTTTTTCATTCCTCAGTAATTCTCTATTACTCTTAGGAGAGAGGCTGGGTTTTGGGTGCCTAGATTTATTCCTCGGTTCTAGATCTATCTACCTTCCTACTTTCCCCCTGATTGCTCATCCGGATAAAACCACCCCTTTTCATATCCTTTCTCTCTTCCATCTTTTTTTTTCTCGGACCTGAACCCAGAAAGAGCTGGAGAGCTTCCAAGTCTCAAGATAAATAGTGTTACATCAACATGAGCGCGAAAGGGTACTCGAGATTACATCCATTTAAGAAAGTAAGAGCAGTAAGAATTATCCGTCATGTCATATATACCATACGGAAAACGAAAGAACGGCGATGATGAATTGTTTGTAGGACAAGAACTACCAGACAAATAACAACACGATCTTGGACCTTGGACCAGAGAACGCGTCTCTCTTTGGCGTGGGCGTAATTTCTCCAAAAACCAAAAAAAAAAAAAAAAGAAAAAAAAAGAGACTGACCAAGAAAACAAGTGGCAGACAAGACATGGTTGTGAGAAAAATAAAAGGGTTTCGTTTTTTTGGTGTTTGTTTTGTATTCATAGACAAGACTAGTAAGCCGATGATGGTGATGATGGGTTATTATGCATCGAGGGCAAAAAGGGGAGGAGAAGAGGAAGGTAAAGGTATGCATGCAGGTTGACGGGTGACCCGGGAAAAAGGTGACGGCACAGGTGACAAAAGTGAGGATGAACAATACGAACTAAAAAATGCGAGAACTATTAGAGAAATATGGTGACAGGGGTGGGCTATTTTTTACATGGGGACCTTGACGTCATCTTCAGTGATAACCTGAGGGTTCCTGGCAGCAGAGCTACTGTTGGCATAGGGGGCACCCTTCTCAAACGAGCCTTGTGCAGGTACAGGGACGGCGGACTGTTGGAGAGGAGTTGTTCTGGGAGACGAATGGCCTCCTGTCGTGGTCGAGGGAGGTGGGGGAGGGTATGCCAGGTTGGATGCTACAGTGTTCTGGGTCATAGCAGGAGAACCGCGGACGGGTGCTTCGGGGGTGAACTGGTTCTGCTGCTGGTACGAGTGGGCCTCTGGATAGTAACCCTGCTGCTGGTCTGCGTAATACTCTTGGGCCTGCTGCTGTTGACGCTGGGCATAGTAGGGGTCGTATTGGTCATATGGCTGCTGTTGTGCGGGGTCAGGGTATCCTCCATAGGGCACTTGTTGGTATCCTTGCTGGTAATCGTAGCCGTCGGCCTGATGTTGCTGTTGCTGTTGTTTGTGGTGGTGGTGAGCAGCAGCGGCGCCAGCTCCGCCAATGGCGGCCATTTCCAAAGGACGGCCTCCAGGGCCAGACGAGCGACCAATAGGGGTTGCGGGGCGGGGAGGCAGGGGACTCGAGAGAGAGTCGGGGCGATGACTACCTGCAGCTCCGCCAGCACCACCAGTAGTAGCGCCAGAAGTAATGGGTCCAGCGTTATGATCATCCAAAAACTCAAGACGTCTCTTGCGGGCCTTGTTCTTTTTCCTGTGACGCATTACAAAGACGGCCACGAGAAAGGCGAGAACAAGGGCGCCGGCAATACCTCCAACGACTGGTGCAAGAATCGATTTACCGCTGCCCCCGTCCTTTTGATCAGGGCCGTTGCCGCCGCCGCCGCCGGGGAGGGTGGCAGTTCCGGTGGCAGGTCCTGTCGCGGAAGAGGTGACCCTACTGGTAGTCCTGGTAGGGTTTTTGGTCTTTGGAGTACCAGTTTGGGAAGGGTCAGGAGTGTCGGAGGTTGGTTCTGGGGTGGGATTGGGGACGACAGGGACATCAGAAGTTGCAGGGGTGGTAGGAAGATTGGCTGTGGTTGTGGTTGTGGCTGCGGGGACAGTTGGGGCGGGTGGTGTGGTGGTAGGCACTCCTGGGGCGGAGGTTTCGGTAGGTTGGGCGGCCATAGAAGTGGGCGATTGGTATTATAAAAAGGATTGATTAAATAGCTGTTTTAATATTGCGTACGAGGGTATTCTGTGAAGGAAGTAAGTGGGAGGAGGACGAGGAATAAGAGGAGAGTGAATGAGTTGATGTGTGTGAGAGAGAGAGTGGAGGAAGAAAGGAGGGAGATGAGATGGCGATGGAGATCAGTGAAAAAGAAAGAAAGAAAGGAGGAAGAGAAAGAGGAAGGAAGAAACAAAAGAATAAAAGGAAAAGATAAACAAAGCAAAGAGACGGGCCATTCTGTCTGTTTGTATTGTTGATTGATTGAACCCAAAACCCAACAGCCATGGAAAGAGGCAACGACTGCACAAAAGACAAGAATAGAACACAACAGCTCTTCTTTTTCCCTTTTTTTTTTTACTTCTTTCACTCTCATCATCCTCCACGCACTTGCAAGTTGCAACATATAGAGACAACGACTAACTATCCCGGCAAGGAGAGAGGGAGCGCAAGATAGCTGTCAGCCACGATGGACGACTAAGGAGAGAGAATGAGAAGGGCATGTGAGGACTCACATTTCTTATTCAAAAGCATGCAGCGCAGGGGGATGAGTGTGATAGAGTGAAAGAATGGGGTGGACAGATGATGATGGGTCAAAGGGGATATCCGATCCACCCCTCTCGCTTTAACACTTTAACATGCTGCAAGGAGACGGAGAAGGAACAAGGGCATCATCCCCATTCATTTCTCTCTCTCTGTCTCTGTCTCCCTGGCTCTTTTTGTCTTGTTCTTCTCTGATCGACATCTAATTGAATATGCCTTTCTATCAGATACCATGGCAAATTCAGCATGCAGGAAGAACCCCATAACGAAAGCAAAAAAGATGCCATCCCTTTCTCGTCCTTCCTCCTACCCCTTTAGCTAAAGTCACCTAAAGACCCCTGCCGTCTGTCTCAGGTCCTGAACACACCCACGTACAAAAAAAAGTGAAGAAAAAGAAATATCAATCGGGGGAGGAGGAAGGGACAGGGTCAGTCATTTGGAGGGTTGGGTGGTCCGGGATCGAAATGCAATCTCAGAAAATGTCGCCCCGCCAATAGGGAAGATGGATATATGAGACGGACAAATGGTGACTCCCTTCTTTCAATCTCTCCTGCTCGATTCCGACAGGAGTTGAATGGAAGAAACAAAGAAGGGAGACAAAATATACATATATATGAATGCCGTTTCTTTTGTGGGATGAGACGAAGAAAGAGAGGAACGAGTTTTAGCTGTACTTCGTCATGCCCATAAAGCGACTTGTGACATGGTATACTGTTGGGTTCGAGCAAGGCTCTTGTTCTCTTTCTTTTTCATCCATTTTTGCCATAATTTTCTTTTCCTACCCTACGTTCGCTCCTGCCTGTTCGCCTTCTTGCTCCCACCTGCCTTTCTTTTCAGTGTCTCGCCTCCTTTTAATTTCATCGCTATTCGGTTCTCTCTGGCAGTTTTGACTCTTTTTTTTACCGTTGTGTTGTTTTGTGAGTCGTATTTTCAGGTTCTCCAAAAGACTACAGCCCTTGGAGTGTATTGTTGTCGTTGGGGGGTGTCAGGCGATTTCCCGTGGGCTAGTCCACCACAGAATCATCTCTCACGCTTACCGCCAAAAATACATTATGTTTCGTCTTCTTCCTTCTTCTCGATATGAACACAGAAACACAAAAACACAGCGGCGTCTGTTGCCGTCGCCGTCACCGTCGATTTCAATCCATTTCTTAATCAACAAAATGGCTGAGATAAAACAAAACGCCCTGCCTTGTTTGCCCATGGTTGATCTCATGTTGCCACCCAGAACAGTAAGCTCAAGGCTGTATCATTGTGTCTATTGCACCCTCCTCCTCCTGTGCTGTGGAATTAAATAGAGCACCATGTGCCTGCTGTCGTCTTTTTGTTTCTCTGACAGTTAGGGTTAATTACAATAGTACAATAGGGGGCGACGGATGGACATGAATTTAAATAGAGCATTGCAATTTTTTCTTTTTTTTCTTTGGCTCTCTCTCTCTCTGAACCATTCTCCGACAAATCAATGGAACTTTAACTGAAGACTTCGGCGCTCCGGCGGCGATGGGTATTATCGTTCAATTAGGCGAATACCAATAAAAGTACATACCTTGAGACGCCTGTTTTCGATGAGTGATACGATATGGTAGACCAAACCCCTGTTGTTGGCGGGTGTAATTTGCATAGCGCATAATTGTCCCAAAGTGAAATGCAGGTGTGATGAGATGGTACCTGGGAGAAAGGAAGAAATGAAAAAGAAGGGTAGACACCTTGGCTATTTATCCAAGGTTGGAAGCTGTCGGGATATTCGTACCATTGTCGTGGCTCAAGATGAGAAGGGAGGCAATCAACGGAAAGAAAATAGAGAGCATCCAACATATGTCTCATTTTACCCGCAAGGTACTGAGGAAAAAGGGATACAAGACAGTGACGGCCTGGCAGTTTACGATTTGTGCAATTATAGTAGTGTGATCGAGGGGAAATGTGGATGCAGCAGATCATGAAGAGGCGGATCGACACGTCCTCGTGTCGTTACATCTTCACCCTCAAGACGCTCCACGGAAGCCGAGCGGCCACCGTTTGAATTAGTTGATGATAATGTCCCTGTCGCATGAATATATATATACAAGGTACGAGAAAGCAAAGGGTACATAATCATTCGCATGTTTTCAATGTGCCCGGCCCGTCGTGAATTGTATGGCTCTGAGGAGATCGTCCGAATTCCTGGACCATCAATCGTTGCCAGGGTCGCCATCACTAAACCCATGATGACGATCTCACGTTCATTTGTTGAAGACGGCGCAGCTGCGACGGATATCACACCTCTTGACTGTCAAATATGCAGGACCAGCTATGATTGGAAGTCAGTTGATCCTGGCAACTCGAGCGAACGGGCCCATTCGACTCATTTTACTCTGCGTAACAAAACGAATGGGTCAAATAAGTGGGTCATCACTAAATGTGTGTGTCCATCATAGGGAGATACATTCACTCTCTCCCCCAATGGACAAAGCAGTAAACTAAGTCCTATCTCGTTGCTTTCGGTTGTAGGAAAGGGGTGAACGCGAGAGATATTAGTGGCGGGAGTATATCGATCGCGGCGTTTTGTGCGCTGACTGGGAAGATGCAGCCAAACCGCGTGGTGTGCCTGAAGACGGGGGGATGCAAAGAGAAAGGGGTTTATGAATGCAAGGAAGGAACAATCACTATAGTTACTCAAAAAAAAATTGGGTTGATTGGCAAAGCAACTAAACTTAAACGTAAACATAACAATACGTCGTAAACGAATTCTCACATTTTGATTTTGACAAGCGAAATAAGGGACATTGGGCACACGGTAACGAAGGTGACGGTTCAAGCCCAGTTTTCTTTCACTCACTTGTTTTTTGTTTTGTTTTGTTTTTTGGCTTGTGCGACCTAGGTGGTTATGTGACTTTCGTGTTCAGTGGCCTCACGACAGGGAGAAAGACGAATAAAGACACATATCAATGAATGGCATACCTTCTCTAAACTTTAACAGCCACTGCCCTTTCAGGTATCGTTTTACTCTTGCCCCCCTTTCAGGCATCGTTTTACTCTTGTCCCCCCCTTTCCGCCTATTGAAAGACGTATAAAAAGCGTGTCTCATATCCTACGTTTTTTTCTTTCTTTCTTTCTTTCCTTTCTTCTCACTCTTCTCTTCACACCACGCCCTTCTCCATCTTCTCCCTCTACACAGCATTCCTTTCTTTCACCATGACTCTCATCACCGCCGAGCCCGTCGTAGCGCCCATCATCGAGGTCCCCGCCGTCGAGACCCTTTCTATCGAGACCCCAACCTATACTGCCTTCGCCACCGGACCTGGAGGTCAATCTTTCGTCCAAAAGCAATTGGAACTCCCTAAGCTCGGTCAATTCGATGGTAAGACACGCTCATTTTACCCATTCATTGCATGGTCATTTCACAATGCATTTTATGTACACAACCTTCATTGATCTAACACCTTGTACCCCCATCTTGTCCCTGCATTCCCTCCATGTAGTCGCCGTGGCGATCATCTGCTGTGGTGTCTGCTATACTGATACCATGTACGCAGCCATGGCCGAGGGAATGGTTGTCGGTCACGAGATCATCGGCCGCGTCGAGTTCAAAGGTGAGGCCGTCACCAATGTCGACATCGGCGACACCATCGGTTTCGGTTACATCCGCTCCACCTGCCTGGAATGCCAGTTCTGCCTCTCCGGTCAAGAAAACATGTGCCCCAAACGCACCACCTTCACCGACGGTGTTGGCGGTCTTGCCAATGCCTCCGTCTGGGACTCGCGATTCGTCTACAAGATCCCCAGCAGCATCGAGCCTCGACATGCAGGACCTCTGACCTGTGCCGGAGCCTCGGTCTTTGGCGCCCTCTATGGATACAATGTTAGCCCCACCGCCACCGTCGGTGTTGTCGGTGTCGGTGGACTTGGTCATTTGGCAATCAAGTTTGCGAAAGCCTGGGGTTGCAAAGGTATTGAATATGTTCTTTTCTTATTCTGCGCTTCTAAATTTGTCCTGCGGGATGACAAAAAAAGAGATGGCGGTATTGTGGCCGGGAGAGATGAGCGAATGCCACTCACTGTTTCATTAGTGATGGAAGGAGAAGGCAGGCTTTCGCGTGGATAACTTGCTCAGCATTCAATCTTGATTTTTTTCCTGTGTATGTGTGCTGCTCTGAACATGGGTGCATTCTTGGAAATCGACGAGCGATGCCAAGAATGACATTAAGAAAGGATTCTTGCTCCGTTTTTTTTTGAAAGACTGTCGAGCCTGGCTGTGCTCGGATGACTTCCACCTCGAACCTTTTTTTTTCACACTCTCCCGCTCGGCACGGACCTTAATCCTCATTATTCAATTGTTGATAAACTCTTGACCTGCATGAATGAGGAACGACTGTCGATATCAGTACGGGACAAGAATGAAAGAAAAGAGGGATGCAATTTCTTCGCATGTTCTTAGTCGCTTCTTCGGTGATGCTGTTGTGATTTTAGTTCGACGCCCACCTTCTCGCTTGTCGCGAGTTTCGTTCATGTGGTCTGCGCTGCTTGATATCTGTTGCTTTTCTCCATCTCTTCTTCCTCGGCTTTGGTCGCCGACAATATCGGTCTTGTTTTGTTCTTTTTAATCAGGTGTTGCCGCCAGTTGGACGTACTCGTACCTTTTTCTTTGTAGATTTTCGCGTGCAGTATGCAATTTGGCGCCATTCATTCCTTCCTTCCCAATTACCACATATTTCTTGTATTCCCTGCCTTGCTTTTCAATTCCTCCGCACTTGCATAGAACACAATGCACGGTCGAGCCCTTTTTTTGTGGTTCATGTTGAACTAACCCAGTCCAACAAAGCAACATTCCACCATTGTTTTCATCCTTGCCAAAAAAAAAAAAAAAAAAAAAAAAAAAAAAGTATAAAGAGGCAAAACAAAAGAAGACGAGAGAAACAAAGAACAATGTATAGCAACACAGGCGATGATCTGTTTTGGCAAATCTGTGCAGTATCTCCCTCTTTTCTACTGCCTCCCGTCATCCTTCCTTCGCTTTGATCGTTTTATCCTTCTCTTCTTTCGTCATCCCAACCCATCTTCTGTTTACTGTCCCTGATTTGTTTGCCGCTTCCATGACTAGCTCTCTTGTATTTCCTCGTACTATCAAGCCCTCTCCAATATCTTCCTCCTCGTTCATTTTCTCTTCGTACGCTGCAACCTTTCTGCCTCGTACTCCTCCTAATCCATCATTCTCTTACCCAAAACAAAATACACGCTCTGTCCTCCTCCCTTCATTCCTAACCTGCCGAACAATCACCTACTGCCCCTGCATCCATCTACCGTGTACACAAATGGCCGTTTTCCTTGTGTGCTATCCCCGCTTCATCCCTCCCCTTCGTTATCTTCCACGATCTTCGATCATCTTCAACCACCTACTAAACATTACATGCACGCACATCCTGCCCCTTCTTCCATCGCCACCGCCCTCGTTCTTTCCAATCGCTCTGTATCATACCCCTGAACTCTCTCTAATCCCACATTATTCGCTCCTACCCCCATTCCATTCCTTCCTCTCCTTCTCACTACTCAACAAACAGTCGTCGCCATCTCATCGACCCAAGAAAAGAAAAGGGACGCGTTGGCCTTTGGCGCACACGAGTTTATCTGCACAATGGATACCATCACCACCACAACAAAGATGGACTACATCCTTAACACCCACGTAGGCGACCTCCCCTGGGAGACCTTCGTCAGCCTCCTAATCACCAATGGCACCCTCATCAATCTCGGCATTGCTGCCAAGTCCTCCATGGAGATCCCTTACATGCCCGTCCTCTTCAACCAACGTAAGTTTACAACTGCTACACACCCTTTCCCTGATTCAACGCACATTCTTGTTCGCGTCTAACGTCTCTTTCCCCTTTTTCCTTCCCCTGAACAGTCAAGATCGTCGGTTCATTGGTCGCATCGCGCCATGTCGTCAACAAAATGTTTGAGTTCGCCGCCCGCCACAATATCAAACCCGAGATCGAGGAGTACGACATGACCACCAAGGTAATACAGTTTGTTCATCTGCACCCCCTCAAACATAAACCGTTAGCATGCCGACAAACAATCGATGCATGATATCTTCTTGACCCCCCTCCCCCCTATGTACCTCGCATCTCATACTCACTCTCTTCAATCTGCATATCTTAATTACGGTACGCAATTGTTATTCAGGGATGCCGTGAGGGTTTCAAGCGTATCACCGAACAGCAGGCCCGCTACCGCGTCGTCCTCAACGTCCCCAGAAACTTGGCCTTGTAAAAAAACAAAACAAGAAAACAAACAAGAGACAACTATCTCTAAGTGCGCCTAGCTATTGCGCCAAGCCTTTGTGGCCAAACACCCCACATCACTCGATACCAGGAAAAGTCACTCCAAACTCCTTCTTTCCACAGGATCAATCAATGACCTGAAACTTTATTAGTGTTTTTTTTATTTTATTTTATTTTTGTACTTGTCAGATTTTAATAAAAAGTAACTGCGAGTCTTTTAGATTTGTTCCCGCATGGGAGAAGAAGCCGCAGTGAAGGGAGTCGCAGACAAAGTCGGCGATGAAGGTGTGCTCTCCTCTCCATCATCCTCCACTCCCGCGTCGCCATCGCCATCGCCATCCTCCTCTCCATCGCCATCGACTCGAGACCGCGCCGCGTAAGCCGACGCAGCGGCAGCGGCAGCAGCGGCTTCCATCTCCTCCTTCCACTGCCGATGCATCATACTTTGGTGCCGCCTCATCGTACTAATCGAGTCGTACGCCTTGGTGCATCCGTCGACTCCACACGTAATCACCTGAGTCACATGGCGCTTCTCGTGTCGCTTCAAATGGAACTTGTCCATAAACGACTTGGTGCATCCCTCAAATGAACAAGGAAATGTCCTAGGCCGAGTCGGAATAGGGCGTGGTTTCGATCCTGTACTCATCATCGTCGGCGTTCCAGCCGATGGACCAGGGGTCGACCGCGCACTAGAGTTATCCGCATCCTCATCCACCACAACCCTGGCGACTCCTTTGCGCTTCGACAACGACTTGCCAGAGTGGGCTCTGGGAGTTGACGACGGCACTGGGTGATCATCCACTTGCATGGCCTCCATGCCTGCCGTCACTCCCGCAGATCTGCCACCACCATTGCTGTTGCCATCGCCGCCCTGTGATTTCCGGATTCCGCGCTGTGGCACCTTCATCTTCTTCTTTTTGGATGGTAAGACTGGCTGAGGTGCTGGCGAGCTGTCGCCGCTCTCGGGGGTGCTCCCTCGCTCGGGTGTGTCGTAGTTGTAAAAGCCGTTATCCATCTGGTTCAAAACTGCGATCCGCGCTAAATTCGTCGCCGTCGCGGAGTTTCCTGTCGTGGTGGGGGTCGTGTTGAGCGTGTACGTCCTTTGAACAAAAAACGGTCGTGGTTCATTCAACAACATCTCTTGATCTATTTGAAATATATCGAAAAAGATTCATACATGTCAATATCTCGTTGTTCCTGACTCTGTTGCGCCAGCATAAACAAGCATGACTCAATTGTTATTACCTGAAGTCCAGAAGGGGAGTGACAGTTCGCCTCCTAGGGTCTGGAAAACGCCGCTGGACCGACCCCACTTACGCGCCTTTTGGTTCTTGTCGATCACAAAGGGTGCTGTAGGTCTGGCTGTAGGAAGATCGGCCATGATCCGCGATGGTGCACCGCCTCCAGTGGATGTGGTGATGCCCTTCGCCTGCTTCTTGGACCGGGATGTTGCTGCTCCCGCTGATCCAGAGGTTGCCTGAGGGGTACCTGCACCGCTGTTTGGATTCCGGGATTCATCGTTCGCCTCTGTAGCGTCCTCCATCTTGACATCCTTGTTTACATCCGCGACTGACAACTCTGATACAACCCCATCTAAACCGAGAAAGTTCGCCGAAAGCAAAAAAGGGGGAGGCGTGAGTTATAGTTCGGCAAGATCGAGATCATCACTTGGTGATAATAGCAAGGATCACATCGTAACACAGGAAAAAAAAAGAAAAAAAAAAACTTACCCTCGACGGTTTCAATGTCAACTGTTTCCTCGGATGGCTGGGATGACTTTTTAGCGCCAGAAGTCGATTTGGGGTGATCGGAAACGCTAGCGGTTGTAATGGAACTACGCAGAGGGCTAGGCTTCATGGTGGAGTTGTTGCCTTCCCCCAATCCTGATCCAGTCTTGATTTTCTTTTGAGGGGGTTCTATATCCTCCGATCCTTGACCCGCTGTCGTCGTTGCTGATCCTGCATTAGTCGCCGAGGAGGATGTCGCGGTTGCACCAAGAGGTGAAGGGGTATTTGAAAGCGCAGCCGCTTTTTTACTCTTGTCGTTGCTCCGTGTACTGTGGCCATTCCCGACGGATTTCGAATTAGCTGCACCAGGGCTGGTGCTAACGTTGTTGCCATGGTTGCCTCCAGCAGGTGTACTTCCTGCGCCCTTGCTCTTGATAGTTGATGGCGACGATCCATCCTGAGCGGCCGACTTCCTACTTGCACCCAGTTCTTTCTTGCTAACTGAGCTAGGCTGGTCCGATGTGGCTGTAGCACCAATGGTAGTTGACATGACAGTGGTGACCGTCGACGCGGAAGATGATTGAGACGAGGACGATGACGCTTGAGGTGCGAAGGTGAGAACTCCGGGAGTTGGTTCATCGTTGTCGTAGACGCAGATCGCCTCAGGGCCTGCCTTGTCGCAATTAGAGCAACTCGGTTTCACCCTGTCGCATTTAGTCTTTTTGACGCGACAGCGGGCACAGGGGCGATACACTCCTGGGCGAGGTCCCTGTGGACCCCGAGCAGACGATGGTGATGACGACCCTGTTGATGGATTTGCCCATGGCTTTGAATTCCCTGAGGCTGAGGCTGGGGTGGATGTGGACGAGGAAGAAGAGGGCGATGGGTGGTCTTCGTCGTCCTTGCTTGCAGATGGCGAGGCAGGAGGGGACAAAGAGGCTATTGTTTCAGGTGGTGTTCTTCCTGGTTTGGTCAAAAAAGAATTTGAAGGCAAGAGTTCTGGCGATAATTCTGGGGGTGGTGCGGATGAGTCGTTGGTGCGGGCAGTCCTTGGTCGGGAGTTGCCTTGGAGATCCCTAAATAATTGATTGTTGACAAAAGGAGACAGAGTAAAGAGGACGAGAAAGAGAAATAGAAAAGAAAATAGGAAGGGCAAGGGTGAGTAAAAGCATTCCGAGGTGATTGGATAGATATATTATCGTGATGATAATAAACGGCGAATCTTGCTTCATCATCCTCCTTTTTCTTTCTTTCTTTTCTTTCACTCCAATCCACTTTTATCTTTTTTCTTTTTTCTTTTTTCTTTTTTCTTTTTTGTCGGTTGATCAAATGGCGGACACAGCTAACAACATGGTTTCAAAGAACGAAAGTGAGGTCAAAAAGATCGTAGCAGGAACACTCACTTCTCAATAGATCCCTTGGCTTGATCCCCTGGCATGATTTCTACTTATCCTGACGGTGTGTTCAAAAAAAACGTGCAAATTGGGGGTGGAGGCTGTTTGATTGTGTGCGTGAGTCTCCTTTGTTGCGGTTGTCGTGATACGCCGTGCCGTGGTATACGTGTCCTGGTGTGTTGTGCTTGCCGGGAGAAAGGCGAGTCGACAAGAGAGAAATAAAAGGGAAGCAAGCACAAGAACGAAGGAAAGAATAGGCGATGGAATGCTCCGATGGGAGGTAAGAGGGGAGGAGGAATGCCAGAAAGGAAGAGCGAATCAACTCGGCACAGAGAGTGAGTGAGAGAGAGTGTATGTGTGTGGGAGAGAGAGAAGAGGAGAATGAGTCGGGTGAGGTATGTGGAGCGAGAGACGGATCAGGAATGGCGTCGAGGTAGGTGGAAGGTAGGTAGGTGAAAAGGGCGGTTGATCAGTGGTAGCAGGGGAAGGAGAGAGAAGGAAGGATGGATGAGGAAGGGAGAGTGAAGGATGGATGGTAAAAAAAAAGAGAAAAGGGAAAAAGGAAAGGGAAGAAGAAAGGGGAAGAAGGAACAACGAAGAAAAATAATAATGGGACTAATGGTGTAAGTGTGTGGCAATGGTGCCGTTATGTTATGTTATGTTATGATATGCTTTCGTGTTCAGTCGGGAACAAAGTGAAGGAAGATGTGTCTGTATGTGTGTATTTGTGTGCGGGAATAGAAAGAGGGAAGGAAAAAAACAGGGAAAAAAGGAAAAAAGGTAAGGTTGTGCATGGCCGTAATAACAACAACAACAACAACAACAACAACAACAACAACAACAACAACAACAACAACAACAACAACAATGCCCCATGGGATACATGGGATACATGGGATGGGACACAGATTCCCACTCGATTGTCAACGGAGACATCAAAAATATCTTTGAAAAACTCAATTCTTTGCCTCTCACCTCCAGAGTCATGCCTGTGAGCACACAGAGAACAAAAAAAAAGGGAATACAGGACAACCCTTTCCTGCTCGTGGTAATGAACTGTCCGCGGCCAGGTTATGCGTGTGTCTATATGTGTCTATGTTGTCCCAATCTCTCTCTCTCGCTCTTCATGTTCTTGGTTTCCCTTTCCTGCCCACCATTCCTTGAAAACAAGAAAAAAAATCATTATGCACAGACGCTTTTTTTTTGTTGTCCTTCCTTCCAACACAGGCCGACCAAGGAAGCACTGGAAGAAAAACGAAGGAACAAGGGGCTGCTCAGGACAGAAAAAAAGCCACTCTTATAGCAATGAGACAAGCAACGACCACAGATCCATCCAAAAAAATAAATAACCAATTGACACGCTCATGTCCGATCCACCTAAACAACAGTCATCTCCATTGAGTCCCATGGGTACCATGTCGACAAGGAGAAAAAAAGGAAACATGTTGTGGCTTGGAAAATTAAATGCGAAGGGCGTGGGTATGTGTGTGCCACCAATTCAACTTGTCCGTCGCGTCGCGTTGCATTGGAGGAAAAGAAAAGGGTATATTTGATAGAAATATTGATTGCCCTGTCTCCTGTCTCCTGCTTCCTGTTCACGGCTCAAAGATATGGCCAGTTGCATGCGCAAAGAACACCTCGCGATCCTCGTATTCCTGATGGCAACTTTTCTCAGAGCATTTGTACGGTGGTGAGGCGTCGAGAATCCGGTGAAGCAACATGTGCGCTTCCTCTGACTCTAGGTTAGGAAGCACACAGTCGCATCCCTTAACCGTGCACTTTTTCTAAAAGTATAGTAGCATAGGCCATGGATGAATGTTGAGTTGGAATAAACGTAGAAATGCTATTCTATAGAACTATCGCGACATCGATCCAGTTTAACCAGGCAAAGAAAAAAAGGCAGAAAAACGAACAGTCGCGTATTCGACGAATAACCGTGCGACCATAGCTTGATAAATGCCAAAACCTGACCAGTTACCTTGTTCAAGCGGCAGTCGTGGACGTAGGCCTCTTTTTGATCGGGAAACATATGCTCGCATCCGTGGTAGGGGCAGGGAAAGTGGTGGTCCGCGCTCAGCTCGGGATGTCGCCTTGCCTGGTGGTCCAAAAGATTCCAGGTACCAGGGTACTCAATCTTGCCGCAGCGCTTCACCAAACAGATCCACTTGACTCCCAGTACGTGCTCCTCGTGCCATTCCTTGTGTCGTTTCAGCTTCCATGAGCTCACCAGCGCAACTCCGCAGCCAGGAACATCGCATCGGTACTTGGAGTCTTTTCGACTGCGACTAGGCATCGGTGCCTCAGGTGCACTCTTGAGCCAAGCTCTGCCCACCTCCTTGGGTTGCGGAGGCTGGAGGTCCGGTTTTCCTTCCTTGCATCTGGCCAAATGGGATCTCATCGCAGACCTCGTCTCGAATGCCCTTTTACACCCATCCACTCTACATGGCCATAACGACTTTCTCTGCTGCTCTGCGTGCCGCTCCAGATGCTCCTCAAACTCCTTGGGCCGGGTCGTAACCTTCTTACAGCCTGGCCAATGACAGCGGTACTTTTTGGCAAAGCTCTTGATAGCTGTAAGCTTTTTGCTGCCAGGATTCTTGAAGACCGTGTGTCGTCGTCGGTGTTGAGCTAATCCGTTGGCTGTTGAAAAGATTCTCTCGCAGTCGTCCCACGGACAGGGATAGGATGCCGAGGGGTCGCCTCCGCATGTCCGAGAATGTGTGGCATGACCTCGGCGCGACTCTGAGAAGAACCGACAACCGGGCGTGGTGCATGGGTAACGAAAGCCAGCCTCCTCAGGAGTGTGTTCGCGAATATGAGAGGTCAGCGATTGTCGGTTATTGAACTTGCGGGTGCAGCCTTTGATGGGACAGATGAAGGGACCTGAGGACGGTGTTGATGTCGATGATGAGGACGAAAGTGGTCGCCTGGATCGGACACTGCGGTTGTTGGCTGATTGAGCGCTCTCGGAATCTTCCCCGTCCTCATCCTCATTGTCGTCTTCGTCGTCATCGGCTTCGCTGCTGTTGGTGTCTTCGCTACCGCTTTCGTCGCTGTCTTCATTGTCATCGCTGTCGTCATTTTCGTCGCTGTCGCCTTCGTCGTCTGTACCCCTAGACACCTCGCTGGCCTCATCCTTGTCGGAATCGTGGTTGTCTTGGTCATTGTCGTCGTCGTCGTCTGATTGTGGGTCGTCCGAGTTTGAGTGGTCGGAAACCATGTCGACGTCGGTTGGGGTGAGGGGTCTTGTGCGGGGTCGTCCGACTGATCTCTTAACGGCTGTGCCTGGAGGAGGGTTTGGCTTCTTAACGATGCTGAGCGTCCGTTGGTTTCTTGCTGCTGAGCTGCTGATGTTTGTGGGGCGTCGACTTTTGGGAATTATACGTGTTCTCGATGGCCTGACAGCAGCCAGTGCTCTAGCGACGCGTGATGATTTCCTTGAGGTCTTCATGAGTGAGTGTTGCGTGGTGTGTTTGTGCTGTATTGTGTTTGCAGAAAAGAAGAGAAATGACAAGAAAGGGGAGTGTGTGCGTGTGTGTGTGTGTGTTGCCTGGCGAGTGGATAGGGAAAAGTGAAAAGTGAAAAGATGCTCCAGCCTTCCCAGACCTGCCGCCTTTTTCTTTTTCAATCACAGAAGCAGTCTCTTGTAATTTCGACTCTCCCTTTCCTCCTCTTCTGCATCTCAGCGACTCCCTCTCTTTCATTCTTTCTCTCTTTCAAAGTATTTACACACAAAAAAACAACGCCCACCAACCCCTGGACAGAGGCCCAACGAGAGAACGTCCGCCGCGGTTGGAAATTGCCTCCCATGAGCTCTCGTCCCCTGATCCATCAGGAGTATATACGACGATCCTTCAAAACCTTCGGTGCCATGAACAACAGTAACAACCAAGGCAGCCACTACACCAACGGGTAGGCCTACAACCATCATACCAACAACAACTGTTCCAACTAACTCAACTATTTCTCTGGATCCAATGCCATAACCAACACGCATTCGGCGAGACCTCTTGGACACCAGCACCACACCCATGCTGCCACATTTGTCAAGACCAGCAATCCTCCTCCTACCCATGAACCAAGTAACAAGAATCTTAACTACAGCGCATCATAACCCTGTTCTTCCTACCAAGACCTCCTACGCTGCCGATCCGTCCCCCAAGACTCAAACCTAACCGTCACTACAACCAAAGCGGGTGATGACCATTCTGGTTCTGTCTTGGCCCATCGACTTTTGTTGGACTGCCCCCCTGCCCCCCTCTGAGATTCCGTTGACCACCCCTATAGAAATCAGGCTAAAAGCAAGCTGCTGCTTCTGCTTCCAAACCCTCTTACCCTGTGGCGAACCAAGGCCCATATGCCTCTCGGAATGAAGGACTTAGTCGCCAGACTCAGGCGTAGGATCGATCGTCTGCCACTCATGTACCATCACTCTAACATAACAACCAAGAGTACTACCGGACTAGCCCACAGCAGCTGTGCAGGAACAACCCTCTCTCACCACTATTCTTATAGAGTGGGTAACAACGGACAACCTCGTTGGGCGCAGCACCAGGAATCTACGTCTCATGGCGCAGGTGAAAATAGTGCGCAGGTTTTGGTATCGCCCAAAGGTTATTCGTCCTCCTTATTCCCGACAGAAAATTATTGATAAGGCAAAACCGATGAACCACCCCATGTGCGAGGGGAATGAATCGAATCGCAACGGCGAATTCGTACTAGACACGTGGATGACACAGCTCACAAGCAACTTCCACCCTCAGCGAGTGACGGATATCAAGATGGGGCTCCAAACGTTGACGCGACGCAAGTAAGCCAAACCACCATTTTTGGCTTTTCCTTGCACGCATTGATAGACGGGGGCCTAAGTTACTTGGATTGTCACTATACAACAACGCTCTTTTCCTTGTTGTTGCTTTTGTTTATGCAGGTATCGATTGTTGTCTTCATGGATGGCATAGAGCAAGGGATGTATCAAACATTACTCAATCGACAAAAATAAAGGAAAATTATACAAACATCGATTTGCATTGGGCTAGCACGGCACCACGTACATATACGCTCAGATCACAACTCCATGGCGGTTCTGTTGACAATGTTCTTTCGGAATCAAACGAGCTCCTACCACGAAACATACCTCCTTCGTTTTCTCTCTGACAAATAGATGCAATGTGATAATGGTAATCAACGCGACTTTTGGCCATAATGTCTGAACATGATGCCTCAAATGTTTCAGCATACGAATGTTCTGCTTGACGGATATTTTTCGGAACGTTTCAATGCTCACTTGTGGTTCTCCTGGGGTTAGTGAACAAGGGCAAATGACAGGTTGGGCTTGCAAGCCTCCATGGAGTTAAGAGGTTTTTTTTTTTTTTTGGTGCACATTTTTATATCTCTCACAAACAGCACCAAGGAGGCATTTGGAAGTAAAAGAGACTACAGACCAAACACTTCAGTGCACCATCCACCAGTCGCAGTCAGGTCCAGAACCTGGCTCTGCGCAACAATTGTCGCTGCTCTTCACAGCTTAAACGGAAGAAAATAAAACTAGATACGAATGAAGGGGATTCTTCCCATCCTCTCCATCATTAACAACCTCCTCCTTCCTAACAAACTCTCCAACAACCGCTCGTCAGCAGCGCGTGGGTCCTTGGTCGCTCCAGGGCACCTTCCTTCACAATGTGTGGCTAGCGAAGCGCCACACGGACAGAAACCATCGTGCGTAATGTAACCGTATCCTTGACTCCAGTCACCTCGGGGGCCTGTGTACTTGGATGTCTTGTCCTTGGCAGAGATGCCCTGGCTTTGTTCCCACGCGATCGTCGCGGAGCACCGAGGTTTCCAGATCAGCTCCGACGCCTGCGCCTCCAGGTAGCCAACAAACTTGTGAAGGACTGTCTTGGCGATGGACATTGGGGTCCGGAAGACCGCGGACCATTCAGTCAACATGCTCAAGGGGGTGATGCCGCGGAGGAGATCCGACACATTCCACATCGGTTTCTCGTCTCGATCGAGAGCTGGACTACCGCTGTGCACGGCTCGAGCTCCACCGATGGAGGAAAATCCTCGTACATGATCTGCATCCGAAGGGGGCCACCAGTGTATGGGTACTGGCCTCGGTACCTGACGACCTCTGTCCACCGCGCGTTTGTATTCCCGCTTCCTGGCTGCGTTGTAGCTGTTTGTCGCCTGCACACCCCACTCATTAATCTTGCCCATGGCCTCCTTCCAGATCTCAGTGGTGGTCTCAGCTGCCGAAGGGCATTTCCAGACGTGATCGTTATCCTCCTTCTCGAGCTCGCATCGTCGGCACACGCATGTTGGGTACAGGTTGGGCTTGCGAGCCTGCATGGAGTTCAGAGTGGGCAGCATTCCATGCAGCTTTTTGATGTGATGTGTTCTTTGATGGGAGTCCTTGCTGTTGCTGTAAAAGGTGAAGACTGCGTGCCTGTCGTGGACATAAGCCAAGGTCGAGTTCCATTCCACGTCCTCGATGTCAGGGATCGCCCTCTTGACCCGCCTCTGTGACGTCCAGGCCTGATGGTGACGGATTGTCGATTGTTGTTTGAGGAGCTGACGTAGATCGATTTCAACAATCCCGCCGTAACAATGTGCAAAGGTCGTGATATCCGTCTGTTGAGTGAGATCCACCATCCAGGGCACTGAACCACTCTGTGCTGCCACCTTCGCCGCCTGATCCGCAAGTTCGTTTCCGTGGATGTTGCTGTGACCTTTGATCCACACCACCTCAACCCCGCCTGGCCGAGATTCCACAACCTGACAAAGCACCGCCCAGATACCCGCATATGTACTCCTGAATCGCTTCCTCGGTAAGGTGTCCCGACGATTCTTCACCAGGCGACTATACTGATCCACCACTGACTGATTGTCCAGCTTGACCACAATGTCCTGTTCCGGTGGTGCTGACAGGACTGCGGCTAATAAGCCCATGAGCTCGGCCTTAGCCGAGGATGCGTGACCGTCCGTTCGTCCTTGTACTGTCAGAGGGTTGTCCTGAGTGAGATCCACCACTCCAAAGGCCTGGGATACTTCTAGCGTTCCCGAGTTCAGAAGAGATCCGTCAGAGTACAGGACGCGAGGGGTGGAGTTGTCGACGTGTGTGTCCTGAACTACGCGCATGGACGCCGCCTCTACTGGAGACAGGCAAAGGGGGCCGATCTGTGTGGTCGGGGGTCCTGGTACAGGCGGTTGTTGGACTTGATGGCGTTCTTGCAAAGGAAAGCTAGCATCTGTGTCAAAGGCTGGTTTGTATCGTGGTTTCGTTTCCTTGAGGCTGGATAGGATCTCTTTTAGGCGAGCGACGACCAAGCGGTGTTGTTGACGGAGTGCTTCCTTTTCCTCTTTCTGCTGCAGTCTCCTGGCTTGGTGTTGTTGATGGAGTGCCTCTGTTTCTTTCTGCTGTTGCAGTTTCCTGGCTTGGGAGGATTCCAGCTGTTGCACCCTCAATCGATAGTCCTCTGCTTTCCTGGTCAGCCTGATCTCCAAATCCGAGCGAAGAGAGACAAGGCGATGAGCACGGTATTCGTTGACGGCCTCGGTGGCCCGGCGACGTATCCCAAGGGCGACGGTCTTGCGACGACTAGAAATTGACTTGATGCGGGCGGCTGCGTTGTCGGCCTGAGTATTGGTCATCAAAAGAATGGCAGCCAGTTCTTGTGGTTTCCTGGCAAGTTGACTCCGGTATCGGCTTCTGAGTCCATCATACTTTGTGTTGTCTGCCGACTGTTTTTTCCTGGTGTCGCTGTTGATGCGAAGGATCTCGGCATCGTATTCGGCCGCGGGACGGAGGAGACGCTCTCTGCAAGCGTCGTCCAGTGTGTCGACTGCTCGCTCAAAGACAAGATCGGTTGTATCAGGCGGGAGAGGTGAGGGGGTGGTGAGAGTTGCTGGAGTGGGGGAGAATGTTGGAGTAGGGGGACATGTTGGAGTGTTAGGAGTGTTGGGTGGTGGAGTACCTGTCAGAGAAGGGCCGGGACTCAAAACTGGAGTTGGAACAGTGACAGGCGAAAGAGCCGGCGATGAGACGGGACTCGAGACTGGAGCAGGAACGACGACCTGCGAAAGGACTGGAGACGATAATAGCGAAGGAGGAGTGGATGAGAGTAAAGGAGAAGGTGACTGAGGAGAAGGTGACTGAGGAAAGATTGACTGAGGGAGAGAGAGGAGAGAAGGAAGAGAAGAGAGAGAAGAGAGAGGAGA